ATATGTAAAATTATATACCTAAAGTTAGGTGTCTTTTTATGCGAGATATATAAAATTTGTGACTGCATTTGTAACACATGGCCGATGCATTCTGTGCATATGTCTTCCTATTTGCCTGTGGGTCGTCTGTTGCGAAAAGTGATTAAGGTAAAAAGCTAACTGTATCTGAAATATACAAGCATAGAGGCAATTGAAGGTGATTGGACCTGTAAGGAAGTAAAGAAAGTGACAGAGTATTAGACAATCTTAAAATTGCACGAAGTGTACATTTTTTTAAAAAGTTAGAGCGTGATGTTTAATTGCTATTATTATTATTTATTCAGACCAAAGAGATAAATTCCAGGACTAAAAGTTTTTAGTTTCTGCGCCCTACACCATTTGTGGTGCAATAGTATATTATGGTATATTGCAATAAACCCATCTTGTCTGTCCATCTTGTCTTTCCGTCTTGTTCTCCTATGTTGTTCAACCTACACTTCCCGTACAACATCTTATTTTGAAAACTCATTCGATAAATAATTATAGGGCAGTTTAGGGTGCTTGCCGATGGGATATGGCTGAAAATAGCCCTCCTAGTTTGGTTCTTTTTAAAGGGTAGACTAAATAATTAATTTGGTCTCTAATCAAATTGAATACCGCATTGATAGTAAGTCTTCTAGGCACTTTACACTATATAGTATAAGATTAGGCGCTCCAACAATGGATCTTCGCCATATTGAAGAGTTTTTGATTTTTCATAAGGACTACACTTAATCGTATGATCTTGTCCACAGTTGCAAAGAGGACAAGTGGATTTCTTATACGTGCATAGGTGTATTGCAAGAGCATGCCCAAGACGAATTGATGTTGCGAATAAATGCGAATTAATATTGAAAATGTTAAAGGAATGAAAGTCTGACTGGCAAAAAAAAAATTAATCAGAAATTTTCAATTCAGTTACCTTAGATTAATAGAATACGTTTCAATTTCAGACAATGATTTCAGAAGGTGATGTTTTGAATAAAATTCTCTTTCGGTCGCACCATCACATCACAAATACGTGGAACAGGTGTTGACATTAAAATGTGTTATTTCCGCAGTCGCAATCGGTTAGAAAAGCAATTTCAATGCATTTGAATCCATGGATTGATTGCATCTTAGCGTCTTTGCGTCTTTGCTAAATTGTCAGATGCGTTTTTCTTTCCAGAAATCCGGCTAACATATTGAGTAACAGAACGCTTCAGGCTACGGAATCGCAACTTGTTCTTGATAAGCGGGTAGCATATGCAAAGGCATAAAAAAGGAATCGCCGAACGCGAAAAAACTCATACCTGCCCACTGTGCTTCGCACCTCACAAAGACAAAGCACATAATTTCCAAATTGTTTAAAAATTAATTCTCGCATAAATAGACCTTACTGTGCCCTGCGTGTATGTGCCAAATGTGAAATGTTTTTATGGTAGCAATTTTTACTTAATTGATCTCTTATGAAAAGTAAATTTTGTTTACATTAGTTAAGGCCTCCATGGAGACTCATTTTATCTATACATATGCACATATGTATTGCATATATGTATACACAGTCTTCGATGCACATTTATGTAGGTAAATATATATATATATATAATTGGAATTAGGGAATGCTTGCCAAATAATCACAAGCATGCGTGTATGAGCAGAGCAACGTGAAAAGTGAAAAGGTCAACAAAAACAAAAAAAAAGAGAAAAAGTTATTTCGATCTATGACACAGTTATCTAACCCCAAAAGCATGTAAATATAAGTGGAAAGATTTGATTGTAGCAACATCTTGAAAAAGAGAAAAACAATTTCGCATGCACATATATATGCATGTACGTATAAATTCGATGTAAACATTTGAGCTTATAAGGTCTTCTAGGCATATATATGTGTATACGTAATAAATCAGTGAAATATTTACGACCTGCATTTCGAACTAACTTGCATTCAATGCATATGATATAAAATCAATCACGCAAAACAACGAAACATGATTAATTGATGTGATTATGTTAGTTAATACTAAATGTAGAGTTTATCCTCACGAAGCTGTAGCAGAGGGACCCTTAAGCAATTATAATTCATAATTTTCGGTACAGTTTGTTTGCCATCTTTCCGGCAAATTCCCTATTTACATTTCATCAAAATCGAGGCCTCTCTCTCTCTCTCTCTCTTCCCCTCTCTATTTTCTCATATCAATGACTTGGGACAGTTTACGTTATCATAAAAAATCGGTTTTTTTCATCTCCAGTGGTGCAACTCTGCTATGAAGTGCATCAATCTCTACACAATCTGGATAGAAATTAAATGCGAATTGATCCACGATTATTGTTGCTCTTGCCTCAGATAATTGACGCGGTATCCATATTTCTTGCCCATATACCTTTTCAATTTCGCTTAGGTGTATAATTGTGTATAATAGCTGACCACGTGTGAGCCTGAGGCTTCTCGATAATTCTGCTGTCCTTAATTTTCGATCGAATTCCACTCAAGGGTATATATATTATCGTCCACTCCGAAACTTGAGCAGCAAATCTTCTGAACTAATAAGTTGATGCTTGTTCACCTACTTCAACTTCTTCGTCGCCTTGTTATTGACGTTGCATGAAAACGAAACATAGTATGAAGATGAAGAAGCATGCAATGACGGGTTATGATCCCCAGAAGGTGCGAACGCAGCCTTTTTATTGCAGAATTGCAAAAAAAATTTCCTATACAGACTGCTTTAATGAAAACTGTAAACACATATGTGTTTCCCCTTCAAGAATCGAACGAATCGAGGAGAACTGGAGGAAAAATTAATTCGTTGCAAACAGTTAATCACTTACGGATGCCCCTAATTTTTGCATAAGCAGTTTTTTAATGATTTTTAATGCTTCGGTATGGGGCCAATTTAATTCGTTTCAACGTCTTTTATATGGATCCCGTAAATAATGCAGCCACCAATACACACATAATGTATGGAAAATTTCATGAGTGAATTATACGCACATTAATCAACATGACCTGAGACATTCAAATATTAATACATATATGCATAAAGTTCTCGTGGCTTTTGGTTATAGTATTTAAGGAAGTGCATAAATTAGCCAGCAGATGAGATGACCCTATCGAGAATAGATAATAGATGAAGAAAAATGGCTTGTTTATCACCACATTGCGGCATTTGTGACCATTGTGACGTTAGAGGGAACAAGAAACGTTCACTTGCCATAGCTTCTGTAACTTTGTAGTAAATATCGTATTCCGAAGCGATAGTCACCACGAAACTTTTCAATATCGTTTTTGTCAGAATATAACTTGCGACGTCCCGGTGATGTTATTCAGAATAGGGCTCTCAACGAGTTAACTGTGTAAACGATAGGCTCGTATACTTGTCAAACACAGAGTATATGGAATATGCAATGAGATTGTAATGAAAGGATTTTGACAAAACGACAGAGATCACTTTTCTTGGTTACCTTGTTATGGCAAATACACATTCATAATGTTAAAATTTAATGCGGAAATTGCGACAAGGATGGAAGGACATACCATGATATATGTATTTTTCATTAAGAATTAACTGGTTAATGAACACTCAGGTACGCAGGTCTGCCTTCCTTTTCTTTACTGTGGCGATAAAAAAAGGAAATTGGATAAGGAAGATACCTTGAGCATCAAAAAAAAAAAATTTTACACTTGCGTGTACTCTTCTCCTAACTCTAATTACCTTGTTTGTGGGCTCTCCAGCGGATGTCATCGATACAAAAAAATTTGCGAAATTTTTCTTCATCAGGAATTTGAATTCAAGTCAGGCCGCAAGAGATGGTGGTTGCAAAATTCACTTTCTATGATCGCCAACGGCTCGTCTCTAATACTATTCCGTTTGCTTGCATCTTTTCTCGAAGTACTTGCTATCAATTGGTCGCTCGGACACTCGGTCGTTCGGTCCATTTCTCTGAAAACCGATATTTCATCGTATCGAAGAGAAGAAGAAAATAAAAAAAATTGTAGAAAGCTGATCTTATATATCGTTGCTGGTATTGTTGCTGTTATTGTTGCTGTTGTTATAATTCTTCTCCAGTTAAATTAACCCCTTCAATGTATGAATAAATGGATGTGTGCATCCTCTACGCGATTAAACTGAAGTTAAAGTAAAACTTAATGCATACATACACATACACGGATGAATTTATGCGTAAACAAAGCAAAAACAAAAGGAACTAAACCAAGAAAAATGGGAATTTCCGGATATGTAACATAGTATGTCGCGTATGTGGCGACGGTATACATGTATTAGGGAGCAAACATAGTTGAATATGAATGAGTTGTTGCTTGTGCTTATTTTCTTGCCTCGAGCAAATAACGAAAAGGCATATAAACCTATATATTGTATTATATATATATTAAATAAAATATACATACACATACACAAACGCATACACTTGTAAATGTTCGTTAAATGAAACGAGAGCGAAAAACGATTGACTTCCTTCGCTTTCGTATGTTTAACAAGAAGCTTCTCACACATGTATATGTATATATGAGATTGTGGTATATATGTTGTGCTCAATTTCCACTCTGATTCACTCACCATTGGATTCTTGACTATGAATTCATTACAAATGCAGTTGTACGGCTAGACGGTTCGGTTGCTGCTTCGAACGTTTGTTGGGTCGTAAAGCGAAACGGAACGAAAGTATTTGCGAATGGATCAAAATATTGGTTCTTTTATTTATTTATTGGTTTTTTTGATTTCCTTTTAATTAAAAATAATCTTCTCTTGCACATTATCTGAGCTGAAAGTAATAAAAAAAAAAAAAAAAAAAAACCAAAAAAAACCAAAAAAAAAAAAAAAAAATTTATAAATGAAAAAAGTTGTAAACAAAACTATAAAATATATTTTCTTACAAAACAGACAGTAAAACGAAAAAATTAATAAAATTATTAGAAAAACAAAATAATAAATAAATAAATAAAAAAAAAAAAAAAATACAAATCAATCTAAAATTCAACGACAATAAATCGAAAATAATATTGAAATCGTAATGAATTGCATTTAAAATCCAAGGAATTTATTAATAACATATCAATAGACATCTGCACAACAAATATCATCACATAACGATTATTTTAGTGAAACGAAGTAAAGGAAAAGAAAAACAAAAACAAGAATAACGCTCATAGGTATAAAGTAATTTAAAGAGAACTACAAAAACATGAATTCGAAAGTTGGCTCATTGGAGGAAAAAGTGAAATTACCGCCGACCGAGACCATCAGCCGTTGCTATCAGCCGCAGGGTAACCGTAAGGTTATTCGCATTCTAACTGTAGCCGTCTATGTGTTGTGTGTTTCCCTGGCGGCAATAATGCTTTCCCTCTATTACATTTTCATATGGGATCCAACAATACGCCCATTTGTGACGAAAGGAAATAGCTGCGGTAAGCATTATAACGACAACATATCGAAAAATACTTCACTTCTGCAAAGTTGACAATCCAACAACGAGCAAAGATCAACTTTTCTTCTCCCTTTCATTTCAAACACACACGTACAGGGTCTTCATTCCAATCAACAACAAAACAAAAAAAAACAAAAAAAGAAATATAATAACAATAATATCTCTTTGGCCTGATCTATTATCACTATCACCCCGAATACTTGGACCTGATAGTGAAAGATGCGAGATATTAATTCTCTTTGCAAATTTTGCAAATTCTTGCATTTGTTTACAAGATAGATAGATAGGCTGACTAACTTTCAAATAAATCGTCGACATAAAATATACGATATGACCTAGAGGTGTGTTCGCAACATGGCTATAGAAAGCAGGCGCTGAACACACCCAAGAAATGCTTGAATGCTTGAAGGCTATAGGTTCTGACAAAACTTCACAATTGATTTTTGTCGCCTCATTTTGGTGCACATCTAACCAGATTATAATGGAAAATCTCCGCATAAACCATATTATAATTTGAATTCATTCAATTTCATTTCCTGTTACATTCTCTAATATTGAATATAAATGATCAAAGAAAAAAGAAAAAAAAAAAAAAAGAAGAAAAAACCTTGACTAAGCATTCGATTTCCTTCTCTCATGTCCGTCATGTTTCTGAGCTTTAGATGCGTTATATAGAAATTTGTATGTTACCTCGCTACAAATAGTATGGTTTATAGCAAATATGTTTATTGTAAATAAAGACAAGTATGTCATACACACACATACATACACGCACATTATATTCAGTAATCAGAAAACCTGATATATCTATGGAAAAGTCTTATCTGATAAAGTTAGGCTAAGTTACTTAAATAATTTAGAAAAGTATTTCCAAAAAGAGAAAAAGAATTATTTTTGTACTTTTTTGCGTAAATTCTTAAACTTATCCTAATTGAAGTATTTTTGCAGCATTATCTATTAAGTGTTGAATGTAAAGAATTCTTTGCTATTTATGTACCACACAACTGAAAACTGAATCTTATTTTTACCAAAAAAAAACCACATTTGACGAGAAACACTTTTTCGAGTATGATAATATGTTTACAACGTAGTGTCATCCTATACATTGCAAGCTTGACAACACACCCAGTTTACAAATATGAGAAACAGTAGTTGTGTTATTGTGGTTACAGTTATTCATCGCACCCACAATTGCACTCACTTACACGCTTCAAATGCAAAAAAATACTCTGACAAGCAAAATCAGCCCAGTTAAATATATTAGTAGGTATAATGACATTTCAAAATTTAGGTCAATGGGTTGTAGTATCGAATCGTATATTTTTATATATGCACACACATCTATGCATGCATGCATGCATGTATTTATATATTGTTCTCTTTCTTATTTAGTGTATTTGGAATGTTTTTCTTCATATCGAGTGCTTTTCCTTGCTGCTCTTTGCTTTTCCTCTCCTCTGCTGCAAATATCAATTATAGGTCAACAATTTTTTTTTTTTTTATTTTTATATATAGATATATTTACGTTTTCCTTTCTTTTCTCTTTTTTCTTTTTTTTTTTTGTTTTTTCTTGTTATTAATTTTTGAATTGAATATTTCTACATCGCTCTTTCTTGCTCTCTTCAAAATTTTGCCGAAAGGCGAATTTAGTTCATGTAGTCTAAATTAACCTCACAAGACTTTTATTGTTTCTATGCTAAGATAAATAGGTGTGACAATTAATAATAAGCATTCGGCAAGCATAACAAAGACAGTGTCCAATCATATTTCAAAAGTTATATGAGAAATGTTTCATTCAAATTTATATCAATCGCTAGGCAATCGTATTCTCAAATTCTTGTGCCCATTGCATTGGGATCATATTAGGTCAGAGATTGTCTCTCTATTTATTTTGTTCTCCCGCTCAAGGCTCAAGTGATTTCAGTAAGTGCAGACAACGAAAGAATAATATGCTTTTAAAGGGTATCGAACCGATTCGAATATTTACGATGACACGTTTTCGCATATAAAAATTATTTTACTAATTCACTGAGTCTTCAAGCAAAGCATGCGTCAAATTGATTATTTATTATCGATATCGATAAAGATGCATTTGTGCCGCCTTAACGAACCCCAAGTGTAGAATATTGCCCTCTAGATGCCTGCGTTTTAATTAGGCTGAATCAACTCATATTGATTCGTATTTGAAATTTTTGGGTCAAATTAACCTATTTTTTGCCAAACAACTCCATGGCGGAAAAGAAAAACATATATATATATATGATTGTATGTGCGTGTGTGTCTATATGTATATATATATATAGATACAATATGCATATATATATATATATACAAATAGATACAAATAGATATGGATATACATATCTAAGTAAATCGTGTACGTGCGTTTTGGGTGTGCGATGGTAATTGTGTGTGCGTGTCTTTGGATTCCTTTGGGTATATATGTATTGTATACGTGTGTGCTTTGTGTTGTATATGCGTATGCTATTATATTGTGTATGTTTATTTGTGTGTTTGTGGTTGTCTTAACGTATGCATTCTATTCACTGGAAAAATCTGCGCATCATCAAACATCATATCTAATACATACTTATACATATTTATATCTGTTTCCTTATTTTGCCTTCAAGGTTACCCGTTTTTGCAAAGACTTCAATAAACTACCTTTTCGTCTTTTCGGTAATACGGATGATTTAATTACTAAATTATAAACACGAAGGCTTTGCGCACATTTTCTAATTGATTGATATTAAGCAGAGAAAATGCCAGACTGTCTGCACGTGTGTCTTTATGTGTGTGTGTGCATGTATGTCTACAAAACAAAACCGTGATATAATAAAGAGTAAAACAATTATAGTCGGACAAGATCGGCCAGTTAAATACTCTACACCATTTCGCTTAATACGGTCCATAGGGATTGTCCACACTCCGACTATCCTCTTTTTCTTGGTGATTTTAAAGAAACGGGCTTTCTAAGCGCAGGTGTCTCTACAGCAACCTTATACAACTTTTGCTTCATTTTTGCGTTACAATATCAAAAAATGCGCCTTGCTGCCCTATAATAGAATACTTTTATACGACCGGACCCAAAACGTGAACGTCATCTAATTCAAATTTACGGAAATTAATTCTCTTATCAAATATCTCACTACTCTTCATCTATTTTCATTATAAAATAGTAAAAACTGAACTTTTTTCCCTTCTCTTTTTTTTTACGTAGAGTTAGGGTTTGACCTCCCGCTTATTATACCGATCTACAGTCGTTTTCTGTCCGTCTGTCTGTTAATTTTTTTCTTCCTTTCTCTCCATCGGGCGTCTGCCCGCCTACATGGCGCGATTTTTGGGAAATTTTGAAGAAATTTAATATATATTTGTACACTGATGTGCTTTGATCCAAGGACGGCCCTTATTGAGAACAGATGGAATTGGACAAATTTTGCGATTATTCCTCGCGTAAACTCTTATTTTGAACTTTGTATTTCACAATACAAATAGGTAAAAAATAAATAAGATCTTTATGGTCGGGCAAGACCGAGCCTTAGATACCCTATGTCACTTTGCTTTACACACTTGTTCACACATTTTGTTGATAATACACCAAACGTATATATTATTTTCATGCGAAGGCCGCATATTGGAGAATGCCCAAAGCATCACATGACGTCATCTGCTAATTAATTCTGCCAAGCTTCGAGCAATTCAGCTCACGTTCAAGGTTCACTCTCGTATAGCCAGCGTGCCTTTACGAAGGCATAAGTTACAATATTTTGTAGTTTTTATCAGGACAATTGTGTTAGATGAAATGGTGTAGGGTATTAAAAGTGGACCTTGCCTGACTTTACGTGTTTAGAATTCTTTCAGTTATTTATATGATCTTTGTATGAATTGGCAGTGCCATATGCGAGCTGAAAATGATATGTGAGTACATCGCCAATATCAAGGAAAAGTTAGACCCTCAAAGGTACCTTGAAATGAGAGTTGATAGGAAAGTTATGGAACGCAATCTACAATATTATCATCAGCGTTGGTCATCTTTTCACCCTCACCTTGTTTATCCACTATATATCCAGCTTTCAGTACACTAATGGGTCCTTAAGAAATCTTTTTCTCCAATCTGCAATTGTGGACAAACTTTGACAATAAGGCGCCTTCTTTGTGACAACCTCAACTTTTCTTTTATCAGGGCGACTTGCACGCGGAACAAGTACACACAATTCCTAAAATTCTTTTTCTAAAGTGGAGCTAATGCTCAATTCTTTTCTCTTTAATTCAAGAATTCGTCCGTGTGAGAAGCCGACTAAGTAAGCGTCGCGACTACCAAGTCTGTGTTCGTGGGTTCAAATATCAATGCGATAAAGTTTACTTTGGTCGTAGTCTAGCGAGCGCTAAACCGGTGAAGATATACCACACATATCCATTGGGCATCACTTCTCAATCTATTTCCCTTTCCTCACTTCTACACGAATAGTGGACATCCTCTGAATTGATTGATCACGTAACAAAAAACGAAAATAAAAATCGAAGGTTTTATTTCATTGGTCTGATAACAAAAAGTCCGCTTTATTTATTATATATGCTTTCGTAGAAATTCTGGGTGAAAAGCACAAATGGTTTAATTGATGCGATCTCGCTTATGCAATTTTACTAAGAAAATATTTTTAATCAAATTTCATACTCTAAATAAAGTTCGTAGATTGCATTTAACTAATTAATTAATTAATTACTTGGGCACGACTTGGAAAATCTATTATACACGCCGATGTCCCTAGCCCTCCAGTTTCAAAATTTTTATGAATCCCGCCAGCTTCTTTGGATCGGAGCACCATGACACACCACTTGGTGTCTTGGATTCTGCAGTTGGCTTCACATTTACATAGAATATGATGGGACGTTTCACTCGTCCCTTGACAGAATCGGCATGAATCGGTATCATACATACCGATATTTTTCAGACGGCACCTGAGGGAATTATGAATATTGCAGAAGCCGGCGAGTGAACGAAGATCGCTTCTTCTTATTTCCAGTAGTTTGTGTGCACTACCGGAGGAATTTATGAATCTCTCTGCCTGCCGCTGTCCCGCACATGGCTTCCAACGGCAATCCACTTGTTTCTGTGCCCATTGCGAAACCAGCCTATTAATGTGGTTTCATGGTACGCCACAAAACAGTTCAGGACCGACCATGGCCCCTTGGATTCCCCTGTTAGCTAGACAGACAACCTTTTCGTTGTCCTCAACACCCGCATAGCCACACACCCATATTAGGTGCACATCATTGTGCCCGCCTAGTTTATTTAGTGTTTGAATGCTTTCCAATACAAGCCTGAATGTTAAAATTCGCCCCCTTAGGAATTTTAAGGCGGCTTGGCTGTCGTAGTATATGCAGATCCGCTCTCTCCTGCATTGTCTTCTTAAGCATTCAGATACACATGCGGTGATTGCGTAGACTTCTGCTTGGAATATGGAGGGACTATCTCCCATTGGTATGGTGTTCTGGAAACTCGAGCCACAGACTCCAGCCACAGTTTTGGCATTTTCCAATTTTGAAGGGAAGAATTAAAGATGAAAGTGTTGAGGTGTAACTACCTTCAACAAGCTAAGACTGTTATACGCACATAGATCACTAAACTGATAGCGTCATTGGCACTGATCAAGATGTAGAGAATCATCATTATATTAATAATAATGCATTTTTTTTTTCAATGTAAAGTTGCATATGTCTATTGGAAATTTGAAGCAGTCTCACTGTTTCACTGAAAATGGACATTTGATATATTACTTTACTTTACTTACTATATTGTATACGCGAAACAGCTGCTACAACTTCATTTGCATATTTAATTTCGAAAAACAAAAGAAAAAATTGACTTGCGATGATCGCATCGAATGCTTAGAGATGTGAAATTCCATCTGAGAACGCTTGGAAATGCACTTTTGCCTTTTAAATACGTCCCCACCAGGTAAAGAAAATGTGAAGGTCGCCACCACAGACAATCTGCAATGAAAAATGTTTAGATCATTTAAGCATCCAAGCAGTCAATGCATCTGCGCCTATGCAAACTTTACTTTTCATCAATAATGGACAGAGATAGCAAGTGCGTCGTTATCGCCATTTCCATTCACAAACGATTGCTTGATTGTATGAACTAAGCAAGGGTATCTAGTATCGAAATAGACTATTCAAAAAGGCTTTACAATCTGTGGGGTAGGGAAGACCTAGCTCAATAAGGCAGAGATTATATTTACCAAGGGCAAAAATACAAATTCAGCTAAATTAAGATCTTCTCTTAAGAGTTTCTGTTACTTTATTAAGGAAGATATAACTGAATTGCTGCGGGTTGAGCCACATATGAATTGAAACAAAATCATGGCTTTAGAGAAAGTCATATTGTTTTGAAAGTCTTGAGTCTGTGCCCGAATGTGAGCAAGTTGAATTCAAATTCTTTCATATTCATTTCATGGCTGTCGTATGCACGGAATGGATTGGCCTGAATCCTATGCGAAGCGGGCAAATATTATCACCAAGAGGTGTTGATGCGCGAGATTTCAAAGAGTCGTAAAAGTGCATTATGTCGAAAGTATTAATTTCCTTCCCGTGCTAATTAACCCTACCCACCACCAAACCGTACCTATATTATTGTATTATATCCATGGGAAAAATCTGCTTTATTGCGTGCCCATACATGAACGCTACTAATCTTTTAAAGTAGAATATTTTGCAAAACAAAATAATTATAAGTCCATCCAAGTAAGGTAGGAAATGATTTGGCGCATAATTTACGATCCTTTGCATTAAAACGAATTTAACTTTTTTTTCTGTGTCGCTTTGTTTCTCTTTTCTTTTTTTTTCAGATAAAATTGTGATACCCGAAAAAATTGCTATTCGTTTAATTAATTCATCTGAAGTAACGGCCGATCAGTTCTATAAGCATATACTTGAACAGTATCGCATATTGAATCAATTACAATTGCAACGTCAACAATTTCTTCAAAATCAACATAAACAATTGCAACAATTGGCTGCCTCGGGCAATAATAAATTTCAAGAAATATTCGCAACAGCGACAATAATACAATCAAATCCTAATGATCGAATAAATAAGCCTGTTACCCCAACCAATGGTACATTCCTTTTAGATGCGGCCAGACAAACGACCCTCCTAGATTCTGAGCGCATACCCTTAGGGATAGCTGAAACTGAACCCGAAATTACGGAATTAAGACCGATTGAAACTCTTCCAATTTTGGATACGCTGCCTGCTTACGTTAAAAGAAAGTCGCATCGCAAACATATTCAGCATCATCGACGAAATCGCAATCATCAGAAAAGTGAAAAAGACGAGGCCGACGCATTGGACAAGAATTCAAAATATGCAGAGGCAGCTCTAAATCCACCCAGTTCAATAATTCAAGAACCAGTGTATACCTCGATACCTATACCCTTGATTCTAAATTCAAAGGAAGATAAACGGCCCCATCATAATCACAATCATGGCGGTCGCGGCCATAGTGAAAAACGTATTAGCAAATCTTTGGCAAAGAAACGGCCGACATTACCGACTGTCTCCGGTTACGATGCCCAATCATATATGAATCCATTTCTCAACGGTGAATTAATATTTGAAAAGTAAACATCACATTGCCATTAATTGAATACAGTCAATATACGCAAAAGGAACGAAGAAGAGTCAATGATTAATTGGAGTTTTTTAGTCAAAACTGCAGAAAAGCTGTGTATCCAATAAGGACAGGGATTCACACATACAAAAAACAATGTAAATGTGAACAATACAAGCCATAATGAAAATCGAAATTCGATCTATTATTACTACTACTACTACTACTACTACTACTACAGCAACACTGCAGCAAACCGTTCTATAATCCATATGATCAACACAGATTAATACATATATGTATATATATATATAGATATATATATATATGTATATATATATGTATATATATATATATGTGTGTACATACTAAATAACGTAACATACGTCTTGTAAAAGTGCATGTGTATGTGCAGATGTATGGATGCATACATGTGTGTGTGTATATATATGTATGTATGCGCGTATCTTTACGTATATGCAACATACATATATTTAATAATTTACATTAATATTTAGTGAAATTTAGCGAAAAGTATATACAAAATCCGCATAGAAAACAAATTTAGTAGAAAATTTATAATAAATTGAAAAAAAGAAAAAAAAAAAAGAATAAAAAGCAAAAAAAACAAGAAACATAAATCCATTTATCCATTTTACACTTAAACAAAAACGCATCAGTTGCTTCATGATCTTTCTCTCTTTCTCACAACACAACCTTTCGCCTCACTATAAAGTTATTAGTACACCGTTCTCACAGCGCTATTACTGTTATAGAAATATTGATAACAAGTTACAGTCACTCATACTCACTGCAAATCTTCCTTCCTGCTTAGCCTCGTATTAAATATCATCGAATAGCGTCCTAGCCTTTGACGCAATATTAATAATAATAATATTAATAATAATAATAATATTAATAATAATAATGATAACTAAAGAAATCAAAGATCATATGATAAGGTGCGGTATGCGTTTTTGAATTTTAAAAATGGCATTAAATTGAAAAATTGACAGCATATATGCGTATACTCATGCATATATATATTCAAGGATTAATATCATCCATCATGGAATAAAAAGCAAAAATTAATAACGAAAGAAAAAGAAATGAAGTAAAACGCGATAGACATCAGCTATTTCCTATATTATATAATAACGTCATTATTATATAAGAAAATTTTAAAAAAATAACCAACGTCACTAGAATATTTATGTACCTAATTGATTAAGATGTACGCATATTAATTACAACGGCCGAGCAATTGATAATAAATATTAGCGACAAATTCTTAAAGTGAATAATTGTAAAAAAAAAAAAAAAAAAAAAAAAAAAAAAAAAGATAAAATCATCAAACAACCACTGGCGATATAAACAGATCAATAAAACACCCAAAAACCAATACCTAAAGCATTTTAATTTAAATCTAATGTAAATAGAAAATTATCGATGAAAATAAGAGCTTTTTACTTTCTATTTGTTTACCCTTTTACCGCTTGTGGCACAAGGGTATATTGACTATGTATGGATGTATGCAACATTCAGAAGGACTTGAGATAGACTCACTTTCTAACTTGTTCAAGATTTGTCTGTCCCTCTGTCCGTCTTGATTTCTTGTGTTCAACCTACAGGTTTTCAGAAATTGTTGATATGTTTTAACACGGACGCTGGCTCGTGTTTTGATTCAAGGACGCAAACTATTGAAAATGTTTCGGATCGGATGACTTTTTCGCTCTTTACTTACCATATAAAGCCTTAGCTTGAAAACTCATTATATGGATAACTATAAGGTGACATAGACTATATAATGGTAGGCGTGGTGACTCACCGTAATATTGTTAGTCAATTTTTTTATTGGTTGCATTGATTAGAGAATAAAAATTCCACTTATCATTCATAATCTAATGAAGGTATTCGGAAATTGTTTAGAAATTTTATCATATCGACACAAAGATTAAATGGCGCAGAGTAACGGAAAAATATTCCTGGAATACCTGCAACCTCCAGCAGTGGACATGAGGGAAATGTGTGCACCTCAGAGTTGGTTTAAAGCGTACGATAAACTTTTCTGCAAGTGTCGTGACGAAAGGTATTATATAATGTTATGCCTCTAAGCCAGACTGTTTTGTAATTTCAATAAAAATTTTTTATTTGTAAAATAAGGCTTCAATACCTTGAAATGGAAGACTTTATTGTGTTTGAGGTTTAAATTTCTTCGAACAACTTATGTTAATAAATATGTGCGCAAATTACTACTATAATAAGAGGCAATCAATCAAGATGAATGGCTCGATCTTATCAAAGCTATAGGTAAATCAATAAACGCAAATACGATCCGACATTATATTCGCCTACTTTCAAATTTAGCTAATACATTTAATTTTCTTAAAATGAACAACTTAACAAGTAAAATGCATTATAGTCGGGCAACGCGAACACTTAATTACCGTACACTCTTCCACCTAGTAGAATCCCTCATGTATCCTTTTGATAAAATGCCAAAAATTGCGTCTTGTTTCCATATGAATGCATTGTTTTTATAGATTCAGACCCAAACGATGACCTTGTAGTAGTCCGAATCTACCATGATTAAGTCTTATGTCAAACTACAGTCATAGACTAATTTTCATCATAAAATATTAACAATTAAGACGCTTTTGTCACGAAGCTTGATGAGAGCCCTTACATGATATGAGTTATGTCAAATTGTTAATTAAATTATTAATTAATTATTCATTTTAATGTTAAATTATAAGTCAATTTTCATCGTTTAATATTTTATTGACATGCAAAGGTTTACTTCCCGCAGGGACACTTATATGGGAGGAAGTTCAAAAGATTTGCTTCATCTAACCCAAATTATTCACACTTTTCCCAAAAGCGATTTAATTTAATCCGTTCATTAAAAACGGCTCATCATTTAGCCAAAACAGATCATTGCGCCAAATTTCGTCAATAATTATCAAAAATTGCGACTTTTAGGCTAAAGGAAAGATTATATTAACAGAGATCTGACAGATAGACGGGTAGAGAGCTACAATAAAAGATGGGTCTTTCTACAGTCCTTATTGGTTTAACATACAACAACAACCGTTCAAAATGAAAGAACACAATTGTTACCCTAAACAATATATATATATATTGGTTTTCAATTCACTAAGCATAGATGGAAAATAATTGGTACCCTGTTAAGGGTAAAAGAACTGCTATTTTTATTTAAGAGCTATAGATAGTTTGAAAAAGGGTTACGTTTTATTTTTAGAATTGTATGAATCGCATAACAGAGTTAAAAAGAAAGTCGTTTAACAAAATGCATAAAGAGAACACATATGTTATATATAATATAAAAATATTTATAAGAGTAAAATAAAGATTGGTAATAAGCTTTTTTTTCAATGGATATTTTCCGATGCCTTGTTTTTTTTTTTTAATTAAAACGATTTAACCATAAATTGAAATCTACAAAAATTATATAATGCGACAAATGTTTGACTTAGTTTTCATTACATTGAACGAAATATAAGAAAGATAAGAAATAAATATTATACGGGGTGATGCGAAACATTTTCCTGATTTATTTAAAATCAAATGGCGGAGCTTCGCGGCAGGTATAGGGGCCCATTGGAGCTATTATAACTTGTAATAATAAATCATTGCGTTTAGGGCCCACTAAATGAGGCGATAGATTTATGGAAGATAAAGCCAATTCGTCGTACGGGATTAAATTGTCCATGTTAAGAATTCTGTGTTCGCGGGAAAAGTACTCGGTACGTTCGTGTAACGTTAATATATGATTGACTTTATTCTGAACACCCGTAATGAGAGCAGCAATCTGTAATTTTAAAATACACGTTAAGCCACGTCGATAAATTTAATAATAATATTTTTACTTTGAAACGTTGCTCCTCTATTTGCGGATACCGACAAGTTACCCTTAAGCGTACAGTATTTAGTGAGACTTCGGGCACGTCTTCTCCCCAAACCATTTTAGCTCTACCGTATTTTACACCTTTTGGATAGAATTCTATCTCCCAAGTTATAGGTTGATCTGCAAAATCGCGAAATAATATTCGAATAAACAATACTGATTATTTTTATTGCGGATATGCTTACAGTAGGTAAAAAGTGTGCTGAATATCCGTATATCACCTTCTCTTTTACAACCGTTTTCTCAATACTCGATTAATACGATTTAATCGAGTATTGTTATGTTATGTACAATAAGAGTGCATAACATTCGTACTCACCATCTTCTGTCTCAGCAATATGACCTTGCGAAAAAAAGCATTTTACATAGTAGACGTAATTATCGAGCCGATTAAAATTCTGCACTTCAATTCCGACGCTCCATGTGTCATTCAAATATAGACGGGGTGTAAATTGCAAACAGCCTTCCGGACTATTTCGTATTTCCATTACGCGCTCTTCTTGACCGGATTGATACGACATGCCAATTGCTAAACGTTGTACTATGAATTCTTTATGATGTTCCAGAATCGGAAATATAAGCAGATGGGCTAATTCACGTGGTGTCATCATCGGAAATCGTATATGGAAAACGGTTTGCTCGATAAGATTAATAAAATGTTCCTGTTTCTCATTGCCCGGTATATTTTCATCGTTGTCAATTAAATCTTTGCGCCGCAGTAACCAATTTTGAAGTATGCTAAACAGTTGATATTCGCTACTGACTACTAAGTCGTTTTGTTGCAATAACAGCACCATTACAGCTTCGTCCATTTCGACGAAATCTCTTGCCTCGGACACCATTTCAAGGTTCCATTTTAGAAAACGTTTTAAAGCCTCCGTTAGCTCTATGTGCTGTGGTGTAAAAGCGATTGTATATTGCAACCAAGAAATCAAAAAGCCTTGTGTAGCAGCTTTTGCGATGTGCTTCATCATATAATCCACACATAGTTCCACTAAGTCTTTAACATTATATTTATGTCCTAAAACGAGCATAGGCATCACCGTACTAAGTGATATATTCATTTTACCCACATATAAGTATTTTAAAAATTGTGGGAATACGGCTTCACAGCAGGGCTCCTCTACCAATTCAATAACACGTTTGCGGCATTCATTCCATTCGGGATTCATTAACATAACTTGAAACACATCGCTACTGGCACATAAAATAACTCGATGCGCTGGATATTGTTCTTCTCCCACCACCAATATAATATCGGACATTAACTGCTCGGCATATAGATTAGCAATCTTCTCAAGCACACTGTTAGAATTATTCATAACTTGCTGTAATAAAATGATATATAGAAATTATAAATTTCGAACTATATTTCTCTTTACCACGCTATTAGAATCTTGACTATTTTGCTCCTCCGGTTCCAATTTAGTTGACATTTTTATTTCCAGGCTATTGTACATCAACTTTAAAATATGTTCTCCGTCTTTACCTGAGACTAAATATTCCAACTTTATTTGGCCACCTTCCTTTATTTAATTTTTTGACATGATTAATAATTTCTCAAAATTTATACAATTCATACGATATTTGCAATTAACAATTTTTTTAATTGGGTTTATTATTATTATATATATTTTTTTTTTTATAATAAGAAAAAATCGTCTACAAATCTGAGAGAGAACGTTTTGATTAAAGTAATTAAAAAAATGCAAAACTACGATACACACAACTAGATTAAAACACGCGAAAAATGCAATCATTCAGTTTCGACAATAAATTTAACAGATTGAATATATTTTCGAATTTTGATTTAATTATAATTTAAAGAAAATTCTTTTCTTTATTATAATGTACTATCTTTTTTACACATTTATTGTTCTCCAGTGCTGCTAAACTGTAGAAACTAGAAATATATTTCTCGGTTTTTTACGATATTCTCCATACGAATGTTTCATTTCTATTTTTTGTGCAAGACACGTTTCGTTTTCAAGTCTTTATTTGTGACTTTAAAATATTTTGAATCGAAGGTGATAACTTTTTGAAGCCCCTCCCATACAATCATCCCAATTCTACGAAACCTCAAAATTCAAATGGCAAAAAAAATCTAATAGTCCAACCTCTTTCTACGAAATTTTAAATCGATATCCTGATTTTTGCAAGCCTGAGAGCGTCAATAACAGACACCACACAGACGGGCAGACATGGCGGTACATACGTATTAACGCCACAGCGGCAAAAATATTATTATTAAAATCTTATTATATTTAGAAGCCAAAAAAAATTTTATTTAAAAGTTTAAAAGGTTGCTTTTTATTGGTTATTTAATGGATTTTTTTGCCGCGATGGCGTTAATACGTAAGTACCGTTGGCTTAATCAATCCAAAATTTAATGCTGATCAAGAATATATAATACATACTTTGCAGGGTCTCTGAATCTTCTTTTTGGGCGTTGCAAACATTATGATAAATGAGAATACTCGTCGTATTTTCGCGGTGTGTATAATAATGGAATTAAATCTAAATATTGATACAAATTTCTAAGTTGGCGATCCGACTTTCGAATAACCTTTAAATAAAAAATTATATTGCACCAACAATAACTGCAATTAATTTCTATCATTATGTTTTTCTATGTTTAGTGATATTACATTAATTTCATGCTTCTAATTTACTTCAAGAGGCAAGATTTGCCATCGATAATATATAGATATCATCCATATAATAACTGGCCAAGAACTTATATACTTAAAAGTAGTTTTTGAAGTTTGTTTCTGCGAATAGAACTTTTTTACTTGTTTTTTTCTTTTTTTTTTTTAATGTAAGAATTAATTCGAAACCATTTTCGATTTTCCTTTATCTCAATTTTGCAGATAACTGTACGGAAATCACAAGTGGACTAACTTACATCCTTTCCAACAAGTAAATATATTACGGGTTCTACAAATTTCGAAATAAACACTTAAATTTTTATTATTATTCTCGCGATTATTCATATCAGCATTGATTTGCGATAAAAATCGCTGCGTTCATTGAAATCAACTAGTTGGGAGATTTTTTACTCTCTAGCCTCCTCCAGATTTTTATTTCACAAACCCGAGATGAAAGTTAACTAAAATATCTCTTTTTTGAAAGTTAGAGTTTTTATAGAGGCAAACGATGGCACAGAAGATCGTTTTCATGCTTTACGTTTGCGGATCTTCTCTCTTCCCCAATTTTCTGAAGATACAAGTCTTTTTCGGAAATTACAAATTTTGCTACTAAGCCAGCAAAAGATGAAATCGTACGAGTAGTTTTTTATTAGACCGTACACTCCTTGTGTTTCAGTGTATGTTAAGTTAGTGTGCACACAGAACACGCGTAACACGCAGAAGGGCTTAAGATAGACACGCGTTTTATTGTCATCATGATCACGATTCGCAATCATAATTTGAATTGATCTAAGTCCGTCTGATGTCTGTCCATGCAATGTTTGTGGTCAAGCTATATGTAGCTATTTTTGAGATATTTGATGAAATTTGGTGCAGGGACCCAAGAACAAACGCTATTGGAAATGGTTCGGATCAGACCGCTTTTTCGACCACATTCCGCATACCATTCTATTCTGAAAAGTCCGTTGTATGGAAAAAATGGCAATTTTACAATTTCTCCACAAATGTGACTAAGTAGTAGTACTTCGGCATTCTAAATTGGTATGAAAATTTTGGACCGGCTAAAGAAATTTTTAAATCCCTTATCATATAGCGAAAAATGAATTTTCAACGTTAGGTTTTAATATGTACTGATAAAAATTGACCCGTAATAGTAATTTCATAAAAAAATAAAAAATTGTGTTAGACAATGTGGAGTAGGAAATTTAATAGTCGATCTTGCCCGAATATAACAAGAATTTACTTACTACAGTTTTAGCATAGAACGTAGGCCATGCTGAGTAGCATTAGATGATACTGCGACACGCTCATGTTAAACATTTTAATTACTTTCATTTATTACGGGAGAAAATCTTAATTCTGCTGAGGCAAAAAATTGATCAAAACATGAATGAATGTCGATAGAAAATCTCGCTTTAGTAAATAAGCCTATACAGCGATTCATACAAATCGCCAATTCAGAGGATGCGATAGCTCCCTTTTGCATGCAAATACATCTTAGAGTTTCAAATTGGAAAGAAAACAATTCACGTTAAGGTTTATTTTAAAAAACAAGTATTTATATGTTTTGACCGTTTGAGAAAGTCTTCTGGAAATGTGAGAAAAGGGCAGGTAGGTTTCTATTAAACTCAGCAAAATTTGATAATAAAAGCGAAATGATGATTGATAACTTACTTTAAATTAATATTAAATCTGGATGTTAAAATTATTCAAAAAGTAAAAACATCAATTTAGATCGAATTTAGAATGTCTGTTGTATGAAAAATCTATAAACTTTTTGATATACTCCAAGGCATAGGGAAATATACAGCAAACTTTCCAAACCTGCAATATTAGATGCATCAAATCAACATGGAAATTAAAAAAAGTACAAGTTACACATATATTTTTTTTCAAATTTGCCCTATAACTTATAGTTCATCATGGCCTGCCAATTTGTATACGTAATTTAGAAGCTCAGGAAGAGAGCGGCTATCGTCGTATTCATTTTGACGTTTTCCATCTTTGTAAGCAAACAAAGTAGGGTATCCTTCAACTTGTTGATCCACGCACAACTTACGGTTATTAGGAGCCGTACAATCGACTTTGGCAATAATTACACTTTTTTTAATGCTGCGTATTTTTTCGGCTAATTTATCCCAAGTCGGGCTAAGCTTTTGACAATGGCCACACCAAGGAGCGTAAAACTTAACAAACGTAATGCCTTTGGCTATAGATGTCTCAAAGTTGTCTCCATTCAATTGCAAGACTTTGGACTTGTCATCCTCCTTCTTAATTTCCTCCTCCTTATCTGTGGCGGCGTCCTTATTGCCGTCAATACCCAACATTTTCTTAACGTAAGTCTGCAGGGCATCATGATCACGACCACCAGAATATTTTTCAACCTTTTTTCCATCGTCAATCCACAATAACGTAGGATAACCTTTGACTTCAAAGTCTTGACAAATAGATTTATAAACTGTGCAATCAATTTTGGCGATACTGACATCGTCCACATTTTCTAAACTTTTAGCTAATTCTTCCCAAGTAGGTGCCAATCGTTGACAATGGCTACACCAGGGTGCATAAAATTTAACAAAATGATTACCACTCGATACGTGTTTAGCAAAGTTATCTTCGGTAAGTTCCACCAATGCACCTTTTACAGTTTGTGGACTTTCCATTTTAGAATCTTCATCCATTATCTCATTTAGTTCCTCCAAGTTCAATTGTTGATTAATAAACTCCGTAATAGCTGGCATATCTCTGGTACCCTTGAATTTTACTGATCCTTTTTGACCCAATTTGAAGAAACGTAATGTTGGATAGCCCGTAATTTCATGTTGTGTGCAAAGCTCATGCTGCTGGGTGCAGTCGACTTTCGCTATGACGACACGTGGATCATCCTTCACATTCATCATTTCCGCCAATTGCTCCCATAGCGGATGCAGGCGTTTACAATGACCACACCTAAAAATAAAGGTCCCATATTAAGTAATCTCTCAATTATTAGCAAATTGATAGTATTTTTTAATCATTATTTAGAAATGGTATCGGCTTTCCATATTATCATTCACATATATCAAACGAAGCAAAGGAAACTTTCTTCTTAACGCGAAGATTATGTGTAAAAGTACGCATGTATGCGTATATGAAAGATTATAACAACATTAACGTGTACACATTTAGGGCTCAAAGCAAACAAACTATACAATCGCCAAATCAGCGGCTATTTTTATATGTGATAACAATTTATTCTTTCTTTTTTTTCGTTTCTTACCAGGGCGCATAAAACTTAATGAAGTGATTATTTTTGGATATAGCCTCATTAAAGTCGTCTCCCGTCAACTGTACAGCAAAATTTGTTTCAGATTCGACAATCTCTTCCAAAGCCAACAATGGCAAAATTGTTACTACCACTATTAGACCACATAAACTTTGGCCCTTCATGTTTTCAGAATTGAATAACTTATTTATATATTTTTTCTATTTCTTCAATATGCAAATTATGCCGTCAAAATGAATGTTTTCAATTAATGTTATTAAAAGACCGGTAAAAATTTTTACTTTTTCACAAAAGAGAAAATATCAGTACAATTCAATCCTTGAGCAATTGCTTAAGCAGAAAGGCAGTGTTGTATTCTAATTTATAAAGACACATCACACATATGATACTTTGACGTTTTGGTAAAAAATCAATAAAATATATAAAATTTTGACAATTGATAAATGAAACACTTGCTTAATTCCCATAAATCCCAAACAATGTAATCGCACATAACTTAAAAGCTGAACGCAAAGCATTGAAATGCACAAATCTGATAAATTTATACGCATGCGCATAAGCTTGCATGCATCCATTGCAGCATTGCAGCATTTCCAAAAAAAAAAAAAAAATTAATTACACAAGACCACATTATTTTGCTGCAATAACTCAGTGCAAGCTGTATATTTGTATGTTTTTCTTCTTTGTTTTTTATTAGTTATCATTGCAGTAAAGCGCTGTACGGAATGAATCTATCGTGCACTGAAATATCGAAACATGAGTATTAGTTAAACTTGTCCGGAAAATTGGAAAAGTTTAAATTTTGCTGCATAACTTAATATTGCCGCATAGTTTAATATTCAAAGTACGATTTTGTTGCAATATAAAAGATTATTAATTACTTGCATATATTGTATTACTGTTTATTTTTAACTTACTAAAATTACAAAACATCGTTTACTTAACAAAAAATCAATTTTCAAAGAAATTTTTCGTTTTATTTCTATTTATCTTATTGTGTGGTTATGTTCTATGATTTTGTCCCAATAATGCAAGCTGTATATGTTCATTGTATAGATTGTATATGAGAAGCATTTTTCAAAAGTGCTCTTCATGTTTGTTTACACTTGAACGCCGATGGGTATTAAGGGCACGACGCTGTACGTTTATCTGCGCATTTGATAGCCTCCGAGAAAGCTTACTTATCACACTTAGGGGGACGGTTGTTTTCGTGTCGCCGAATATGGCCCCGATATTCGGTTGAAGTTCAAAAAAAATTCGCCCCACAGCGTGCGTAAGTATGAACGCTCAACAGTATGATGTCCATCGTTCAATTTTAGCTCTACGCGAGTGCAAAATTTCTTTGAACATTATGCGTAGTTGTAGTTTTTTTGATCACTTCGTTGAATGCCATTATTTTGCAGCAAATGGTTGCCTGTAAGAGCAAACTACGCAATTCAGATCTATGTAAACGCAGCTGATCGGAATTTGTACGAAGACTACTGCAAGGGAATTTGAATTGAGATGATTGGTCGTCACTTGTGTTTTCCGATATGTTTGAGAGCTTCATTTTACTTTAAAAATTCCTTTTAAAGCAAACACTTAACAGAACAATTTCTTTCATTTCGTTGGTTTTGTCCGGAAGTTTCTTTAATATTATTGTATCCTCGGGGTCTTTAATTCCCCGTCATCTTCTCTAAGTCCATTTTCGCTCTCCTTACTCTCCGCGTAGGAAACATTATCGACGGCCTAGAAATAATTACAGAAAATATATAATAACTTATCAATACTTGGAAAACTAGCTCTACCTCTCGCTTTATAATATCTTTAAGATTTTCATCTCATCTTGAGGGTAACTTATATAATAATGGATCAATTTCCATGGAAATATCTTTGTCGTCGTGGGTTTCCGAATAAAAGGTCTCGTCATCATACTCACCGTCTAACTGATAATGTAAGTTTTTTCGCCTTCATTTCTGTATAGTATTCGGATAAGAATCGATACACATCGATCATTGGAGTGATAACAATTGTTTACCATTTATGAATATTACACCGCCAACAATCTTTATTACCATTCGGGACAATTTCTTTGATAGGAAAGGCGAAACAGCAATCACTACAACAATGCACGAAGTAAATGCATTCATTCCGCACAGCGCTTAAGGCATGCATTGTGCTAGCGCATTATTCCAATTGGTTTTTCCCTCGCAGCATGAGTTTACACACATTTTATTAGTAAGTGCGCCAACAAGTGAAATGGACATAGCCTAAGTTGATAATCTTTTCATTTTTGCAAATAAGCTTGCGAGGAAGCGAAAACGTGCGACTATCTCACAAGTGAATGTTCTGAAAAACATTTTACAAATTCGCAGAAAAGTACATTTGCTGCATAAACTAAATAGATGCGATATAAGGGACGCGAATAAAGCATATATACGGGAGAAAGAAAAATTGTAAATTTTTTGTAGGTCACATGAAGTTCAAGTTAAAAGACAATTCCTTTCACTTTTTTCCCCCTGGATGAGCAAAACTACTTTGCTTGGGTCACGCTCATCGGAGAGGTCGCTAGATCGTAGCAATTACTTCTGACCAATGAAATGATTTATTAGGATATCAGATTATAAGGTATTTCATATCACAAGATATTTGAAACGTATTTTCTACCATTACCACCCTCCGCATTCTATACTTTTAAAAAGCTGGCAGTTATTTCAGCCAAACATTTAAAAAACCCGCAAAATCTGCTTCACTGATAAGGCAAGCAACTGCATGAAGAGCATTTTCCGATTATCATGTTTAATGATGTGATAGCAACAAATGAAAATGTTCGTATAGACGAGTAATGAAACTGACAACAAATGCACCTCCCTAATGATTTCTTTCTCGCTCTCTACAAAATGCAATTTTATGAAGAATTGCTTCAGTTCTGTATAGAAGTTGTAAGCAAAATCCTCGCATTTGAAGCCACGAAAACCTGACGTACACCTCTCCCCTCTCTGCAATCATGATCAATAATCGTGGGCTGAGATTCTAGGGCTTGCGTTTAAGTTTCAAAAATATTGGACGACGTTTATTTCCAGCAGGACATGATGTCACCTGCCAAATAGCTGATGAGACCATTCATGAGAAATTGTAAATGGCAATTTTGCTGGGAAAATCCTATATATTATATGTCAAAAAGGGAAGCAACTTTATCAATTTAAAAATAAGCGTATTTTTGTGTAATTTTTGTTTTATCTCTTTTTTTTGAGATGGAAGTTAAGGTAATAGAATAGGTTCAACGACACATTTGAACATAGATTTAGGTATTGAAAAAAAAAAATTCGTTTTTTAAATAATCCGCAAAGTATTGAGTATTGAAAAAAAAAATTTTTTTTTTTTAAATAATCAAATATACCGACACTGCAGATTTTCTTTCCAAGCATCTTTGCGAGTTGCGCTATGTAAGCCTTCGTATGATATGAACTCACAGAAGTATGCTATCGGTGTTTGCGAGATTCACTCGTTTCGACCAAGCTGAGCTATTTTTATTTAGGAACGCTTTTAACCCTTTTTAGAAAATTTTAGGCAATTTCTCAGGGCATCTATTAGCGGACTAAGAAAGTTTAAAGTCAATTCACAAAACTATCCGCCATAACTTCCCAGAAGAGCTTTTTTTCTTTTTCTTAAGCTTTTTTCTTTTCGGCGGCAAAATCTCTTTCTATTTTTTCCGCATAGCCTAGAAGGTGCAGGCCATCTATTAAACTGATACATCAAAAAATGTGCAGTGGCTTCCGTCCTTTAGTTCACTCATTCTATTCAACTATTCTACTATTATCTTTTCCTTGGTAGTAGTTTTTAGTTTGTGCCAGCTCCCAGCTTTATTTAAAAAGAGTTTTAAATGCATTCAGAATAGCAACAAATAAATGATTTCTTAAAAGTGAAGTGCTTATGAGAAACGTTTGAAGTTGAGTAGTATTGCTTAGAGCCTGAAAGAATTAGAATCGAATGAAATGGAGAGGAAACTCTATTGGGAGTAAAATGTACTCTTTTCAATTGTTTGCGAAAGAAAAGAAAATAATATATAATAATAATAATATATACATATATATATATATATATAAAATAGAAATGACAGTAAACTATTCAAAATCAGGTTCATTTGAAAATAAGTTAGAAAGTGGAAAATGAACGATCCTGCGTTTAAAATCGGACCATTATACCAAATGGCTTCAGCATTTACTGGAGCTGTTGTGACTGCGGTAATAAGTAAGTACGAAAATTGTGCTGTTTAATAATATATTAATAGATATATTAATTAGTAACACCGATGGATGTAATAAAAACCCGAATGCAGATGCAACACAGAAAATGTTATATATACTGTAATGGTTTGATGGATCATTTTTATGTGGTACAAAAGTCAAAAACACCAAAGATAAAAGAGTCGACAATGTCGGTCAATCTTAAGGGAATTACAGAAACGTTTTTAAACATTCGAAAATCTGAAGGTGTAAAAGGTTTTTGGTCAGGTCTAGGACCAACGCTTTTACTAGCTTTACCAACTACGATTGTCTATTTTCTAACATACGAGGAATTGAAAAAAGAATTACTTAAGTTAACACATCATATCCATGACCGTTATATGATAGATGCAAGTTTTTTTGTCCCACTTGCCTCCAGTATGCCAGCACGTTGTTTAGCAGCGACTGCAAGTACACCATTCGAAATGGTACGAATCAAAATGCAGTCAGGACAAATGAGTTACCGGCAGTTAGGCGAAACATTAAAAGAAATAATAGATACTCGGGGCATTGTGGGCTTGTGGCATGGTTTGCCACCCCTTATAATGCGAGATGTACCATTTTCGGCAATTTATTGGACTACTTATGAAACCATTAAATCCCAGTTCCCAGAGTACCGATCGAAGTTTTTGTTTTCGTTTATTTCTGGCGGTATATCAGGGATGGTAAATTTTAAATTAACTTTAAAGTAACTGCTTAATATTTTAAATATTTTAGTTGGCGGCTACTTTAACAACACCTTTCGATGTGGTAACAACTCATGTTCAATTGGAAATTGGTGAGAAAGTGGTGCAAAAAGGTGCTAGAATGTAATTTCGTATCCGAGTCGTTGTGATTTGATTTATTATAAATACATTATCGTTTTAGCAAAAACTATTGAATCTCTTTCTATAGCAAGGCGCTTAAATGAACTGTATCGCAATCGTGGCATGAAAGGAATTTTTTCCGGGCTATCGATTCGTCTCTATAAGGTGGTGCCAGCCTGTGCTATAATGATATCCGTATTTGAATGCGGCAATCGTTACTTTTATAACTATGACAGACGTAAAAAATAAAATCGTTTTACATAAATTTTCAATTCAAAATATTACGTTCACGATATCGTAATCAGAAAAATGAAAGGCTTCAAAATTAAAATATAACGTATTTGTGAAAAATGCAAAAAGTCACCGTTTAATTAGTAACTTTAAAATTGAGCATTAAATAAAAAAATGTATCAAAAATTCTCATATTTATAATTTTTATTAACTTATAAACGCTACCATTATTTGCGACTCTGTGGCATTCAAGAACCTCGTTACATGTGTCAAATCACATTTTTAGCTGTCAGATATTGTCATTTGAAAAAGATATAAAACATTTTTTTTAACTTGATTGAAAAATTTCAATTTTTTCGCTCATTAAACTATCAGAACTTACTGCACAATTTTTGAAAATAATAAAGCGAGGATACAGCTATAAAAAAGACGGAGAACAATAATTGATTGGAATAAATTTATATAAAATTATCATGGGTAAAGATAAGAGTGAAGCGGCAGAAGTTACAAACCAGCCGGCTCTTAGCAACACAAAATTAGTAAACTTACAAAACACTGAATTAGGGGGAATAAAGTCTCGCAAAAAGCCTAAATTGTTACTAGATGATCCCCGGTTTCGTATAAGGCCTCTACAACAAGTTGTCTCAGCTTGCACTGGAGCAATGATAACAGCAATTTTCAGTGAGTTCTTGTAATTTACGCGAGCGAGTTTATTTATGTTGATTTCAAACTGTTTTTTATAATTTCTAGTGACGCCTTTGGATGTTATTAAAACTCGCATGCAAGCGCAACAAACTCAATTGTCTAATAAATGTTTCTTGTATTGCAATGGCTTAATGGATCACTTATGTCCGTGTGACTCGAAATCACCATTTATTGGTTTAAAACCTCAACAACATTTGAATGGCACAATAGTAGGTACTTTTACAAATATTTTCTCTTGCATTAATTTTATCGATTCTTTTACTCTAGGATGCCTTTATTAAAATAAGTCGAGCGGAAGGTATAAGTTCCTTGTGGTCTGGTCTTAGTCCTACATTAGTATCGGCATTGCCATCCACTATAATTTACTTCGTTGCTTATGAACAATTTAAAGCCCGTTACATGGAATTCCATTACACATATTTGGCCGAAGTAAAGGGTTCACCGATGGGTCGTGATGTACCATTCCTTATTCCGTTATTATCGGGTGTTACGGCGCGTATATGTGCCGTGACAGTAGTTAGTCCTGTTGAGCTCATTCGCACTAAGATGCAATCAGAGAAAATGACATACGCACAAATGAACTCTGCTGTAAGGAATGTAATACAAACACAAGGCATATGGGGTTTGTGGCGTGGTCTGCCACCAACCATATTACGAGATGTACCGTTTTCTGGCATATACTGGACATGTTATGAAAAAATTAAATCGCATTTTAATGTCAAAGAACCTTCGTTTGGTTTTAGTTTTTTAGCTGGATTCATATCTGGTTCGGTAAATATTATAAAAAATTTGTTATTAAATTGATTAATAATTTCCCTATCGTATAATTTCGTCATTAGTTGGCAGCTACCTTTACTACACCTTTTGATGTTATTAAAACTCACGAGCAAATCGAGTTTGGTGAAAAAGTTATTTTTGCAGGTGAGTAAACTTTGACGAAGCCAAGATAAATAAATCGGAAGATTGTAATTTTTATTCCAGAAAAACCTGAAAAACAAGTTCCTAGTCGTACAATTAGTCAACGTTTATCCAGCATATACGCTGTCAGCGGCATGCGAGGTATTTTTGCCGGTCTTGGACCACGCCTTTTCAAGGTAGCACCAGCTTGTGCTATCATGATTTCCACATTCGAATATAGCAAGTCCTTTTTCTATCATTACAACGTAAACCAGTACAATGACCAATTATTATCGGCGAACAAACTGACGAACAAAAATGAGGTTTAGTTTAAAAATTAATTTAATTTTAATTTATTGTTATTACAGCTTTTCGGTTTATTTTTGTTTTGTACAGTTAATTATAGTCTCCTTATTTAGGATTATATGCTAATGTAGATATGTGCTCTCGTTTTCTTTAAATAACTCAAACAATTTGCAGATGCTTTAGACTTGTTCGATTTTTTTTTTTTGGTGTTTTTACTTCTGGAACCGTACGACACAGTAGCCAAAGTATTTAATTCACCAATAATGCCAAAAATCCTTCCACAAAATTTTCATCAAGCTTTATTTTTTGATTTATATATTATACTATATTCTCTTTGTTTGTACTCTCTTGAAAATGGTGCTTCATTATTACATAACTACAGTGCGTGACGCAGTCATATCATGGAAGGCAAATTTTATCAATTGCGATATTGCCGAATTATCGGAAAAATTTTGCTTTAGCGAATGCGCATTTATTTTCAAAGAATTTCATTTGGTCGATTTAAAAAAAAAAAAGTTAATGTCAAGTAGAAAATGCAGCACTGTGGTTAACAAATAAATACGGTCCACGCGATCCAAAAATTGCGATTGGCTTGTTAGGTTGATATCAAAGAAGAAGAAGAAGAGTTAAAATATTTATTAAGCTGTCTTAATAATTTATTATTCTACTTCTGTAAAATATTAAATTTATAGAAACGTGACAAAAGAAAAAAAAAAGTCTAATATAAGAAACAATAATCAACGTTTAGTGAGTAAATGGAAGGCATGGCAACTATATCAAAGAAATTGAAATTAGTTGAAAAAAAAGTCAAGAATGAAATACCTCGTGGTAAAGCAAAATCCAATAGACCTTGGAAAACGCCGAAAACTAAGTAATACTTCTTGAACAAGCCATATCTTTAACGGATCAAATAAACTCACTTTTGTTTCTCAGATTTGCCACCATTAAAAAAACCCTACCTCGCTTAACGTTCGAAAAGAAAATGGAATTACGTCGTGAGCTGCGTGCCATTAAGGAGCGGTCAAAAGAAATAAAGGATGAACGTAAACAAGCTGCTATTGCTAAACATCAAAGACAATTGGAAAGCGCTGAAAAACGTTTAGCCAACGAGCAACGTGCAGAAATTGTACAAGTCATTAAGAATCCCGCCAAATTGAAGCGCATGAAAAAGAAGCAAATACGTTTAATTGAAAAGCGGGACTTAAGTCAAGTGAAAGTGATATAAATTCATTAATATTTAGGTTCAAATATATATTTTTTAATACAATCAATAATTTAAATGTTTACATAAAAAAAGACAATAATTTTGTGAGCTTTAATTGCACAGTTTGTTCAGCTCTTTTCAAGCACCTCCGTAAGAAAGTATTGACCTGCAGTTTATTTTGCACAGTTTTAAATCAAGGCAGCAATCTAAAGGATTTATCTGGTGTTATCTATGACCCTTGAAAAAGATTTTGTGGGAATAAGTAGAAAGGAAATCAATTTTTATTTATTCGTAATGTGCTTCCAGATGCAGGTAAAACTTTGATCGCAATTACATATATATTGAAAAATGTAATATATTTCTAAGGATCCATTGATGTCCTGAAATTTTATGCAAATGCTGTGATCTTCATATTCTGAATGACGAAGTAGGATTGGGAATAACATAAGATTTGTGTGGATCGTACTATGGTCAATTTCTTCTTCCATTTTTTTCCTGGAATATGTCTTCTAAAGTGAATATTTTTCTTTGTGCCATGTTAGCACATGTGTAGGAATGCTAGCACTAGCCCTAACATTATATTTTTGAAGGCATCTCTGCGCTTACAAGTTAAATTTACTGCGTTTACATTGTATTTCGACGGCATCTCTGTTTTTACCCGCAAATGTAAGATAATTCGTTAGGAAATGATTGAAGAAAGTGATAGTTTGAAGATTACGAGGGCCGAATGTGTCGCTCTTGAAGGTGTTATGAAATTGGAAAACGAAGTCGAATTTTGTATAAAAAAAAGTTATTTTTTCATTTTTAGTCCTTGGAATTATATGCCGATGTTTTACATACAAAAAATCCCATAAAATGTCGATATTTTTGATCAGACTGAATAGTCGACTCAATTAAATAATGAAACAAATAGCTAAAAAAGTTATACTCAAATTGAGACGAACCCTGTATGCCCATCATCGATGTACACACAAAAACTTTGAAAGCTATAGCTGAAAGCCTAGGACGGTGTACATTCACGACATTTTACGCTGTACACATTGCCCGATGAAAGATTACTTTCCGAAAGTAAACAAAATAAAGCAACATCACGATAGCGTGATGACAAAACATAAGCATAACTTAGCGAATTGATTGATAACCAATAAAATGCAAAGGAGAAATTTGAATCGGCAAATGATAAAACCATGATATTAAAGCATTATGCAGGAATGATGAATGACAGGAAAGTTGCGATGACTTAAGAGCAAAAGTGAAACAATGCATCAGATTTAATATGGCTATATGGTAAAAGTGATTTTGATTCCTACTTAAGCAAAAAATGCGTGCATCACATATAAAGTTGCATATAAAGAGTAGTTGAGTCAGGACATTGAAATTACTTTAATCAAATCAAATGATTGCTAAAAGTGCAGGCAAAATTGCTCTTGAATTAAATTCAATAGATAATTAGCACTCTTAACTAACCTATCGGTTAGTAGGACTCAGGAATAAGTAAGAGAAAAAATGTTTCTTTTGCAAAATTCAATTTTTTCTTCAACATCGTGATCTTCAAACTTGTTGATCTAATATTGCGATGGCTTTTTTTATAGAACAGTCTGCCGACATCCTCAAATTATGCTTGAGCTACTATAATGATCCCATCATTTCATCTCAATTTTTTGCCTGCAGCATCTTTTTGAGACTTGCCAGCAAATAAACGTTGTTAAAGGCATAATTAGGGCACAATGCGACCAGGTTGCGGTCGCTCTCTATCTCTTTCTCTCTTGTCATCTCTCTCCAATCGTTGCACGTATAGCGGACATCTCTTAAATGATTGGCAATACTAAGAAAAAAAATTAGCCAAATTTGGAGACTACGATGAATGCGGCAGCAATTGAAAATTTAACCCTTTTTGTTACCATATCGGTGAATTTGTCCCATTATGAGCAAACGAGGCGATACCCATTTTTGATGGCCAACTTTTTATGTACTGCTTTTTGATATAATTACGCTGTAGGCGATTTTCAGCATCTTATTTTCTTTTTGTTGAGAATAATTTCGAAGATGTTTTTGAATATTTTTTTCATGTAGCCCCTCTACCGGGTCACTGTTTCACATCAGCAAATGGAGAAGAGCTGCCGTCATATCTTACAAACCAAAAGCCATCTTTAATCAAACCATGAAAGTTTCCCGCCGCTTTTAAGCGAAAGTAGTGTCAATAGCATGGAATTTTCATATACGTCATTCGAGGATTGTCAGTTTCAAAAAGTAATTTGGATTTGGTATCCATGTATCAAATCCATGACTTACCGACAGAGTGATGTATATAATTGAAGCGGAATGTATAATTGGTTGTTCCAAACCTATATGTATGTGCAATTTGATGATATGGAATGGAATCGATTTATTCACGTCTCATTGCTTATTGGATATTAAAGCAAAACTGCAATCAAAAGAAAACTTTATTGAAAAAATCTCCACATAAAAAAATAATGAAAAATTTTTATTCACACGTACAAAGAAGAGTTAAGGTTAAATATGCCACGGAATTTCAAATATAAAATACGAACATTGAAACAAAAAACAGTTATATGTTTAAAATAAAATATTTTTCTTTTAATAAGATTCGCTGCCTATAATAAAAATAGATTTGCGATTTTTTTTTTATTTATTTATTTAATTATTTTCGTTTTTTTTTTTTATTATTTAATTCTAGCATTGATAGCGCTGATGAATGCTGTTACATGTTATGCTGCTGCCATCTTACGCCCTTACTTATGGGTAATGGGAATCATAGTTTCACCTGAAGTAATAGCCGGCAAAGGAGCGTCTACAGTGAGTACTCCATCTTTACTTAAAGATGAACGTATGGTTTCAGGATTAACGCCTTTCGGTAATAAAAATTCACGATTGTATTCCCTGTAGACGCTTTTGGTGTCAGATTTTTCCTCATGTTTTGCATGAACCTGTCAAATAATTGATGATAACAAATAATGTTAGAATAAAACTTGTATTAAAATGATATTGTCACCGCCTAGTTTTATATTGGCAATAGGCAGAGAATTTACTTGACATTTTACTATAAGTAGAAATCTATATGTATGTATGGAGGCGTCACGCGCCTAACACGGTGTTTGGAGAGAACAGGGTACAAAATTTGCAAGTATTATAAGACGAATCCAAAGAATCAAATATGGGTTTTTTTCCATTGATTTTTCCTTTCATTTTTTATTTTTCATTTTTTTTATCATTAATAGGAAGCGTCCCTTTAACCAACTTTGCGAAGAGAAAAAAAGTAGATTAGCTGTTTGATGAAAATTAATTTTATCGATAGTTATTATTATTTTTTGATTTTTTTGTTGTTATCCATCATATAATGTTGCTTTTTTAAGTTAACTTATTTTGCGTACAAATAAATTCGTTCCGTTGAAATTTCTTTCTTCTTCTTTATTAAACATACCTGACCGCATTCCCAAAGTTTAAACAGACGGTCTGAAATGACAAATGAGTGGTATTGCAAGTTTTTCTTGTTGGAGAGTGCCAAAAACACACACCACATAGACACGCAGACGGACAGATATGACTAGATCAACGCTGATTCAGAATCTATATACTTTATAGGGTCTCTGAAGTCCTTCCTCTCCCTTTTAGGTGTTGCATGCATTAAGGAAAAAAACAAAATGAGTATAGCCCCATCCTACAGTGATGGGTATAAGAAAATGTTTCGACACAGCGGCAAGGCAATCGTGTTAAGCGGGGGGAATCCGTTTTTGTAAATGTATTTATTCAAAATTGGTGGTATATTATAATGAAACCGATGAGAATTATTTGAAAAAATCTAATTGGTTTGCAACAACAACAATAACAATCATTTGAGAAAAAGTGACATCAACATTATTTCAAATAAATCGAATTGAATTTCATAAGCTATCTTACTGGATGAATAATTGAATATGATGTTATGTATTAATTAATTTTTTTTTTTCAAGAGGATGATTCAAATTATTCATTCATTCACAAAGAATTAGATTAGAATGTGGGATGCCACTGACGTGTGCTTTGTTTATAATATATATAACATAAATTAAAAAATTTTATACACAATAGCTTTTTATTTATTCCTATTTATCCTTGACACCAATATATTAAAAATAAAAGAAAAAATAAAAAAAAAAAAATAGCTGAACAGATTAATACGCAATAAGTTTTAATATTTTCATCAAATACATATAAAAGAAAAAATGTCAGGTAAATTCTTCAAGATTTGCTTCGCAATGCGGGACTTATGCATATAAATAGACACGATGCGTTATAAAAATCTTACCAATAATTTTTGATCGACAGTCTTGACAACAATTTCTTCGGGGGCATATTGGCTTACATCGAAACGTAATTTAAGCACTTTATTATCCCCATCCTCCTGCGATTAAAAACAATTTATATTAAGGCAGATATTGACGAGGTCGCTTATATAAAAATGCATTACAATCTTACCTGAATTAAAGGTGAGTTAATATCCGAAATATAGTTCTGCTTCGGTCTAGAAGCGTTTGTTGCACTGTGCGTGTTTGTGTTAAAAATCATAAATGAAAATTAATTATAATTATTATTTTACTAAAGAAATAGTCAAGTTTAATTACTGCATAATGAGCGAACCGAACATGAATAAATATCTAAATAAAAACACACATACATACATACATACATACATACATCCACATATACATACATAGATACATCGATTCGGGCAAACAGTTTTAAAAGTTTTAAAAACAAAAACGGAAAAATTATATTTGCATTCGCTTCACATTTTGTTAGTGTTAACAAAAATGCCTTTTGTCATGTGCGGGATAAATTTATGAATAAAATCAAAACTGACCTGCCGGATTAATGGCAACATATATGAAATAAGTTCCAGATGTTAAACACACGCACATTTTACAAATTCTTAATAATAATAGTTTTCAGGTCACAGCTTAAATGACATGAAAACATGAATTTGGAAATTTTATGCATATTAACGTAATCGCTTATGACGGCAAAGTCCAAATAATTGAAATTCAAAAGAAAAAACTTTATCCAAATCCGAATTAGAAATGTTTTATATTCACATTTACTTTCAGAACCACAAAATGGATGATCACCATTTATGTATATGTTCGATATAACAAGTTCGATAATAACAAGGTTACTAAATAATACCCCACCAGTTTCCGTTGGTGGACGACAATGAAATTAAGCAATTTATCTCCTTATTAATAGGAATTTTTCGCTCAGACTCTACGAATGCAAATCACAATCGCATGCATAAAGCGTTCTTATCTCACAGCGTGGAAGCATGAAACAGTTTCATGACGAAAGCTTCCATAATATGAATTTAAGAACGACCGTCCTATTTACCTAATTATCAGTTAATCAATTTAAAAGCTAATTAAATCTCAAGACATTTCCGTTCAATTTTCAAAACGAATCCAAAATGTGCTCCAAAACAGGTCTGTTAACGTTCTATCTCGTTCAAAAATTGAGATAAGTGCAATGGTCATATAAGCAAAAAAAATTCCGTATTCGAATGTGACCGAATCTTTGACACCCACCATCGTTATCCTATAAGAGGCAAGAAAATTAAAGAATACCTGGTTTTATCTAAGGGCAGTAGACCGGTAGAGTAAATTGATCATTTAAGCAATCTTTACTGCGTTCGACGGAATTGATCTATACTTACTAATAGCCTATGGCTAAAAAATTAGAAGAAAAAAAAAAAGAAATATTGGGTAAGCTTGGGCAACCTGCTGCATCTATATATATATATATATATATATAGGCGCTATAGTCGATATATTCTATTTTTGGAATAAAAGTGGAAATTTATATCCTGCATGTGTTGTATTTTATGAGTAGTTATGAGAGAGTGAGCTCAATTTTTGTTGCTTGGGCGTGTCCTTTGATAGGCAATGTTTTCATTTTTACGAACGAGAGAATACTTACAACGAATACTACACTGTTGGGCAGATGGACAGACGAACAGACGGATATGCTTAGGTGCATTCCGAATTTGCAAGTGCCCAAGAATGTATACACTCTATGGGGTCATAGAAACATGTTTCTATGTTCTTATTAAAAAGCTATTGAGAACGCAAACTCAATTTCCTTACTCTATAATATTGGATAAGCTTGGCCAAGCTTCTGCATCTAAGTATCGCCTGTAAAATATAGATTGCATTTTTTTCGCGTTCATCTGCTGCAATTTATGCGTGATGAGCAAAAAGAAAATATTTTTTTAATAATTAATTTACGCGGTACTGTAGATGCGTCCTTCGGTCAATATGTGCTCATTTTCAATATCAACCTATGTGCAAAAATTTTTAATGCTTTTATCAATATTTAAATCTGACAGATTTGCTTTTGCATTGACCAGGACAATGTTTTGGCGCAGTCATTGCATAGACGTCACAGACGGATATATTAAATCAATTCAGAATTTTGATGCTGACCAGCTTTATGGGGTCTGTGAAGCATACTTTTATCGCGTTGTTTTAAACAGGTTTGACAAAATGAATCATCCTCCTCTCATCCTTCCTTCGGTGATGGGCATAAAAAAAATTGGGCCTGAAAAAATGGCTACAAATAACGCCACAATACAAAATATCACCTTTCGGTTCAGTTCTCAATTTTTACGATTATGAAAATGTCCCACATATATATATATATTTATATGTATTTATATGCATATATATATTTATATTTATATGTACATATATATATATTTATATGTATTTATATAAATATATATATATATATACGTATAATATGTGTGTGTTGTGATTATATACAAGATTTTCGATAAGAAATTAGTTTTAAATGATAAAAAAAAAACTATCGTAAAAATTTATCATTTAATCAATTTGCATTCAATAAATATGAACAATATTATTTATTGTTAAATTTAAATTAAAATTAATTGATGGAAATATGTAAAATTAAATTAACATAATGTGCGTATACTATATAAATATACATCAATTTTTATTAACATAAAAAACATAGTAACTTGGTAAGCCATTTTCATGCCTTGTAATACCTGCTTGTTGTTGTTTTAGTTGTACTACATTTGAAGTGAAAGTATTTGATTGATTTAAAGGAATGCACGAAGCCATAGTACATATTATAATTCGCATGTGGGAAAATTTTTTAAAAACAAGCGCCATTTTACAATTTGAAATAAGAAGCGTTAATTTATTAAGAAATAAAAAACAAAAAAAAAAAAAAGAAAAGAGAACACAACCATAGAATTAGTATTAGAATTGAAAAGAAATATTATTATTATTATTATTATTATTAATATTATTATAATTATTTATTTTTCTTTTACTTTTTTTTTTTGTTTTTTCTTAGAGCGTAATATTCAATGCCAAAGCATACCACGGTGAGGCTGATTGCGTTTATATTAAAGAAAGGAAATTCCAAAAATTTTTTTTGAATATTTTTATAGAAATGCAGATACCTCCCTCTTAAGAGTTACTCGGTTATTCGGTGGGGGATATTATTATATATTAATAGAATTACATATACGCAGAGTTTACAATTTTACAGTTACGTAAGCATACAATACAACTACTGTTTAAATGTTTGCGTAGAATAAGTAAAACAATTGGACGCTAAACAGAACTTATCAAATATTCCGTTTGCGTGGAAAAAGAAAAAACCTAATAATAAAAGGAATTTTTTTTTTATTTTATAATAAAAAAAAAATCCTCTCTCGAGCGTATAATACGTTTATAAGATGTATCAAAATATATTAGGACTAGAATTACAGAGTATATCGTCAACGGTCAAGGAATTTTTTTGTCAAACCTCGGTTCTAGTGTTAATTAGTATAGCGGCGTTCGCTTCCCATTACTTTATCCTGAAACTAGGAAACTAACGAGCACGGGATATCGTCACCATAATAGAAAAGAGTAGCTAAGGACATTATAGTCGGCCACACCCCACCATTAAATAACGTATAACACTTCGCTTATTACAGTTTTTCATTTATAATGATTCATCAAAATAAGACTGTGTATGAGGAGTGATCCGATCCGAACGCCTTTCAATACCGTTCAATAGCGAATCAAAACACGTCAGTGTACCAAAATTTTCTTCAAAGTATATTAAAAATTTCAATCGGCAGGTTGAATACAAAAAAATACGACGGACAGACGGATAGACAAGCTTAGATCTATTTAGAAAATGACTGTTAACCGATCGATATAGTACCACAAGTGTTGCAGAGTATAATAAGGGTAGATTGCATATATATATATATATATATGCATATGTGAAAACTATGCAAAACTATTCCCTTAGAATTAAAATCAAGTCCATCGTTTAGATTCCACGTATGATAAGCACATAACTTTTCTTTAATATATTTTGCAAACAAGTCGACCCATACCATTTCCATTTCCGGTCGCGTGACTAATGCCTTTTACTTGTTCTCAGTTAATGAGAAAAACTTGTAAACTATTGAAAAGCTTTACCGAAATTTCTTTCAGCTTCTTGTGCACTGTAATGACGAATATTGATTTTTGAAATTCCAAAATCGAAATTGTGTGTTATTGTGTGCCAAGTTTTGCCCATGGAATTGTAATCTTTCATCAATCAACGCAGATATCTGGATCCACAAATACTCCACGAACTAAATTGGTTTACAATAATTATATATATACTCCGTCCTAAACGTTTTGTAAATCGGAAATTTGCTCAAAAAATATCTAACTTGATACAAATAAAAATTCTTATTGGAATTCAGTCCGGTTTCGGAAATGTACTATGACCTGGTATTCTCAAGGAAATCCACGAGAAGTTTTTAACTATCTTTAAATGGCAAATGTAGGCCGAATCTTGATTGTTGCTGCCATGTTCTTTGAACGAACTTTATTCTCGCGCCAACTTTCTAAATAATATTGTGGCTTATCATTTTACAACTGAAGCAAGAGCTATCCTTCTTCAACCTATGAACTTTCCTCATAAAAATAAACTGAAATTGGATACAGTCTGTGGAGGTTAAAAGCTATCCGGAATTCTGCGACTTTCAACTGGAGCTGGACCGTTAACGTAAGTTAAAGAAAATCATATCCTGCTGCGCCTTTGGTACCCACTAATCGTATCGGTTCGTTAGGAAATGACCAAACTGATCGAGCGTCGAATTTTGCTGCCTCTTCAGTTCTAACTATGAACGACATCATGGAGAATTTCGAGCTTGAGAGAACGATATATTAGAAGGAAAATTAAAGAGAAAATTGTGGAAGCAAATCTACGATACTATTATCCTTAATTCTGCTCACCTAATTCCATCCATCTATCCACCCTACAAAATATTAACAAAATCCAAACGAAAGCATATGCGAGAACTCGCCTCGTAATCATACAATTGCAAGACAACATTGGATTCATCCCCAATCTGCAATTTTGGTCAAACTCTTACAACAAAGCACTGGCTTCGTGACTGTCCAAACTTTTTTTTATCGGAAGAATAGCATTCGGATTAACTAATCCTGTGGACATGGTAAAACTCCTCTACCCAATATCGAATTTTCTTTTCTTCAAATAGAGCCCCGACAGTCGTCTACCTTGCTTGTTCTCAATTTTTTTTCTTTTTTTCTTTTAATCTAAGAATTTATTTCATTAGACTAAAAAAATTATTATAACAATAATAATTATTAAAAAGAGTGCACAGTCACGCATATAAATATGACAAAACGAAAGTATAGCAAATAAATTTTTTATTTATTTACATATATATATGTGTACAGTGATGGACACGAATGTAGCACATGTAGTATCTGTACCTTTATTAGACGAATACTGGCTTGGGTCTTTTTTTTTTTTTTTATTCGGTCCTTTCTCTTACTAGTTACATGTGATCCAAAGTTAAGCTAAACTTACTTTGCTTTGGTCGTTCTGCTGCCTATGCAGGTTTCTTCTTCATATAGTTAGTACAGTTAATGCGGAAAAAAAAATGGTCTAGACAAAATCCTTTCAATACTTACTAATTGATCAATTTAAGTGAGTCAGAAAAATCCCACAATATCACCACATTTGTGCTCAAGCCAATCAGGTCAAGCATTACTTGCGCTTTAATTAAACGCGAACGCAAATAAAAGGGGAAGAGAGAAGCTGATTAAACCCATAGGTGACACTTTAGGACGACAATTAGACTTAGTTATGATGAATAAAAAAAAATTTTCTTTTGAGAACAACGCCTACGAAGTGTGCTAAACTCAGCTAGCTGCGATGAACTTTGCCCATTTATTGTGCAGATCAATGTTTCCCAACACAGTTCAGACCAATGCAAATTTTAGAGTTCACATAGCGAACTACTACAAAATATGATATTATATGCGGACCATTGAAGCTATTTACACGATACTTCAACGATATTTCTATCGCCTGCAATTAATTATCAATTATTTTATTTCATTTATCAAAAGTGCTTATGATATCTCCTTGCCAAGAAAACCTTGTTCGACAAGCCAAGCCGGCCAGCTTTTTCTTTTTCGACCAGTTTTATAAAGCACTTCCTTATCGACTTAAAAATTTACCTGAAATTAAATTTTTAGCAGCTACACTTTCACCATAGGTAACAATTTGAAATGGTATTTGGCAATTCCGAAGTATTGTGCTGCCAAAGACGATAAGATTTATTCATTCATAATTTCCTTTTTTTAAAAGATAAGATGGCCACCTAATATGGGCAGCAAACGTGGAATGTGTGGATTAACGCGGACCTATTTTCAATAACAATAATTATCATCCCGGTATATTATATTTCAGCTCTCTTTCCTTCTTTCTCTCTGTCTGGCTCTCTTTCTATCTCAGTTTTTATGGGCACCGAAATGACAAACGAGAACGCTATGCTTCAAAACCGAATATGGTTGAATGTTAATAAAAGCAAGCACTGAGGGTGGATCCTTTTCACATATATATATATATATAAATTTTAAATATTTTATGCTATGGTGTGGGGGGCCGGCTGTGTTAGTCATAATTGTGATTTAAAAGAAAATCAAAATAAAAAGTGTGACGTTATTCCGAAGCTATTCCTTAAGCCCGTTGCCAGGTAAACCAATCAACACAATTAAAACCTTGAAACAAACCAGGCGGCCAACATGCCAGCTAAAAAGCAATCAACAAATCATCCCACATGTTATAGCAACCATCCAAATAACGACGACGGCGAAGGCAACAGCGACGACGACGACGAAAACAGCAATCCTCTCACCGATGATGTCATGCAGCACACATGGTTGGATAGTTTAAAAATAAACTTTGAAACTTTTTATCGTCATTTTCGTACAGGCATGCATGGCTACGTACATTTATGTATCTTTCTATGTGTGGTAAGCAAATAAATTTGTTTGTAAGAAAAAAAAAAAAAAAAGAAAAAAAAAAGAAAGTAAACAAAAACCCAATATTCATTCGAGAGCAGATAATAAGAGTTACGCAGCTTTTCTATTCAATCAATTATTTTTATAAACGTTGGCGGCATCCACTGTATGTACATATAAGTAAGTTGTTCATTTTCCAATTGCATATTATTTTATATATATTTATTCGAATATGAGGGGGTAGTTATTATATATCATCACTTTGACGCTATTCATATTCTTGATCAGTGTGCGTTTACACACTTCTGTCTGTTTGACTGTCTGTCTGTCTGTCGGTCGTTACAAATGCAAAATGCAAAATTTTCAAAAAAGTTGAATTTTCCAAAGTTGAATGCACTCATGAACGCAATTCCAAGATTGCGAATATTCAAATTTACCCGATTGATAGACTCGATCTAAATCTACAACTAAATGCTTATTAAGACTAAGGAAAAATGGATACAATTTTCGCATGTACCCGAAATTTAATCAATATAATAGTTTTCGTATACATTAAGGGAATTCGGCTTGGATTGAACTTTTTTATAATAAGCAGTAAAACGTTCTTGTCCAATATTTAATTGCAAGATAAAGGAAAATTTCAATTGCTCAATACACGTGGTATGTCATATCGCAGATCATATATTTTATGTGTACTTCGTACACATATATGTCGTATATGTGAATTATATCTATCTACATATATATATATATATATATATATATATATATATAATATATGATCTGCTATATATATATATATATATATATATATGTTTAGATAAATGTACATAATATACATTTTATATATCGATTTACTTGTTGAGATGATTTTTGGACTTAGTGAAAACTATGAATTCAAAAAAACACTTTTGCAATTTTGAAGTAGACCGTAAAATTTTGCATTAATAGAGAATCGAGGGTGCGCCCACAAACATTAAAAACCGACATATATAAAAAAGATGGAGTATCAAAATAAGGTTTGCTTTTTACAACTAAGTAGCTATGAGATCACGCCATGATTTAAAAATGTACGACATGCATAATATATATTTACATACGTATATATATATATATATATAAAATATTGTATAAAATGCAATATATACCGGGAATGATATTTTGCTCAGTTGAATATCCGAAATTCGTAACGATGCGCAATAAGAAGATATCGCCAGCAAACACTGGTTGCAGAAAATTGTTAAATTTTAGTAATTAAACATTAAAGCAAAATAATTCACTTGGAACAATTCCAATGCAATTATTTTTTTCCATCAAATATGATCGACCACAAGGAAAAAATAGAAAGGCCTTTAGTCTTTAATGTTTTTTGAGCACAAAAAAAAAAGACCCTTTTTTTATTTGCTAATTGTGACTTTTTCAAGAAGTTGGTCTATATTTGGGAGTTAAAAAATGTCATATATATTCTCAATACACCTTAAAAGTCTAGCAAACAAACGAGAGATCTGCCAAAAGTTTATGTTACGTTTGGTTTATAGAGGGTTAAGGTACAGTGTTTTGATAGATAAAGATATGAAAAATGCAGCCATAAAAAGTATCAAGCCCAATAGCAATGATAGAATTGATTAATTCTAAATGTAAATATGAGTGAATGTGAGCTCAATATATACAAGAACACGCACATACAGAGATGAATGCACTGTAGACAACCGCATCCGCGCAGTGCACTTAAAATTAAAATATTTAAAATAAAAGAAAAAGTACAATAGGTGCTACTTTTAGTAAATGCATGTCAACTATGCTTCAAGGTCTTTACATATTCCTAATTTTTCTGTTTACAACATATTTTCGATAATTTTTTTCTTTTGTTTTTCGCCTTAGATACTAATGAGAAACTTAAAAATTGAGATACGCAAATGAACAGATCTGCCTTTACATGTGTGCCCTAAGCCAACAACATTTACAAGATTTCTAGATATAAAAAAAAAAAAATTTATATATATATAGAAAAAAAAAAAAAAATGAATATTTCTATTTTTAATTATATGAACACAACATTGTTAGAATGAAGACGCGCATATATACACCTCATGGTCATCCCGTGTTTTCGTTTATATATCAATTACACGAACATGTATTCTCATCCCATATATAAATCCAGAAGATTTTCACCATATGCAAAGTCTATACACTCGAACAAATATGCTCTCAACAAGTAAAAGCACTAGAGTGGATCACGATCCACCATTAGGTATATTCCACCACTCCAATTCAATTATTCAAATTAACGAAATTTCCTAAAAAGGCATTATATGAGAAGTGGTACAAAAAGTGGTCCGATCCGAACAGTTCGTTTCAGTCCACAACACATCAGCATAGTAAATTTCATCAAAATATCTCAAAAATTATGGATGGCAGGTTGAATGCAAGAGCATAAGACGGACAAACGGACAAGGTTAGATGGATTCAGAAAACGATTCTTAGTCGAACGGTATTATAAAATATGGATCTGTCTCAAGTCTTTCTGGACGTCACATATGCCCGCACAAGTATAATTAACCCCTGTATCGCGAATGGTATAGAGAAGAGAGCTAACTGCTGTCATGATCTGATCCGATCGTTATGAATAAAAATGTAATGTCGAACTACGTATTAAAATCGCATATTCTAATAAAGATCTAAACTGTATTTGAGGTGCAGAGGGAGCCAGACCTTTATGTATTTATAGATTTGAAACTTCTGATTTCAATGTCAATTTGAGTTATGAATTTCATACATTTCAACGTAACAGGTGTATTATAGAGAGAAAGAGGTGTGTCTTTTATTCAAAAACTAACACATAATGAAAACGTTTACCGCAAAGCATGTTAATGAGAAAAATGATTACATACACATATCTTATAGGCATACATATAAATAAAATGTGTGGGAGATGATTTCAGATCCTCTTGATGTATGATTACATTTTTGAAACTTAGGGCAGAAGCCCTCCAACAACCATTCGTACATATTTTAAGATCATTTCGTCAACAACAACAAATTCTCAAGAAACGGCAAACGCATTGTTAAAATAAAATGTTCAATTTTTGCAAGAGTACTTAAATTTCGATTTACATAAACATTTAAACAGTAGCCGTTATATAATGCGGTATCTATACAGAGATTAACTTAGATACTTAGAGATATATACAAAATAGAGGTTATCGCTATCAAATAATAAATAATTTACAAGACCATTACAAATGTATATACCTGGTGCTTTCAAAGAAATTTGATTCACGGTTCATTAACTCGTGACGAAATTTAGCCATTTCCTCTTCCATCTTACGCATTTCGGCATCGAAACGCTCTCTAATGCTGCTGAACTCCGTATCAATAACGCTAAAATCCCCCAATTTGATCGGAATATTACGTTTGTTAGCATCGGCCATTATGAGAATAATTTAATGGTTTTGCAGAGAAGAACGCTATTAGTTTCTTATTGAGCCGTTAAGTTAATACAGGCACAAAAATTCTTTTGGTATGGACAACAAGTTATTTTTAGATTTAACACTACTAATGGCAGCACAGTACGATTTTAATTTCTCCGGAACCACTCCGCGCAGTTACGTATTTCTTATAAAACTGTTTTACATATCACGAAGAAAGTTGTTTTTATTTGACATAAAACAAATAGTGATGCCACATTTTGCGATTTGTCTTACACTCAGAAATATGATTACCACATCGCAAAATTTTATCTTAATTGTATATATATAACATAGTGCGTACTAATATATGCATTTTGTTATTATTAGCAGTATATAACAGCAAGTTAAATTCAGATATTTTAGCTTTTGAATTCTTCATCGATTAGTCTCCTTTGCGATTTTATAAATGTAATTGTGAAAATTTGAGGTGAAGTCTTTAAAAACATGTCGGTTGTTTCGATTCAACAGTAACGAAGGCATTTATATTTTCTGTATTATAATCGACGATTTGTTTCATTCTTCATATGACAAAAACACAAGGTATTATTGACTTCTCTTAAATTAAAGGCTTGTAACAAATTGTTTTGTAACCGAGGAATGATTTTCTCTCATGAAACTGTAATTAGTTTATTTTCTATCATTGAATTTGATAGTAAAATTGACAATTTAATAATATTCGCGTTCTTTTTCTTTACCGATAATTTCGTGCTAACGACTTTTTACTTTATCATTTTTGTTTTGCAGTATTTTAGGCACAGATGTCTAGTACTGACGCAATAAACTAGCTTCGGAGAGAGCTTCGCCGCTGTATTGCTACGCAATTGTTTTCATTTGGCAACTTTCTTTTTTTGATGTATATATTTTGTCTTTCTGGCCATTTTAACTTCCTAACGTTTATGTATGATTCGATATTGTTTTAATTTCCTTACATTAAAGTTGAAAATTGTTCGATTTTTCTATTAACACTTTTCTGATTGAATGTAAATTATGCTTTTCTTGTAAATATGTGTCAGTTGCTTTATTTTTCACTTTATATATGCGTCATTTATTATTACAAATATTTTTATTATTATAACAGATGAATTGTCATTCAAATGTCGTCATGGATTCACTAAATTAGTTCATCCGACGCAAATGTTTCACATCAATTTAATATTCCGGAACGCTATTGGCCAGCGACCTTTGCCGGAAAATATCATATTTTTAAAATTTTTTTCATATAACGAATTGTTTGCAATAAATACGTTGTATGAGAAGTGATAATAACAATACGTCATCCAATTTATTTTCAATAGTTTCCACTGTAGGGTGAATTAGATATTAAATAGACAGATAAGTAGATAAGCTTAAAAAAAAGATTCTGCATTGATCGCAAGTCCTTCTGGGTGTTATATAGATTCGCGTAAAACGTATTGAATGGCAAAAGGCATTTTTTTATGTAACATTATGTTGAAACTCATAATTAATGCTTCGGAAAGCGCACATTTCGCTGCTAAATAAGTTTGCCCATTTTTCAAGCATTTATGACAGGATTTGGTAGCTGAAGCATTTCATATCTGGTCCCGCAAATGGGGGAAGGTATGTATATCTTATTTTATTAATCATAATCCATTGTGAAGTTACGAGCTTCCAAAACAGCTCTGTCACAGAAAGTCTGTATGACATAAGAACAAAATTGTTGTTTTCACACTCATTCGTACTGCTTGCGTCTTGAATGGTTTTAGTTTCAATTGTAAATATTGAAGCGCTTTTGCTTATTATTAGTCAATAAATGTTTGCATAAAATTTTGTTATGAATAATTATTGCCCTACTTGGCAGTTCGGTCGAAGTGGGCGCAGATGAGATGTAAGAAAATGTTTAACTCAAACAAAAATTTAAAGGATGAAGAGGATTTATCAAGCGACAATGATTCATCGTGTGCGCTAAAGCAACTAATGGGACCATTAAATAATAATTTCCATAACCGCATTAATCAAAAAGCATATACTAAATTTTTTCTTCTATAATGACGAAATTGTGAATCAATCCATTTTTTCCACTATCAGGAGCAGTTTTAATTTTTTCCGTGCTTTTAATTTTTTTTTTATTTTTTGCTACCTATTCGTAATAAATGAAATTATGTATTAGGTAATGTAGTGCATTATGTAATGCATTAGGGAATGTATTTTGATAATTTTTCGCTTGAAATGGATATTTATTGAGAAAAATTGGTACAATATATATTAATTAAAATATTTGCCTCTAGAACTTTTTCTCGTCTTTTTGGCCGTGTCGACAACACAATATTGGTGTGGCAGCGATCCAATCAATGACCCATTTCGCATTTCTCTAGCATTTCGAAACGATTTGTCAGCCAAACCATACTGCACTGATCTCCACAAGTGCTCTGGTGATGTCTGGCCAAACGTTGTCATGCAATAAGATGACTTTGTTTCTGTTAGCCGCTATTGCTGGTCTTTTTGAAACAATACATCGATCGGTTTGTTCAATTGGCTTTGGTAGATAACTATGGTAATAGTTTTATACGATTTTAGCACCTCGTACTAAGCTATACCTCGCTGATCCTATCATATGCAGAGGAAAACTTTAAAACCTTGAATAATCCGATTCGGTGTTGATGTGGATGGCTCTCCTGAACTAACCCGTGACTTTTCATCGTCAGTCACAATACGCCACTGAAAATTGTTCTTTCATTGCCTGGCAAACGATTAAGCTGCGATGTTGAATCGGTTGCGAAACGGCATTTTCGGTCATTTTCATCAGCCATTTTCCCCCTTTTTCGATCTTTCTAATCGCATGTAAGCGTCTACGAATAGGTGATTCATCAATTGCTAAGCTGTTCGAAAGTCCTTTGAGAGTTTCAATAAATCTTGCAAGTTATTATCGTTGAACTTTTTTGGTCCTCCTTTGCCATTGACAGACCGTTGGAACCAAATCGTACAAATTGGGATATGATGGAGTAACATCACCATAAGCTTCTAAAAGTGTTTGATGTACTTTGACAGCAGATTCCTTCAAATCAAATAACAAAAGAAATGAATGTTGAAAATGCAATTTTGAGTCTTCGATGATTATCGTCCGTGTGGACTGAATAATTCAACAATATTAAATGGAAAACCCGATCAAAATCATCGAATATAATCGTTATCTAAATTGATACTTCGCACGACTTTCTCATTTTGACCAATAGATGTCGCTGGCTAAAATACATGCAGGCAATGGTGCTATTAGTTTTTATGAAGGTGTTATTATTACTTTCTGAGGATAATTTTTCTAGATATGATTTGTCTCAGCTGCAGAATATCGTGTAAATGACGTCAGTCTAGCTCTCTTTCTTTCGAAAGTCACAAAAGGGGGAAGTTTGGTATCCTCAGTAGCGCCCATAATTGAGCGCACACACTTTTGCCTTCAAATGCAATTGTAGTTGTAGAAAAGGAATACTTTCAAGCCTACGCTTCGCTACTTTATTCAATTAGTCACGGCAAAGGTCACGACAAACCAGCTATCCCACTCAGTAGGTACTAGTTAAACAATGTTAAGCAATTCTCATGCAAATATCGATTGAATAAAGTGTTGGTTCGTGGATATTCTGCCAACCGATGCTCTGAGGTCGCGTAATTTTTCTAACTAACGTAATCTTTTGTATTTAATAGAACCACGGAATCATGCATTATGAACTGCCTTTTCATGGCGAGAGAGTTGAATTTGCCCTCTTTTTAGTAATAACTAATGCGACTGAACGCGCATTTGGGGTGAAGTCGTTAAAATTAATGAACAGAGAAGCTGTAGTGTTCCATCGTGGCAGTACTAGACTTAACATAAGTTTGATGGCTCGGCGAAAATTGAGAGGAATGGGCTAGTAGGTCTTGATGCTTCTACCGCATGGTCCATGTGATCACCATTTGCTTCGTCTTGAGCGAAATTCTCTTAGCGGTGTTAAGTTGATATTGAAGAATTTCTGTGACGATTAATAATTCGCTCAGAAATCCCAGAAATTCTAGTGTAATGGTATAATGATTTTACCAGAAAAGTGGAGAAGGATTGTCGATCAGAATATCATCAATTTGGTTTAATAAAGCCGAGCTAAAATACAAAGAAATTTCTTTGAATTTTAAAGGCCACCAACACATATCCTACATATACATGTCTCATTGCATTAATTCGTGCGCAGAGCACGGAAGCGAAAGGTCAGGAAGTAAGTTTTATTCAATCTTTGTAGGTTATAGGTAGGTGAACCATACTGCATGAATATCCTAATAAAGTAGCGCTAACTCATACGTCTTTAAATAGCGAGAATACATAAAGTTCCATTATCTAGACAGACGTATAAAAAATGATTTGCTTGTATGTGCTATATATAAGGAAAATAATAATATTTACATATAAATCTATAGCTTTCAGTTCGTTGCCGAATGTTATTAGAATGACGCCATTTCGTCATTCTGCAACTTTTTCTTAACCCAACCAAGCTGGAGTTGTGGCATATTGCTCGGATAAATAACAATTAATTCCAATATAAAGGAATTACGAATACTATAACCAATTCAGCCAATTATGGGTCCATAAAGAAATCAATTTTAATTTAATAGGAGTTTGCAAAAATATTGATCAGTGATTTCTGCAGGTAAAAATGTTGGGATAAATGGGAAATACTAGAGTACGTAATGCTTGAAGTCGAGGGTTGACCCTGCTCTGCCTAGGATAATCGTTTTCCATTCAATATTATTTATTTATTCAGCGTATGCTGACGCTAATCATGGGACGTTCAAAATTCTTTCTCTTTCAAATTCAAATAACTGCTGAAATGCTAAATATGATTGCATCGATCTGAATCAGAATTAATCGGTTAATCAGAATGATCCCTCATCGGAAGTGACACTTCCAGTCCAAGTTGAAGATCACTTCTTGGATTGTTTGTGCAAGAGACGGACAGACATGTGACAATTTCATCCACTTCAAGCACTTTGTTTCATAGTTTATCGCATTTTCACTCCAGACTAACTTAAACACTGCCGTTAATGCAGTTGCATTTCTTTCTAGTTCAATCCAGTTAAAAATAGGAATGAAGGCAACGCCCCGACTGACAGGATAGAATTTATTAGTGCACCTATTACACGTTTCTTAAGCATATATGTGTCGCGATGGCGAATTAAAAATTGTTTCCTGCACATTTCGGTAGTGTGATCAGTCAATGTTTTACTGTCTTTGGTATGTGCTGGTTCCTGCTAAGCCTTCAGTTTTACAGCCTAAAAACGTCACTATATCTTTGGCCACTATTTCGCAAAAGCTTCACCTTCAAAGGTTTTTTTATTCCTTCTGAAAACCGAAAATGTTCTCAGCGTACGTAGTACTATAGGCGTGTCCTTCGACCGATTTAACCCACTTCCAATATTAACTTGCCTGCAAGCACTTTGTATGTTTTTGGTAGATTTGAAATCGATCACGTCATTTTTGCGACCAGGAGCATATTGAGAACACACATTACACAGACCGACAGACGGACATGCTTAAATCGATTCAGAATTTGATGGTGATCATGAATATATATATATATATATATATATATACTTTGTGGGGTCGCTGAAGCTCCCTTCTGGGAGTTGCGAGCGTTTTGACAAATTGAATACACCTCTGATCCTTCGGAGATGGGTATAAAAATTTATGTGTAACTTCAGCATTGCACTAAAGTATACAAAGTATGCAAACCATAATGCGCACACACAATTTTACAATTTAGAAAACATCTTTGATTGTGCATCCTCAGGACAAAGAAAACTCCCTTGGGGGAGTTAATGTTGTTTCATTTTCACCTGACGGAGTTCGCGTCACCTGACTTAAAGTGATCAAAAGATATTAATTAACAATAACAAGTTGAACGTAAGAATGATGCATAAGAGGAGAGTTGAGGAGAGTAGAACTAACGGTGTGTTTCAAGATGAACCTTTTTTAAGTTTTTACCTTGGAACAAAAAGATCATTTCCACGTAAACAAACTGAACATATTCTTTTGAATGCAGATAAGAAGCTATCAAAATTACTACAGCGTACTTGAACTAAATGTAGGGAAAATTATTACATTACATATATATAGAAACAACATTAACCATGGAATTTTAATTTACGCTGATTGGGCACAAAGCTGTAAATAATTCATTTTCATTAGTTAAACTTCTAAAGCAGACATAATACAGATAGATAGTGATCATTCGATTCCGTCAACTTTCAAACATACTTTCAAAACATATATACGTTAAATACACGTTGCCTATCTGAAGAACTAAAAATAATACGATTATATTCGACCGTCACTGAATCGTTTATACCCCTCACTGTTATCTTAAAGAAAAGGAAAAGAAATAAATGTCCATAGTTTATAATATTGAGTGGACGCGGCTGATTTTTATGTCCATCACCGACATATATATTTTGTGAAAACGGTTGCAACTCCCGAAAGGAAGAATGAGCATCAAATTTGAAGTCGATTTAAGCATGTCTGTCTGTCGGTCTGTGCAGTGTCTGTTGGAAACATGCTCCTGGCCGCAAAAATGATGTGATCGATTTGAAATTTGGCAAAAGCCTATGAATTTCTTGCACGCAGGTTACTATTGGAAGTGGGCTAAATCGGTCGAAGCACACGCTAGCAATACCGCGCAAATTGAGAACTTCTACGGAATGAAAAATTGGTTTCTTGCTAATCACTCAGCACATCTATAGCACAAAAACCTATAAAAATTTAAACGTATATTCTATAGACGATGCTGGAGTACAAACTGTACAAACATGGCAAAAATTGACCACGCCTACCCAATGTTACAGTGAGTCAAAATTTAGTTTTTTCTCATTACCTGTACAACATGCAGATGCAAGTTCCAAAAGCCTCGTAAAGTATATAAATTCTTGATCTGTCCATTTGTCCGTCTGCCCAATTGTGAAGTATATGTGGCAAAGGTAAAGATATCGCCTACCTAAACAGGTTAAAGGATACACCAACAGTGCCCACGCGCATATACAGAACAAGAACTGAGAATACTTTTGCTTCCCGTCTTTCTTGCTTGCTACTCATAATACGTCACTCGCATGCCTCCTCCAAATTGTTCCAATTTCATCTTGATGGTAGAAAACCAGCCGCACTTATCCATTACTACAGAGCATGAAAATTTAATTCTTTGCCTTTTTTTAAATCTTTTTTACAGTAACCCGGTGACGAATATAACCGATTCGGTCACGACCGAATATAATTTTCTTATTTGTTAGTATTCCGCGATGAAACATTTTATTAGATGAGATGACGTAGATTATTTAATGATCAACATTTATTAATCATAAGGCTTTTTATTTCTTTTACATAAAAATTAATCGCAGCAAATTTCGAGCGGTTATATGACAACACGTTCCAAAATATTGCCCCAACTGAAGCAAATTTGTCACACAAATTTAGAACTTTCAAATACTACTATGGAGCGAATTTTCGGTTCAGAAATTTTAAATATTTTTCAAAATAGGACGTTATATGGACAATGGTCGAACAAATGAATCGATCCAAACCATATTCACTAGCGTTCGTTGTTGGGTCAAAACACGTCAGTACATCAAATCTCATGAAAATTGGAAAGTGTAGCTTAAACACAAATTCACGTGAACAGGGATCAGACGGATAAACAAACTTAGATAGATTCAGAAAATGAAAGATGAGTCTACCTCAATCCTTTCTAGGTGTTACGTTACGTTGCGTTATACATTTGCATTAAAATAATGTATAATTTTCGGTGTAGGATATATAAAGCTCGGCCTTACCCGACTTAATTACAAGAAATTGCTGCGTACGCATTGAAGCCAATATTGTTTGCAACTGTTTGTCAATTTTAAAAGTTCATTTAAATTTTGATTACACCTATAATAGGATGTCCCCGTTCATTCTCAAGCTCCAACCATATCCATGATCCATCAATCCAAATCACATTTTCACAGCCATACATACAACTTGCATGGATAAATTCGCGACTTTTTCATAAAAATATGAAGTACACACATACACACCGCCTAAATAACATTAATAATATTAAAAAAAAAAATATATATATATATATATATATATATAAGGTTCAGAGATGAGGCATTAAGTAGGTAGAATATAGTAATTGGATGCCGTTTATATTGAGTGTATTGTGCGTGCCCGGGAGTCGAGAGGTGTTTTACTTCCATGCTTTCATAAGGAAAGCATTTGGGCGGATATCTTACCAAATTGTTGATCGACAAAAATAGGAAGTAGCTATAATAGATATTAAGATATAAGAAAGATCTGCTAATATGGTGTCTCTTGACGTTCCTTTTTTTTTTCTTTGCTTTCGTATAGGAGTTTTGCTTACAAAAAAAAAAAAGAAAAAATTAAGTTAAGAAAGTGTTTTGGCAACATACGAAATAGCATTCATCATCATATGTATCTATATATACATATAATATAAGTAGAAGAAGGAGAATGAGAAGAAGAAGAAGAAGAACAACAAGAAAGAAGAAATTGACTTTAAAAGTATAAATGATATTTAATATAGAATAGAAACTACACGAGTCTTTTTTAAATAATTTTCTTTATCTTCTCTTTGTTTTTGTTAAACAAGTATGTTTACTAAATAATTATTTATTATCCTCCCTATCTTAGCAAAATTATGATAAAAAATATTGTTAAGTTTTAGATTAAAATTAAATTTACTTTAAATATGATGAAAATATATTTTGTTTTCAATAATATTCACTAAATCACGAAAGAGGAAAACAAGTATCGCTCATATAAACTAATTTTTGTATACTTTTAGAGAAAACAATAATTGTTTGATAAAAAAAAAAAAAAAAAAAAAAAAAAAGAGAACAAACAAACAAACAAGTTTTTAATTCAAGGCAATTTTTGAGAATATTTACAAACGCAATTTGGTTCAAAGGTCTTTACAATAAAGTTAAAAAAAAAAAAATAATTAAAAAGGCTTACTTGAAATTAGAAGAAGAAAAGAATAAATTAAACTAAAAATAAAAATCTTTACATTGATATTTTTAATTTATTTTAGCCTTAGCAGGCCAAAAATGCAATGCGGACCAACAACCCAATACTTCACATCTAATATGTATGTGTTTTAGGTCGCGAATTTATTTGCGTTATATATATATATATATATATATATATATTTAATCTCGTTTCTCTAAAATAGGGAAACGAATAAAAATAAATATTTGACAATAGAAGAAATTCGAAAAGAAAAATATGAACAAATTAGGAAAGAGTTCGATATAATAATTAAAATCGTATTAATATGATGACATGATGTTTCTGTTTCAATAAGGACGGCACAACTTTATGCCGTGACCGTAAAGTACATCAAATCGCAAAGAAAGAAATTAAAAAATTAAAAAATAAAATGAAACATTTTTAAAGAATATTACAAATTGTACATTACATTGTTTGTTCGTGTTTCTTCGATTATACTCTGTCCAAAGTTTGCAATCCAGTCCAATTAAGTGACAATTTCGAACCTAATTGGAGGCGCTTTACAGTCTTACATTGCATTTAATTGATTCAGATGTTTGAACCGTTTGTGTGTGTGTGTGTGTGTGTGTGTGTGTGTGTCTGTATATCTGTATCTGTTTGTATGTTACCATCGTAAGGGGCCACATTCGGGAGAATCGACCGTTGTTAACAAAGGCCTAAATTGATCCGGAAATTGTTAACTTATGGTCTGCAATTGTTCTTGTTTCTTTTCCCACCACTCTTGAATGCTGTTGACCATTTGCTTACGCCGAAATCGTAACGACTCGCTAATACACATTTGTACGAAACTCGATTTCATATCCAAGTCACCCTTCATTAAATTTAAATGATTTAACAGCTGCGTGTAATTGCGGCCTGGTCGTCGTATATCGCGAAACACTTGAGCCCGCAAATCTAAATTATGTTTACGCGCCAATTCGCGTTGCTCATCAGTAAGGACATGATTGTTGTTATGATTTGTGAAATGATGATTACTCATGTGACAATTGATATCACCGTTATTGCCGCTCAATTCACGTTTTAGGGAATCGAAGCTGTGTGATGTTGCACTGGCAGTGTTGAATGTATTCGCAGCATTTGGCGGTGGCATAAGGGCAGATTCCGAATCTAATTTTACATTATCAGAACTGCAAGCTCTGGGCTCTACTGCGGGCGTAATATTATTTCCATTGCTAGCGTTGCCGTTATGACATTGTTGCAATATTCGTGATATCTCCTGAGCGTCGTTGATATCATTATGAGGATACGGTGAATAGTGATTATATCCCGCCGTTGAAGGGAGATTCACTGTCGATGCAGTATTTACCAGTGCACCATGTAGATGTGAACTGTTGAATATACCACCATTTACCGGCTGTTGATGTTGTGGCGCCACACCCATATAAGGACTCATTATACCAGTGGGCGGTGAGGATGCCGTTAAAGAATCGGAAGAGCTAATACCATAGCTAACCATGTAATGATGTGCAGAAGCGGCAGGTAAAAGTGCTGGATGGGTTTGTTGGCTTGGCGATGAGTTTCCGTTCGATATTGATGGGGATTGTTCGAGTGTCGGCGATGACAATCCTACGATACTAGTGACCAGCACAGATGACCCACTCACTACGTCGGCATTGCTATTATCACAACTATTTTCTGTACCTACACCGTTAATAAAGTCTCTGACGTAACCGTTAAGAGGAAAATAGTTGTCCGTAGTCTCTTCATCTGAAAAATCGGGAAAAGCAACAACTAAACGATCGGAATCACCATCTTCCGTCATGCTTGAACCAATTGAAGACGTATCAGAATCGTTGTCCTCATTATCCAAACTTGATAAAGAAGACACTACCGAGCTAGGTGAAGAGAGACCGGAATTTGATGTGGGAGTGCGAGGGCGTGAATCCATTGAAATACGTCTGAAAACGTAATCCATGCGAAGCGGTCCAGCCTTACGTTTTCGTGGTCGAGATGATTCAATTTTCTTGGCTATATTTGAGGGCCCGACAGATCCTCCAGGGCCAGTGGCACCGTTATTTCCCTTCATCGGCGCCACTTCACTTAAATCGGCTTCATCTACCATAACCATATGCTTGTCTTTTTTATAAGGATTGCCAAACATATGCTGCCTAACATTTGTTGGCTCGATTTCACGCAGAGGATTATCCTTATTCTTAAGATACTCTTGATAGTTGCCCATTTCGGCAATAGGCAGGCAATGGCCAGAATCTTTTGCTATTAAACTTACAGACTGAGGCTTAAAGAAAGCTTCCCGCATACGTCCAATCTCTTCGATTATATCGCGTCGAGGTATATCAAATGGATTTCGATATGATTTGGCTGACGCTTGTCGTGTGAGCTGCGGCACTACAATTGTATAATTTTCTAGAGTCTCGATTTCAGCATGTAATTTGGTAAACGTGTCGCGTAGTAAAGGGTGACGTACAAGATCTCTTCTTAACGGCACTCCTGGGTTTAATTTAGCCGTCTCCACTTGCCGATACGGCGGCTTCGGTTGTTTCAATTGCTTATACACCTTCATACAAAGATTCTCCTGATCTTGCTTGGCTGTATTTTTAATGTGCTTCAATTGATTCGCAATATTGGGCGAAAGATAATTGTCTACGTTATCCGGTAGCAGAAACTGTAGTAATTGATATGGGACGCTAATTGTTAGCAACGCTTTTCGCAGAAACGGACAATAATATGGCGGTATAGAGCGAACGTATGCATTAAATTTGTACATCAAATCGTTTGGTGGGCTCATATTATACTTATGAATGAGATCGTGAAGCAGTGGCAATAATGCTGGATAATTATAAGCCAGAACGTACAAATGAACCTGAGAGGAGGTCGATGATGCTTTTAAATATCCGAATGGTAACTCAAAACCGTGCATACCATTCGATATTATGACTTGCCAGCATTTCTTCAATTCTCTTTTCTGCAATATCTGCAATGTTAACGGACTCGCTTCAATTTCGTATTTATCAACAGGAAAATTATGCACCATTTGTGGTTCGTCTACAGCTGGCATTACAATTTTTAATTTTGGATGAGCATCTCGTGGCGGCAGCGTTACTGCTTTCGGATCCGGCCAATATGGTTCTGGAAGAGGCCAGAAGCCTATTGGGAAAGTTTTTTGCGATAAATGTTTTTGTACGTAAATCATTTTCTTTAAAGGTTGAAATACTAAATCTTGCATAGCTTCGCTGGACAAATTATTGGGATCTTTAGGTATTAAAGACTCGAATTGAAGAACAACACCCGGCTGTACTTTCTGTACCAAACTCTCAATACATTGATTAAGCACGTGATGAGAACGGACTCGATAAGAACGGCCCCCAGTCACTTCACACATTCGTTCTATTGGGGAATCGTCATGCGGAACTTTGCCTTCCACTCGTTCATCAATTTTATTTCCTGACATACGCAATACCAAAGAAAACAATCGCTGATCCCAACGGAACGGTTCTTTGGTAAACTTGGTGCCTGGAATTTGAGTGTTTAAGGGTAATATTATATCCTGATGCACTCCATTACGATAAGAATAACGTCCGCCGTCTGTTATTACAATTATTACGGAAGGCTCCAAATAAAACGGACACCGTCCTTGCCCGTAAGTGTCAATGCCAGATTGCATGCGATTTAAATTTAACAAATCAAAAGCATTCTTTAACGACTCTCCCATAGACGTCAAACCAGTGCTCTGTAGATTTTTTAACTCATTCATAAAAGTGGCGTGATTTTCTTTCCACCCGGCTTTCACATTAGACGGCGGCTCTTCAAATGTCAACAGCATATAGCGATCACCCAAACAATCCTGGGTACGCTGCCTATATTTTAGAAATGTCTCGACAGCTCCTTTAGCAATATCCAAATATGACTTTTGCACACCATTCACATAAGCTTTCTGGCACATGGACGACGATGTGTCGACCAGGAAAAGTATAATTGTCATTATCACACTCTCGTTCTCGTTCTCTCTCTCTCTCTCTGTCTATCTTCTATTATTAATAAACAGTCTATTTCTTCTAGCCGATAAAATTTGAAGGAAAACTTTATATATAATCACTGTAGAGTGTTAGATGCTCGGCTCGCTGCTCGTCGCGTTTGATTGGCAGCTCGGTTTTGTTGGGTTTTTGTTACAAAAAATCCTTTGAAATTATATCGAATGAAGATACGTACGATTAAATCGCACCATTCAACGCATGAGATCGCTGTTTTCAAAACATATCCCCGAAAAAACAAAAATTATCTGTAAATATTAGAAAAAAAAAAGAAGGAAGACACATATAGTAGTTACAAAAGTGGAATGAACTGAAAAATTTTCTTTGCAATTGAAAATTCCACCAAACAATCTCAATTGGACAAAAATAAACAGTTTTTAACTTTTTACCCTAAATTGAGGAAGATGCATATCATACTAATCATTAATCAAAGACGTTTCGCATTAGCTTAAAAACATCTCAATGCCTAAGGATAAAAGGTCGACGAAAGCAAAGCAGCGCAAACATGAAAACCATGTCTAGGATTTGTAGCATAGGGACCTTTACACAGGACTCCTTTGTTTTCGCGCGCATTAAATAGTAGTACAGAAGCGAAACTACAACAGTATGATACACATTCTTATACACAAAATTTTCATACAATTTTTTTTTTTTTTTGCTTTTAATTTCAAATTCAAATAATTCCCCCTGACTATCTAAAATATAAAATTTTCTTACTTTCTTTCTCCCTTTCTAAGCTCAAGAGGGGGAAATTTCCTGCGACGAGACATGTTGAGATGGAACTATTTCCACAATAAGAAAATAATTTTCATGCTTTAAAATTTACAAACATTAGAAAAACTCCGCCGTGGGTTTTTGGGAGAATGTTTGTACAGGTATCCAAAATTCATATGTGTCCCGAACACATCCAAATACTGATATATATATATTGATTCTCTATTAATGGCAGTAACTTCTGTTATGAATGATACGAAAAATATCCTAACAATGAATCTTTCGTGTATGATGAACTCACATTGCATATATTTTGATTTTCAGTAATGAATCAATTTCACGTTTTATTCCAAACTATGTAGATTGATCATCGATTGTTTTCCGAGGATCAATTTGATCACTCTACATTTCTAATGTCTAGTATCTAAATAAAGAAAAACGATAAAAAGCAAAAAAAAAAAAAATTTGCAAAACTTCACGAAACCGAACAGCTTACTACCATCACCGGTTTTCTGTTCGTTTTTGGGATTTATCCGCTCTAATGGAATGTGAATAAACTTTTACTGATTTTTCGCTAAAATTATCTTCGTGCGTCTCATTCCGTAACATTCTAATTGCTAATCAGAAAAAGAATAAATAAATGACTGAGTCGTTGCTATTTAAGTTACGCACAAATATTTTTCGTATTAAGTTAAAAGGAATAAAAAACATACTCTACATTATTTTTGAATAAAATGAGAAAAAGTTCGATTTCAAAGCCAAATTTTAACTGAATGAAAAAATTTTTCAAATATTAGACGGGTATTGTTGAAAAATATGGAAGACGAAACTAGCCGGAAATTTGCAAGTGAAATATTTTGGGTAAATTGGTTGTCGGATGGTTGAAACTTCAATTCAGTACTTCGCAGCAGCAAATGGATGCTTACACAAATTACAAATTGTTGTTAATTGTAATAATTTGGTTAAAAAAAAAAAAATTAGAGGAAAAAGTTTCATTTGCTCTTTGTTCCCAAACGTTTTTAACAGCGACAACATCATTGTATGAATCTCTATGTATTATTATTATTATTATTATTATTATTATTATTATCATAAATTTAGCCAGAGACTAAATTCTAAGACTAAAGTCTTAAAGCACTAGCATCTAAGGGTTTCGGCTTAATTAAAAACTCTACCGCATTTGAGATTTGAACCCACGACCATTGAATTGGTAGTCGAGAGTCTTGCCTACTCGGGCACTCAGGCGGATAATCTCTATGTAATACTTAGGCAAATTGGAAAAAATGCCAACATCCACTGTGGGATCAATGAGAAAATGTCCTTGCTTACTTATAGTCCGACTTTAATGAATTTTAGTTACTCATCATTCCGATTTAAAAAAAAAAAAGAGAAAATTCTTAAAGTTGTTCTTGCCTTTGCAGAGATTTCAATTTGATTGGCTACTAATTTGCAGATGAATTTGATAGTTAACACATATATATGAGTAATGCAGCTCACTTTACACAGGCCGAGGAGTAATTCTTAGTAACGCGCCAATTTAAACGAATATTCATGGTATGCAGATCTTGTTCATTGGGAAGCAGGTCAAAGCGGGACTAATAGACATCATTTTCAGATTAAATTTATCCATGCGATACCAAATAATTATGTCAACATTCAAATCGTTTTCATCTTTATTTTCTAAGAACATAATTTCAAGCATTTTCCTTTTTTAAACTATATTAGTTATTGTAGCGCCGCATTTCTATGTGTTACAAATGAACTAATCAAATTAGCATTATTTAAAGGTACTTCCCATTTCTGCTCTTCTGAGAGGGATGCAGGGGGGGAGAGTAGTGTAGCCATTAGCCATCCAGGATCCGTTCATAGCGTGATCCTCCGGACGAAATGAATGCATTACCTATAGATCGTATTAAGAACGCATGCTAACTGGGACGGGGTATTAATTTTGCGTGTAGAAGTGCACACGTCTTTAACACAGTTAATGTATATTGTCATTATATATACTCATATTGAACTCTCAGTGTTAGCGTATATTAATAACTTTTGATAACTTTATGTTCGAAACATACACACATACGCACACATACACACACGCACATAACAAACTGTTTGCGGAATTTTCAAACATCCTTAAAAGACGTTTCACCGAAAAGTAATTAACAAGTGATCTAAATTTATTTAACGGCGCATTGGCGGTTATAATGTGTGTTTGCTCACTTTTCAGTACCGTTAATTTCAAAGTAAATAAAAATGATATTCCTAAGGAGATCAATGCCTATGTTTAATTTGGTCGTGTTTCCCAACAGTAGCCGATGAATTTTTGGAAGCTAGTTTTATATCTCAAGTACAAAAAAAAAAAAAAAAACAAACAAAAAAATGCATATATATTGCGAAATTGTTCAACTACCTAATCTGATAATCAAATTCGAGTTATTGTAAATCGTTACCAGACAAAATTCACATGTTAGACTCCTTTAAAAGAATCCAATTTCTTCAGATTAGCTTGTTCTTGTAGGAGTAATGATTTGCTTCGATATTATCACCGCCAGCCATTATTCAACAAAACAGATAATTTGCAGACAACGCACAGATCCATCACAATATATCTAATCTGCTTGCAAACGTTCAGTTATTATTAAATAGAAACGTTTATTGTCTTTTGCTTTTTCTAAATCGAGAAGCTCTTTTTTTTCTTCATTATTTATGTTATTGAGCTTATACGTACTGTGTCTTTATAGACTGAGTTACTTTTGCCTTCTCGCAAATGCAATATTGTTTTTGAATTCTCGTAACCCTTCCTCAAAACACGGTTGTATTTAGTTCGTCTTTCTGTTTATAAATCATGAATTATGTGAAAATTAGCTCGGAAAAAACTTTCTTGTAAAATTTTGAATGAATGGAAAATTTATTGCATATTTTCACGTTTATTTATCAGTTTTGTTGTAAGCTGGTAATAATAATGTTATAATAACAGTTGCAGTTTGTGCGGTAGGGATATAGAGTGTTCGGTTTAAAGTATCTACAGTTGTTCCACTTGTTCTATTTGAGTACTGAACTCACTACAACAGTAATTGTGCTGGTTCTTCTCTTTTTTTTATAATAACACGATACCATTAACATCATCCTTATCCACCGCTCACACCAAATCTTTCAGAAAATACTTATAAAAGCAATCAACAAAAAATATTGTTTTCTTTTTCTTTACTATTCGCTTACAACAAAATTTATCACTAATCGGAGCGCGGCGAACAATTCTTCTCTTATGTTTTGTTATTTATTTTTTTTATTTTATTTTTTTCTTTACTCTGGGCTCCTCTCTGCTTATTGTTGCTGCTAATTGTTGTTGTAGTTGGGCTGATTACTTCTCTTTTGTTATTTTTGAATGACTTTTCCGTGTTATACTTCTTTATGTATTACTAATTTCACTAAACAACCTTTCCATTTAAAAGCAAAAAACGAACTGTCAAACTCATCCTATGGTAAAGCAATAAAAACGAGATACTTTGCATTTTTTCCATTGTATGAGTATTCATTTCACATTTATATAAGGCTGCCAGATGTTCAAGCTTGTTTACAAAAGAATTAATTTCGATGCAAGCATTAATTAATAAAACTTTTCTAAAACTATTATACAACGCTTAAATATAAAGAGAATTTAAAATATCCTAAAATGACCTTGTGGTAATATAAATTTAAATGGTATATTTGATTGAAAGCTTACACTCATATAGATACATATGCACACATTGTATCTATTATGAAACTTTCACAAATTTTCATCTGGGAGCCCTGGTTGGAAGATATAAAAAGCAAACGTCACATTTTAAGCGCTGATTACAGACATTAATAGCCTCATTAGTCAATAACGTATCGTATAATCTGATGTCTTTTTTAAGAAGCAATTCTATTCTCTATAATATCTTTTCGTGGCGCATATACCGAATTTTCTGTTAACTGTTTTCACCTACGACTAATTTCATAAAACGTGTTAGTTTCTTTATGTTATTAAAAACATTTTTTGGTTAGTACAGGAGCACTGAGTGCCGAAATTGCAGTTTGAGTTTCACAAAATATCGAAAAATAGATTTTTCGCACTATGACCTGTTGATTGCTTAGGCGTTTATTTTATTATTATTATTATTATTATTATAAACTTAGCCAGAGAATAAATTCTAAGACTAAAGTCTTAAAGCACTAGCATCTAAGGCTTTCGGCTTTATTAAAAACTCTACCGCACTTGAGATTTGAACCCACGATCATTGAGTTGGTAGTCGAGACTCTTGCCTACTCGGCCACTCAGGCGGATTGGGCGTTTATTTTATTTGTTAACATTAGCTGAAAGTGCATAAATTGAATGACAAAATAAAATGGTGAGAAAGCTAGTTATAATACTAAAAACGGTATTAAGATCCTTAAATGGATATTTGCGTAATAGCCCAAAAAAAAAAAAAAAAAACACGTAACGCTTCGTTTGTTAACCAACGTTTTTGATTTAGATGTTTTGCAATATCTGCACGTATTAAATTTGCCCTAATAATAATAGAAAATAATTTCGTATGCCCCGATAATCTATGAACAATTTACAGAAAACCAGAGTTTTCCTATGGACACTCAATGAAGATAGCTTTCTTATAAATTGCGAGGTATCCATTAGATCCTTTGACTTGAAATCGTATGAAAAAAGAGAAGATATATGAAGCTTCTACTTACTAATGTGTTAAAGAGTCTTTCAAAAAATAATTGTAATGTGTTTGCTGGCCGTGTTCATACATTTACATATAATTATTTTCGTAGGTAATTTCTAAATTGAGTTTTTTTAAACTTCGGGCCGATCTTTCTCGGTGGCATACGTGGATGTAAAATATACAATTAACGAAGAGTATTAATGAGACTGGTTTTTCTTGCTAGCTTTTTCACCTCGTTCAATAGTTTTGCCCAGCATTTTGTTAAAGACAACTAAAATAAATTAATTATACGTTTACTTACTTTATGATTTTACTCACTACGCTATAAGCATCGCAATACAAATATGTAGTAACACGCAGTGGTCGGCATTTTTAGGTGCTTTTTGCTTTATTTTTCTATTTGGAACTTATTTTCTTAACAAACATTAATGTAATCATTTAATCCATGATTATTCGCCTGGAATTATGTTAAATGGGAAGTTTTCAATTAATGAAAACGTACATATCGTGCTATGCTAATGCACACACTAGTGCAACATAAATGACTAAATGATCCTCTATTGTGCACGTTTATCTTTTCCAGGAGTAAATCCACTCAATACCCCAGATGATTCAAAATAAAAAAAAAAAATCCATAAGCTTTTCAATAAAAGATTTATATCTGAGTTCAAATAGAGACCAGACAAATAATTTCCGTATTTAAATAGCATGCTGCAATATACCCTGCCTAATTAATGGTTCTACTTGGGATCTGGGCAAATAATGTTGACTGTTTTTTTTCAGATGAACAACTTCACCATCATCAAGTTCGAATTTACCAAAATCTTCGACGCAACGGACCTCAATATATAATGACTTTGGTGGCTGTAAATCTACGGTCAAGTCTAAACCTTGGCCATCTCCAATAGATCGCATATAACTTGCTAACGATTTGGCATACGAATTAAAATACGTAACTTCAGGTTCGCATAATTGTGATTTTATATCTGAAGGTATAATAGGCCCAAACTCCCAACGCAAAGCCTTAATTCGTAGTAAACGTTGATGCAAATATGTAAGCAAGCAACGTTTGTTACGCTGTAAAGCAGCGTGCCGAAAATTTAACAAAGGCCATAAAGTACGGTCGCCAGATGTGGAATAGTTGACGCTAAAATAACGCAATCTAGTAAATTTACTTTCCATTTGATTATAAAACTTACGCTTGTGTGCAATTTTCTTCAAATATAGCCTTAATCTCCTCTAAAACTGTTCTTACACCATCATCCTGTTGTTAATAGAAATCTCTCGTCTAAAATATTTCTATTTTATACACTTTAAACTATACCTACATCGAACGGTGGCATTATTTGGGAAGATCGGTCCAATTCCTTCACCAGTTCGAAGGCTTTATCTGCGAAAATTCTGTTTGATTTGCTCATTGGGAACTATATGTAAAATTATCTCCTCTCTAATAAATATAGGCGCCAATTTTTACTTTATTATATACTCTTCTTTTATTAGGTAACGTTGCCAAATGTGAGAAGAATATTTGTTATGATTAAGCCCTTCACACAATGAAGCCGCACTTAGTTTTCAGGCCGAGGAATAAACGCTAAACTTACGGAATGCAATGCAAACCAAAATGATATGACCGCCCAATTCATCTGGTGATTTTTTTGCGAGCCTTTAACGAAATTGGTAAATCTTCATGGGCATTTGTGTGCATTTCTGGCATAGTAATATTTACATGAATGTGAACAAAAGACCGGTCGGAACTTTTATCAAGTTCCTCTTCGATAAGTTTACATAACAAATCAAAACGTTTTGAATTTATCCTTGTGCTTTCTTGAATTTTTTTATGCACGTGTCTATTTATTGGTTCAAAGGCTGTATTTTTTTCCATAACTTTAAACAATTCTTTTGCTTTATTTAATCCCGCCAGTAAAACGCACCAATACGCGTTCTCTTTTAAACTCATTTTTTTTAAATTCTTTTTTTCACAAAACAATTTCGAAAAGATTATTTCCTTTCGAATTAATTTTACCATTACAATTTCGTACATTAATTTCACCATTTTTACTACTCAAAACATATGTTAGTTGCTTACAAAAACTGGGTTACTTTTCCTTAAAAAATGATGAAGTAAAGCAGGCGAGCGCGGTTTTCGTTGTCAACTATTCAGATATTAATTTATTCCCCAGATCTGTGAACGAATGTGCGGCCCCATTTAAAACTTATTTACCCGACACACGCATAACGCAATAACGCATCATTGTGTGGTAAGACCTTAGTCCGGTAAAGAACACGGTGCCTTGCCAGACTTAGCAATCGTCTAAGGAGTAGTTAAACAGGTGGTAAAATATACAAGAGTTTGCTAAATTGTTGCTTATTATATGCTGTGAAATTCCAACCAGAAGGATCAGAAAGCCATAACAATATGTTGTAAATTGAACACTTTTTTGTTCATTTTAAAATTATTTTCTTCTTCACTCACAACTAGGAAAAAACTACTTTTTCGATATTTCTCCTTTTTTTTAGATACAATTAGGAAGACCAACTTGTTGCGCCATAGCTTCATAAATTGTCTAAGAAGCTCAATATATATGTACATATAAGCTGCATTTCTCATTGACTTAGTCCATTCGTATGCCATATCTAAAAAAAAAATAAAAATATATATATATATATATAGTATATACGTTGCTAAAATCGCGGTTCGTATACGTGTAAAGTCAAACTTTCTTGTGAAAGAAATAGTTCTGCGCCTATTCATAGCGGAAAAGCCAAACAATAATTTGCTCTCGATGGGAAGTCGTTCTTCCGGCAAATATGATACGTCGTTGAAATTCAAATTAAGCATAATCACGAATCATTCAAATAAATAATATCGATTCCCTGAAAACAATATAAAATTATTGTCGTAGGCTTACGTTAAATATTTCAGGCAACGATTTTAATTTTAATTGGGTAATAAAAAGAGAAAAATGAATAAAACACTTGAATTTGAATTTTATTAAATAATAAAAAATGTTCAAGTTTGTGAAAGAACAATAACAATAAATTAAACAAGTAAACAATTGTATACGGATGTGATCGAATCTTTTGCATCCACAATCTTTATCTGAAGAAAACTAAAAAAATTAAATTCCCATACTCTACAATATTGGAATACATGGACGTTTTCGTTACTATATCTGAGTTAGGATACGAACAATGAACAAAAAATTCAACTTGGCCTGCTGCATTTTTGCGTCCATAAATTTGTTTACAACACATATTACACAAAGGTGCAGACTGGCATATTTAACTCGATTCAGAGTTTAAAGCTAATCAAGGACTTTGAAGTCTCGTTTTGGGTATTGCGAACACTTTGACAAAATGAACAAAAATCTCATGCTTCGGTGGTGGGTATAAGAACTACACTCTCCTTTAAGGGAACTTTACAGAAATCAGACAAATATATATCTGTTAACTGTAACTATTTTTAAGAAAAATTCTCTACTTGATGCTTTTTTTTACCCTTCTTGAATTGTAAAAAGAAAAATGATTCGTATAACGTGGGGAAAACTGCCCGTGCTACACACAATTATTGGCGCAACAGGAGTTCGGTTCTTGCTGTTCTCATCCTACCTATAATTCTTCTTATCAATTACAGTGCCTATAAACATAGGGTTATTTCGCCAGTTGCTTCTCGAAAAAGAAGAAAAATCCCAACAAATGAGAAAATTCTGTCAAGTTGCGGGTAAAGCTTTTATACCCACCGTCTCCTTTTTATTTATTTATATTTTTAGATTAGGTGGGCTTGGCTGTTTTTTTTTCAATTTTTGCATCCGTTTGGGAGATAATAAGTTATATTTATTGTTTTGAATCTTCAATATTTTTACCAAATTTGAGGTCAATATCATCATTTTTATTGCCAGGAGAATGTCTGAGAGAGTGGATGAAAGATAATAGAGTCATAATGCCACTGATTGGGTATGGCTAAGTTAGCTAAGTTTTATTTTCGTGTTTCTAGTGCGAGAAATGCTCGGTTGTGCTTACAACTTGCTTCCAACGAAAAATTAAAATAGTGTTTGTATACAAAATCTTTTGTCAAATAAACATTGAATACACTTTTCTCTGCTTTATTGAGTTCACTTTTATCAAGACACTTTACTTCAAGACATTCAATTTGAAATAGGTTATGGTTCGAAGATGTGAAAACTACATCGTAACGATTTACGAGGTTACTCACATGCTTCGAAAGGGTATAGATTGCACGATAAATCCAATCGCAAACTTGTTGTAAGCAGAGACATAAAAAAACATGGCAATGATATCAGCATCAGGGCCAGCAAAAAAAATCAAATCGAACACCAGACGACGACCGAATGTGAGCTCGAATTAATTCAAGCAAAGCTGCTTTTAATAAACAGAGACTTTGCTAGACCAAAATAGTACGTTCAGGTGCAGTAGGCAGACCGAAAAAGCAGCACAACACTAGCTTCTATCTACGCTAAAATGAAGCTTCTCTTACTGTTAAAACCCCATTGTGTAGTGAATGCGCAGACAAGTGGAGGCAAGCTATGCAAAAGGAGTACCAATCACTATTAAAAAATGAAATATGACAATTGACAGAAACTCCAAAAGATCAAAAAGTTGTGGTTTTTTCTATTAGACAAAACAAAAACGGTGTGGGGTTGATTAATTGTTGCACCAATAAGACTATAGAGCCTTTTTATATACATATCTGACACACTTATTGGCGACAGTCAATAGTCCTTTTTTACATACATAACCCAGGCTATCAATAACGCCAGCTCGCGTGACATTCAAACAATCTTAAGACAAGGAGAGGTACTGAGTCCTCATATAACTATGTATGTATAGGCGTTATTGTAAAACTAACATATAATAAAGCGTTAAATTTGAAATGGCAGTTAGAGGGGAATTTTTAAATTCCAACTGGAATACAATTAACAAATTAGGAATATCACTGCCACTTACTTAAAATCTTTTGTAAACCGAGTCCTCTAATCGGCCATTAAATTAGGAATGAGCGAGCACATCTAGCAGCCAAATCCACCGTTTCGGTGCCTTGAGCAATGGACAGCACGATTCAAAAGTTTGACCTGCCCGAGTATATTGCAAAGAAAACGAGGTGCTACCTCATTTGTACTATACGCATGTCAATCCTTATTTCGTTGCATCCCAATATCAGAAACAACGCTGAGGATATCAAGATCGAAAACCGCTTTGGTTACACTATTGATCCTTAAGAAATCTTCTGCTCCAATTTACAATTGTGGACAAAATCGGACGATTAAAAATATAGTCTATGAACACCGAAGCCTTTCTAATATTAGAAGACTTATTTTTTGAGCGTCTAACCACACGGACATTTTGAAAGCAACTGAAGAACACATTGTCAATGAAATAATTAACTTTATCAAATCGACTGAAATGGCCGTTTAATCGACCTTTAAAAAAAAAAAAGCTAGAAGCTAATCTTGATTGCTTGTATTTTTACGTTTCCCAACTTTTTTAATCCTGAGATTCATTTCTTTGGTCTAGAAGGTCTAAGTTTGGTCTAAATAAATTATAACAATAATAAATAATAATAAATTCCTGTTTTACGCAATTGAAGTACTTACGCAGAATATATATTTATAACGTTAAAATCATAAACCAGAAGTATTTTAAAGTGATGACTAGACGGATACGACAGTGTAGTTCCTATCCATAATGTTTGTTATTTAGTATATATCCATATCTATTTTTATGCCTAACACACTTGTGGCATGAGGTGTGTTAAGTTTGCGTGGACATATGTAACAAACGGAAGGTCGTAAGATAAATCCACCTTTTATTATACAAATTGATTCAGAACCATTTTCCGAATCGATCTAAGCCTGCCTGTCTGTCTAAGTTCGTCTGTCTCTCCGTTTGATGTGGGTAAATGTACATTTGCGCTAAAATTATTTTCAAAAAACGGTTCGGATCGATCCACTTTTTCGACCGCTTCAAAAAAAATTGCAATTTTCCAAAGAGAGGCAAGCCCTTATTTGGAGAAAAAGTATAATTTCTAGATTTTTATTTATAACGGGATTTTAAGAGGTAAAGGTTATTAAACTCGGATCACGTCCTGTGATGTTTTGGGCATCCTCCAATATGTAGACTTTCATGAAAAGTATATCTTTGCATGATGTATTACTACTAACACATTGAGTGCATAACTATGTTAGGCAAAGTAGTGTAGGGTATCTAATGATCGGGCTGGCATACACCATGTATAGACTATAATGTTCTTATTTGCTTAAACATGAGTTACCAGTTTATTTATCAATAACATTGTGAGTCCGTTCGTCTTGTGAGTCCTCCCACAAAAGCGGAAAGGTAGGCATTAGTTTTCGTCAAAACATTCCTTCGAATTCTTAGATGTGCGTTACTAACGATAGTTGTGCACCATGAAGAATTCTTAGCATTTACTCTGTTAATTCTTCCGTTTTGATTATTCTTTGTTTAATTTAAGTCTGCCTATTTTTCTAGATGGTGTACTTCGTTGACATTCACCTGACCGCAAAAATGAACATATCGGCTTCAATTTTGGGAGAAAGATTGGAAATTCTTCTCTCACCATTAAATATCATACACTACTTCGCTTAGTACAGTTATCCGTGTGATGAGTTTTGAAAATAAAGTCTTATATTAGAAGTAGTGAGAAAAGTGGTCCAATCCGAAGCATTTTTAATGACGTTCGTTCTTGGACCAAACAATGTCTGTGTACCAAATTTCACCAGAATATTTCGAAAGTTGAGACTTGTAGGTTGAATAAAAACAACAAGATGGGTAGACGGATGGACGGATAGACGAAGTGACAAACTTAGATCGATTCAGATTCGGGGTCACTATCTAAATCAATCAGTATAATAACAGATGGATCCGTCTCATGTCTGTGTGGGTATTGCATGCATCCGCACAATAATTCATATACCGCTATTCCGTAAGTGGTGTAGGGTATATAAACATACACACTATATGCTAACTGAAAAGTTATTTTATGTTAAAGTAGTGCCCATCACCGAAGAGTGAGCAATTTATTCACTTTGTCGAAAAGACGGTAGCGCTCAGAGGGATGCAAAGTATATATATTCTACATCGGTAGCAAATTTTGAATCGATTAGAACAGATTCGTTGATTTCCTTATCTCGACTCCTCAAACCATGCGATAAACCCTTCGCAGGCGACTCTTCATGTTCGAGCTATTTGTGGCCTGATAAGCAAGCGAGGTGAGAAAAACGGCATCTGAGGCCTGGGTCGAAATGTTACAAAACGAACGGTTAAAGTGGTCTACTATCGTTACCAAGTGCCTACTGTTTCGAACTATCAACATTGAGTTGCATTTCCGCAAATAAGTTGAGCTGCTGTCTTTCTTTAATTTCGCAAAAATTGTGGAAAATTAAAAAAAAAAACCTATTGGATTTATTGTAACTTTAAACGTGCCTTAAGGCTAACCAACTAACTTCAATGTATTCTTCATATCGGTCATAGCCGTCATATCCAAATCTCACACAGAATCACAATCAAGCTGTGAGTACCCTGGCTGCATTGCCCGCCAACCTACCTTAATATATATATATAGATATTTCACGCATAACATTTATGTATCTATATTCAAGTAATTTATCAACTTTATTAGGGCCCAAACAGAAAAAAGTTAGTTTTCACATTGACCTTTTTAAGACAACACTGCGTTTTTCTTTGCTTGTTGATTTGATAATTTGCAGAAGAAGAAGATATATATGAATAGGCTCGATTTTTTATAAATATTTGTACAAGTTTTAATAAATAATTTTATCACTCGAAATATAATATTTAACACTTGATAAAAGAAAAAATAAGATGCCGGAATCAATAGTAGCTGGTATACCTGTGGTTTTTCCATTCGAACCCTATGAAGTGCAGCGCGCTTATATGGAAAAAGTTATAATGTGTTTACGTGATGGTACTAACGGTGTCCTGGAGTCCCCTACCGGCACTGGCAAAACTTTAAGCTTATTGTGTTCTTCTTTAGCCTGGCTATTACATCAGAAACAAGAAATTCAAGCACAAATAGCAAAATCAACCCTAAATGGCATTGCTCCTAGAAGTGCTTCAGATAAGCAAGATAAAATAGAAGTTAAAGGTCGGTTTAGAGAAAAAGACGCTAACTGGGGTGCCCCAAAAATAATTTATGCATCTCGCACCCATTCCCAACTAACTCAAGCCATGCAAGAATTAAAACGAACTGCTTATTCTTCTATGCGTGCCGTAGTTTTGGGTTCACGAGATCAATTATGTATACATCCAGAAGTTATGAGGGAGCAAGGCAATGCCAATAAGGTGCAAATGTGCAAAGCTAAGGTAGACACTCGCACATGTTCATTTCACTCTCGCGTAGAATCTCGTAAGGATGATCCAAGTTTTCGAGGGCCCACAATTATGGATATAGAGGACTTGGTTAAAGTGGGACAAAAACTAAAAATGTGTCCATATTATGCGGTTAAAGAGCTTGTAGCTGATGCCGATATAACATTTATGCCGTACAATTATTTGCTTGATCCTATAGCTCGCAAGGCAAATAAAGTGGAATTGCATAATACAATAATTATATTAGATGAAGCTCATAACATTGAAAAGATTTGCGAAGAATGCGCGTCCGTGCAAATAAAATCATCGGATGTTGCCATGGCTATCGATGATACAACTCATATAATGGCCGCTATAAAAGCTTCAGGCTCTGATGGCCAAGATTGCGAAGACGAATCTAAAGACTTTACACTCGATGATTTGACATTGCTTAAAGAAATGCTTTTAGAATTGGAAAAGGCCATCGATGAAATTGAAGTGGAAAACAAAATAGAAGGAGTTACACTTCCAGCATCCTATATATACGACCTGCTTGGGAAAGCAAATGTTAGTTAATGTTCTTTAATATGTGATAAAAAAAAAAAACATTGGTTTGACCTCTTTTCCAAGTGTCTGACAAACGGATTTACCTTACATTTTTTATAAAAACAGTTATAGGCCGTAAAATTTAAATAAATAGAAAGTTTTGATTTGACCAGCGGGAAGCAATTTTTAAGACTTGAAACTCATTAACGTTCTGAAGATTCGGTAAATTTACATTATCTTCATAAGTGAATGTGTGACAACCGCTCTATTTCTTTGGCAAATTGGCAAAAGTTCATAGACCATGTCTCAAATGTTTTAATATAGTCCTTGTAGATGCACAAAAATTACTCTCGTATATATATAATCTTGAACCTGAAAGCAATTTTCATTGGTCGCTTAACATATCTAGAAATCATCATCTGTGGCAAGAACATACCAAGATAAATTTATGCAAGTGTTATATTCCCTCAAATAATTTTTAATATTATTATCTTCTTGCTCTTCACATTTTAGCTGAATTACAAAACATCAAAACACGTCATAGTGCTTCTGGAAAAATTAGTACAATTTTTAGCTGTTCAATCGCAAACCAGCAGACTGCGGAAAGGCAAAAGCTATCAGACTTTAGCCGACATGCTAAACATCGTATTTATCAACAAGGAAGATCAAATTGAAAAAATTTATAAAAGCTTTAAAGTACACATCCAACTGGAAGAAATTAAGCAATCTCAAAGACACGATTCGAATAAAGACGTATGGCTATCGAAGAATTCCAATGCGAATTCCGAGAAGAAAGCTGCAAAAATTATAAACTATTGGTGCTTTAACCCAGGCTTTGGGTAAGACATCGCTAATAATTTTTTAGGTGAACTGAAAGTTGAATACTTATAAAAAATTTTCTATTCCTTAAGGATGGAGCAGCTGTTGAATAAAAATATACGAAGTATTATATTAACAAGCGGTACGTTGGCTCCATTGAAACCGCTTATTGCTGAATTGGCTTTACCGGTTATGCAACAGCTTGAAAATCCTCACATCGTTTCGCAATCGCAAGTTTATGTAAAAATTATTGGTTCTGGGCCCGATCGAGAGCCTCTGATGTCGAATTTCCAAAACAGGTAAAATCGTGAATTATTAAAAGAAAATTGGCGATATCATCCTTATACACCAATGCAGGGATAATCCTAAATATGTTAGCTCTTTGGGCTCTACAATTTTGAATGTGGCCCGCATTGTACCCGATGGCCTGTTAGTATTCTTCCCTTCGTATCCGTTACTTAACCAGTGTGTAAATTCCTGGCAAGCTTCAGGGCTATGGGCAGATTTATCTCGTTTTAAACCAATTTTTGTTGAACCAAAAGGGAAGGATGATTTCCTCAACACTATGGAGGGATTTTACGAAAGTATTAAAAGTTCAAAAGGCGCTTGCTTTATGGCGGTTTGTCGCGGCAAAGTGTCTGAGGGCTTAGATTTTGCTGATCGCAATGGTCGTGCAGTTATTATTACAGGTCTTCCGTTTCCGCCCTTCAAAGATCCAAAGGTTATATTAAAAAAAAAATATTTGGATGACAATCGGACTAAAGAAAATCAGGTTAAAATTTTTCAACATTTTTTGTTTTCTATATATATTTTTGTAAACTCTTAATTATCAGTTACTGTCTGGACAAGCTTGGTATGCTTTGGAAGCTACACGTGCCGTCAATCAGGCAATAGGGCGCGTTATACGACATCGTCATGATTATGGTGCTATATTGTTGTGCGATGTACGCTTTCAGCAATCTACGCAAGTGCAACAGCTTTCGAAATGGATACGTGAAATATTAGGCAATCAGCCAAAATCTTCATTATTTGGTCCCATAGTAAAAGAATTGCGCGATTTTTTCAAAAACGCTGAGAAAACTGCAAGTTTTATAAGTTTTTTAACTTTCATGATTTCATTATATATTTACTTTTTTTTTGCATGCGATTAGATGCCTAAAGCCAGCGAGCGTATTGTCGAGTCTTTGGTGAGTGAAGGTTGCGAATTCGTGAACGCACGTGATATCGTTAGCAGTAAATACTTTCCCAACTCCCAAAACAATGTGCCCGGTAGAAGGAGATTTCAAACGGCTTTAAATAATGCCATGTAAGCTTTTGCTTTGCTAATTTCATATCAAATCTGTTAATGCTCTTCGTTGGTGCTCTCTTAGTCAAGCTGAAGAAACAAATATGATTGAAGGCTGGTCTCTCAACGATTACGCTAAAGCTACTGCGCGACCGTCTGACAACAAACTTCCGAGCGTTGCGGATTTTATGAGTCGCCTGGACGGCGATGTTTCAACTATCGATTTTAATAGCAAAGATGTGGGCACTCCTTCGAATAGTCAAATTCAGATAAACAAAAGAAGGCGCAGTCCTACAAATTCACCTTCAACGTCTTCCACCGCTAGAAACGATACGGACGGAAAAAGGAAATACAGATTAGTAGACAATACGCGTCTCACATCTTCTCTGCCATCAAAATCCTCAGGTACTCCCACAATTTCACTAGATCAGTTCAAATTTATCGACAAGCCTCGTTTAGAAAATGATCAAAACAAAAAAGCTCCTGAAGAACGTGTTGAGTTCTTAAGAGTGGTAAGTTAATATCCAATTCATTTATGTATTATTTTTCATATTATAACAATATCACTCTTAGCTACGTAGTTCCCTGTCCTCGGACGATTTTAAGGCTTTCTCTGCCGCTTTAATATCTTATAAGACTGACAATACCATAGGTGATTTAATGGATGTACTATTCCAAATGTTAGGCAAGCCATGCCTTTTTTACATGTTACAAGGTATGAGACGTTTTCTTAAAAATGAACACAGAATGCAATTTGATAAACGTTTGGCCGATCATTCCACCAAAATCTTACAGACCTTTTAACTTTTGCCTTACACATGCATATAATCTCTTTTTAAAAAAATCTATCCATTTCCAATAAATGTTCGCATATGTTACAAAAGAGTTATCAAACGAAATGTGTTTCTGATTTGATGTATTTTTTTTTTTAAGAGCACATGCACATAACACCTTGCTTATTAAGATTACTAATAATTGACGTTTCTGGATACACGCAAAAATGAACTGAAAAAATTGTATTCAATTTGAGGCGAATCGTTAACGCGTCCAAATTCGAAGCGTTTTTTGTTAGCTATGGACGCGTTTGGTCGAACTCAAACTTAGAACTTTCTCTCCCTCAAACTTGTAACTTGTAACAATAACAATTCGGACACGATGACAACGACTCTTGCTTTTCAAGACGATATATATTTGCGATGCTCCTGCTTTTGTCGGTAGGAATTATACGCATGAGATATGCGTTACATGGATGATTGTGACGTAAGATGAGCTTTGAAGCAACTGGTAAGCGAATGTAGTACTTCTACATATTCTTTTCTTTATAAAAAAACAACAACTTATCGAGATTAATTGGATGTAACAGTTATAATATATTTCTCTATATAGGTTTTAATACTCTTGTAACTCTACAAGATTGATGAAATCCATAAAAAAGTTGCGATTCTTAGGGATAGCAAATTTTTTTATATTATTATTATTATTATTTAAAAGTTATAATAAGATTTGGCCATCCCATCACAGCATAGATATTCAGCGTTTGGAAATATATTTGTTCTATTAAAGTAATAATTTATATAACCTGGCACATATGGTAATCCAGCCGATTCAGCGGCATGATACACATACGTGTTAACATAATGTTGAGTTAAAGCTAAGTTTTAAATAATTTAAAATTAATTCCAATTATCCTGACACATGCTCTAATTAAGTAATTTCAGCGACAAGATTCGCAAATATGGAAATATAGATCCAAAACGCATACACGCAGTTGTTCAAGCTCTTAGTCCGCCATGCTCGTACCATTGCATATTGAAACGTTGTTCAAACGTTTGTCGATTGTAAACCCCAATGTCAGCTAATTTATCTAAATCAGTGCAGTATACTAAACGCCGCAGTTCTTCCATTGAAGAATTAAATTTTTGCTTGTAGTTGTCCAGATCGCTTGCGGCCACTTGTATGTGACCATAAAATTCGGTTGTAGGTATATCAAGCGCAGTAACAAGATTATCTAAGGCATTGGCCATCTGGCCTACTGATAAGTTGACCCAATAGTCTTCAGGAAAACGACGAGTTTGGCAGAATGGTGAATTTTGGCGCAGAATGCAAGCCGACATTAACATTTGAAAGCGCTCCGATGGCTCGTAAAAACGTTTACATTTAATATTTTCAACAAAATCGATTAAACGAATTAGCGGCGAATATTTTTGCAAATGCAAAAGAGGTTCACGGTAAGTCCAAGTATATTCGCCCTCACAACTGGCTACGGGAACACTAGTTGCTGGCCTCAAACAGTTGATTTCTTCGGCCATTTTCGTCGGCAGTTTTGTAGTTTGTTTTTACTACCTTTCACCTATTCGACGGCCACACGATCATAGACATTTAATAAAATGCTCTCCATCTCATCCGGTCCATTTTTAATTGTTGGCGTTCATCTTGTATACACTATTATATGCACTAAACGTTAGCTAGTAAAAATTTTCTATAGATTTTCTTAGATAGAGTGCATATTTCACTATACAAAAAATTATTCTACTTTTCTTTTCTACTTTTATGATGTTCTCTTTTATTGTGTTGTCTGAGAGGATTTTTGGCAGTATTGTTATTGTAAAATTTTACTCATGTCTGGAGAAAGAAATGTTCTAATTGTGTTACAGAAAACAAGTTTGTTTTAACTTATTTTTAACCAATTGATCGTTTGTTATGAAAGAAATAACTGCTTTAAAATTATTTTGAAATAAAACTACGTGATTAACCGTTTAGAAACGATCAATAAAACAAATAAATCAACCAATGACAAGATAAAAATTACATGCGAATACTTGGCACTGAATGTGCATGAAGCTCGCAAAATTTTATTTCGAGTTTCCTTGCTGTATGTATGCACAGAAGGTGCAAAAAACGTTCTCTCAAATCAGGCACAAGCAAGACAGCTATGGTTATAATAAATATTGGTTGTTTAGAGTTGTATTTTATAAGAGAAAACAGCTGTAAATTAAAAATAAAATGAATTCCAATCAAAATTCTTTACTTACAAACAAACAGCTGAAACAAAGCAACAAATTTGAAAGTTGTGAAAGGTAACTAAATTAATTTCTTTTCCGTTTTGCTTTTTACTCCAATTATCTAATTAATACTCGTAATTTATAATATATATATATATATACGATGTATATTAAAATTCAAAGTTTAAGTTTACGAATCAAGCTTTTCCTAATAAATAGAAATAGAAAATTATATGAAAATATTTCATTTTATCAAAAATTTTGTATAATTTTTGCTTTTATTTACGTTCGTATGATTTTGTCATTCATTATATCATTGTAAGCAAATAAACGTCCAATTTTTCCATTATTTTTTCGAAATCATTTCAAATAAGGAAGGCGATATATAACAACCAATTAACTTTCAAGATACGCTATCTAAATGAGAACGAAGAACACATAGTCAGTAACCTTATTTATATATATGCGCACGTTCAGAAATTTTAATAATTTTGAAGTTACGAAGAAAAATAAAGCAATCGGAATTTTAAAAACTTGTTGATGGGACTGTTAAGAACTTAAATTAAATCTAGATTTCTAGCTAGAGAAAAAAGTGACCGGCTGTTCTACAAAATTTACCCTTTTTTGACACCCTCGCTTCTACCTAAAGGAAAATTCACAACATGGGAATTTAAAGTTCTTCACCGTCTTATGAGTAATCACACCTACGACAAGGTCTATTTTAAAATGATCAAAGTCTCCTCCTCTGACATCTGTGAGGATTGCAATATTACTGAGTCTGCCGAGCACCTTATTTTTGAGTGCAGGAGGTTTGACATCCTTAGACAATCTTTCAGTATATTTAACCTGTATAACAATTTATATGAAATTTTTCGTGCTGGTAACTTTAGGCATTTGACTGACTGCCTTTATCAAATCAGTTGAGTTTTCATTCTAATTTTACATTGAGTATTTCTATTACAATTACGAATCGCCTACACTTTTTCTTTTATCGGCATTATTAGCCGGATCTTGACAGTACAGTACCAAATACGGTGATTTATGGATTGACAGCGGTACAGAGCCTCTCATTGCGAACACTCTGCCACATCAGTCTACCTATGCTTAAATTTTTTCATCAATCGCTCTCAACTTCGTTTCTGGATTATGGATCTAACATTAACTTAACTGGTCCAATCCATTTCTAAACAAAAAAAAAAAAAAAAAAAAAAAAAAAAACCTAGATTTTTCCTTTTGACCACGCGATTGAATTATTGACTATCAAGCCTTTAAACACCTGAACGTACTGTTCGGCGATTGAGAGCGTTAAGAACAATTTCGATATTTGACCACTTTCTTAGCCTTTTTACGATATTTTCAGCCTGTGCTTCGCCCTTGCTTTTAATCCATAATATTGTACATGGACTTCAAACTTCCAAAAACTAAATGATGAATTTAAAGAGACTGTGCGCGCCAAATGCATTCGCCTTTTCGGTAAAATAATTCCCAGATTTATCTGTAAACGCATACCATGGGCTTCGTTAAATTGCTGCGAAATCAAAATTCCTTACAGACTCGTGAGTGATGAAGTATATTTAAAAATGATGTCTGTGAGGTTTGTAATAGTCTGCTGAGTCTGCTTAACATCTCATCTTCAGATATCACACGCTTGATGGTATTAGAAGTTCTTTTGACATTGTCGGATTATATATGGTGGTCTCCGCGGTTTCTCTTTGCAGCAAAAACCGAGCGTCATACGATAATTTTTTTTTACGTTTAATCGGTATTTTTCTCCTTTTTCAGCGAAAGTTTGCAACACTATTCTTATCACTACAAAAAACACAACAATCCACAATTACATTTAACATATTGGCCGCAGTCTTTTTGTTGCTTATATATGTATTTCTTGCAAATAATTATAACTTTGTATTACAATAATAATATAATTTCTTATTCATAAAATTACTTTGACAAATGTTTCCATTGCTGCTTGTGCTCATAGTTTTTTAAAAAAGAAGACGCTTATTCCCCAGAGAAATAAATAGAAGGGCGCTTATAGGAAGACCCGTTATGAATTCGAAAAAACTAAAAAAGTTAATAAAGTGTTCCGGACATGCTGAAAATAAAAGCGCTTTTACGATTCCATTGACTTCCCCAATAGACAAAATGACATCATTTGATTTTTCAAAGGACGATCGGGCCCGCATTGAGATGATTACTCAATCACTAAAGGATAAGATCCGTATTGTGTCATTTAAAAGTGCCATACTGCACAACAAACATTTATTTAGGGGCCGAGTCGTGTTAAATCTAAATTGCGGCGTAGGGCTTTTTGCTTTGTTTGCAGCAAAAGCTGGCGCGGCTAGAGTATTTGCGGTGGACAATTCAAATGTACTTTACTACACTAAGCTAATAGTACAAAATAACGGCTACAATGATATCATAGAAGTGATGAAAGGCGAAATTACTGAGATAGAATTGCCAGTGGATGAGGTCGATATAATTGTTTGTGATTGGATGGGACAGGCGTTGTTGTATCAGTCTACTTGCGTTGACGTTTTGTATGCACGCGATAAATGGCTAAAGAAGTCCGGCGGCCTTATATTCCCAGATAAGGCGAGACTATTTGTGGCTGCCATAGAAGATGAGAGATATAAAAATGAAAATATCGAATGGTGGCAGCATGTCTATGGATTCAAAATGAACTGTCTGCGAGAAGTCGCGATAAGAGAACCTAGACATCACCACGTAAAAGTTGAACAGGTGAATATTGAAGAGTAAAGGTAGTTTGTACAATTAAAATAGAACTGCATTAAATTGTTTTTAGCTCTTAAGTAAACAATACCCGATTCATATGTTAAATTTGAACAAAGCCACTTGCGAGGATCTCTATATACGTAGCAAATATAAGCTGCATATGCAGCGAAGTGGACGCATGGACGGTATTGTCTTGTTTTTTCACGTGTATTTTACCAAGTCGCATACTCGTTTGGCCTTTAGTACTGATCCTTGGTCACCGCTAACGAATTGGCTGCAAACAGTTTTCTTTTTGGATCAGTCATTGTCAGTAAATGTTAACTCTCTATATTATGGAGGCATAGAATTGTATTCGCCTGGGTCTTCCCACAATCCTGAAAATATAATAGTCAATTTGGAAATGCTTAAAGGAGAACCCTATCACGCTGAGTTCGAGGCTGCAATGAGTTGGTATATGATATCTTCAAGAATTCCGCGATGTGTTGTATTTAAAGCGACCGATTGTTCAAATAGTGAAGCAGATGGTAGCCAAGGTGTAAACCGTTTTCAAAAACACAAGAATAAGATCATAAAATAACCTTTATAATATTTTATTTTTCCTCTTTTGCCATTCTGTGAATTGCTTTACTTAAGAAAAGAAAAAATCGAAAAGGAAATCGTATTTGGCTACAATCAAATTTTTCTTTCAATAAGACAAAAGCTTAATCCACCCATACAAAAACATTCTTTATAATCCAGTGCTATGTGTATATCTATTTACTATTTTATACTCGGAAATCTTATATATTACTAATAAATTTAATTATATAATGTGGTCGCAAATATGCGTAACATAGGCATTGCGATTTGCGAAGTTGCTGCTATGTAGGCAACTGAAGACTTCTGTAGCCATACTATCAGATTCGTCATCCGAATCTGCAGAAGAATTATTTGTGTCGGCAGTAATCCCTAATATGAATATGAAAACCGTGCTATAGCACGCTTACATAAAGACCCTATATATGTCAAATCCATAGTGTACCTTGAAATTCTACGTCAACGATGTCAAATCAATATATAAATTCTCATTGTATAGTAGATATGAAAAGTTTTGCAAAATTTTCCATATGAATTAATTTCCATGTCCGATTTTAATCTCTCTATATACCAAACTCCGATAAACTAAGATTCAATTTGTATTTAAATGGAACTATATTTAAGACATAAGACGATTGCTTTTGCAAATGGCTCACGTGACGTTGCTGACAAAGATTTTAACAGCCCCGTAATTACATCGTTCCACACGCCGCAATATGCGCACGACGATATATAATTTGATGCCAGTTCCGCATTTTAGCAATTTATGTCCACTAAATGAACAATGCAATGATTTAACGATTTCATTGCTTTTTATCACGATGGTTTTGCTAATAAAATTTTTGTCAAGAAGTGGCATTTAAAGGAATCTAATTGGATGTAACAACAACAATTAAAATCAAAGTTTATACCATAATTGTGGAGACAAAAAAATACTGATTTTAAAAATTATAAAATTTGAAATTGAAAGCATTGCCTATTTAATTCAAAAGTGATAAAATTGAAATAAATTTCAATTTTTCCAAGAAAAATTTGTTGTCTTTGGCGTACATTTCTTATGACTGTTCTGTATGTATAAACATGCGACACAGGGCGACGTCACGTAAAGAAAACTAGCAAGCTTTAACAATAAAGCCAATGAAAGGTCAACTAGATAAAATTGGTTCTGTTGCGTTAACAGAAACATCATTTCCCATGTCTTCACTTTTAGAAATGAGGTTGATAACTATCTTGGCACGTCTCCTATTTATAAACAGAAGGTGATATCGTACCGCAAGGACTCGAGACTGTTCCGAAAATTTTGAGATCGGAGCGATAAGAGCGTTTTATTATAGCAAGAACATGATATCTTAACAATTTGCTGAAATTGTCGCGAGAGTTTGAGTTTATAGTAAGCATATGTACATACGAAATCGTACGTTTCTTAATGCTGGCAGTTTGATATCCAAAAAAATGATATGAAATAAAATATCTCTTACGAGATGTGGAAACCCTGGAATTCCATTTTGAACAAAATTCAGCTGTTTTGTTTCATATATCTGTTCGCAATTTTATTAAAAAAGTAAATTTTATGTTGAAAGGAATTTTTTCTATTTGGTCACATTTAAACATTAAAAACTAATGGACGATACGGAGAGTGGAAGCACAACGGCCGTAACAGCGAAATTGGTTAAAATATCTTTGGAAGATGTGCAATGCCGACATCGTCGTGAACGTAAGGATTTACAGGCAAAAATTCAAGCCCTTAAGAAAAATACGCCAAAAACAAACAAGAAAAAACGTAAGGAAGTCATGGAGGAAGTGGCACGTATGGAAACGGAGTTAGATCTGAAGCAAGCGGATGAAATTAAAGTAGCAGAAGAATTGCAATCAGCCAAATTAGTGGAAAGTCAAAGTAATGGAGAAAACTTTGAAGTGTTAGAAAGTGACGAGAAGATGAAGTGCGAGCCTGCCGTGCGTGTAACGAAAGCGCAAAAGAGACGAGATAAGAAAGCTCGGGAGGCTCGATTGAGAGAAGAAGAAATCCTAGCGGCTTCCGAGGATACGACATATACTCCAAAAACAATTGAAGCTCGAAAATTACAATCGAAATTAAAGAAACGAGACTTGGTTCTTTACAATATACCCTCCGATGGTGATTGTTTATACAACGCAATACGACACCAGCTTATGCGGCATGACTTGGGTACGCCCACGGTGCAGCAGTTACGTTATGAAACTGCAAATTACATATATATAAATAAGGATATGCTTTTACCTTATATGACCAACTCAGAAACCGGCGATTTAATTACTGATAATGAATTTGAAAAATATTGCAACGATGTACGCAGTACTCCAGCTTGGGGTGGACAAATTGAGTTGAAAGCTCTCTCTTCCGTTCTGAAAGTTCCAATTGAAATCATCCAGGCCGATGGTTCGCCCACCATACAAGGTGACGAGTTCACCGGCGATCCGTTAGTTATTACATATCACCGCCATATGTACAGTTTGGGTGAACATTACAACTCCACAATTCCGTTATCCGCAGCTACAACTGACGGTGATTACCCAAGTGACGACAATCAAACGAACCCTGCCGAAAGGTATTTAAACTAAAGTGAAAGTGAAACAAAATAATCGTAACGCTGCAGTAATGTTTTAACATTTTTTATTCGGCGAATAGCTTGCGTCAAATTTTTTTTTCTCTCTTCTTTTTGTTATCATCATTGTTAGTTGGGATATGTTCTGTCGTAAACAAATTGAACAAAGGCTTGTAAAATTATGTGCAAAAAATTGTCCGCTGAAAATGTTTTTCTTAATATTTATATTTGAAGATATTTTTATTTATTTTTTAATCAAGATATGTATAAGCAAACAGCGCGCTAATATTTTATTACAATATTCATTTTAATATATATTTTGAATGTTATTTTATAAAATTTTTAATTCATTTTTAATATGACTTAAGCTGCAATAAATTGTACGTATTAACAATTTCATAAGTTAAATTTACAAGAGCTAAATTTTAAAGCTATATTTTTAAATTTACCTTTATTGGAAGATTATTATTATTGTCATAAAGTTTATAAAATTGATTAATGATTTGTGGTTGTTTGAGTTTTAGTTTTCGACACATTTAGCTCGAACGTCTTGGAGATCACATGGTTTCGTAGTACATAATTAGTTTGTTTTTTCTTTTCCAATTTTTTGAAAGCCAACAACCCTGCAATACATCTAATTAAACTTCTTATTATGAATATCTTTTGAAGGATTGCTAGTCTTTTTATTAGAACGCTTTTGTTCCAAGAATAATAATGACGGATTCTTGTCCATTAAAGAAATTGTGTTCGGATATATAGCAAATAGTGACAATTGTATCGAACTCAATATTAAAAGCAAAGCATTTTGATACTGCAAAAAAAGTAATTCGATTGAATTAGAAGTGACCTCGTAAATATAATAAATGATAAAATTACTACACGTACCGTTAGCATGGAATTTTTTATGGAAATGGCGTAAATAACCCAAGCCGCGGATACCACGGCACCGGCTAATGTCATCGGCAACGACAAGCCATCAGTTGTCTTCCTATTTATGATTGCATCCAATTCAAGCAGAGGCATACCGACCAAATATATTAGCAAGCCAGTTATTAGCATACCAAAACGGAATTCAATTTTATAAGGATCTTCAAAGTTTGCATAAGCTAAACAGGTTATAGTAAATACAGCGGCCACACCAATTTTTGTCCAAATTTTCATTTTAAAAGTTCCCGACGCATACCAAAAGTGTGTCAGAGTAAAGATAACATTAATACAAAACCCGAACATATTCACCTTCACCATTGCCTCATCGCCCATCAATGTACCCAGCTTGCAACTTAATACTGTTCTGCAAAAGACGAAAAATTGTAGATTTTACCATGTCGTTACTACTACCCGAAGTTTCAATCACTTATTTTACTGTTTGTTTTGACGCGTCAGTCTAACAGCTCTAAAATCAAAGCATTTTCAAAAGGAAATGCTTAAAAACTAAGCTAAGCTAAAAATATATTAACCTGTTGCCTCCTCTAGCATTTTTTTTCTAAAAAAGAACTCGACGGAAATGAAATTTCGACAGTCTTTAATATTGCGTGGGCGTGCTTGATTTTTCCCAATTTTTGTATAAAGATTGCAAACTTTGAAATTGAAGAGTAGTGAGTAAAGCTTTTACTTTGTTTTTGAACACTCGAGTGGACTCCTCAACTGATTTAGTCTGTCTTCACTACTATCGTGTGTACAAATTTTTAATATTTTTGCAAAATTTGAAGACGCGGCTAAGAGGAATTAAGTCGATTCAAAGTTTAGTTTTGATCTAGAATATGCATTGTTTATGAGGTCCCCAGCTCTTGTTCTTTCTTCTGTATGTTGCGAACGTTGTCGCAGAAGAGAATATAATCCCATGCTACGGTGATGGGTACTCAATTAAATAAACATACAGACGCATGTGAAGCCAAAATATTATATCAAGCCCAACGTCAAATATGCGCTGCAAACACATTCGATCTCGCCCTCCCTGTCGCTCTCATGTTGAAATACCTGTACCAAACAATCACAGCAACCAGAATGTAGGAAATCAAGACGTATTAATGATGGACGCCAGGTAAAAGCCAAAGTAGTGGATTTTTTGGACATTTGTTTGAAATCGAAGCAAAAGTTATCAAATAATAATGTTTGTTCTCATTTGTTAAGCATATATTTAAATTTAAGAAAGATATGTTTTTTGAAAAATATTTACATATGGCAACACTCTTCTGGCCATGCAATGGAACTGGCACTAATTTAAATCTAAACGAAAGAAAAGATAATTCACTTAATCCACGTATCTCTAATTAGAGGAGTACGAAGCATATATTAAAACTATTGACGAGTATTTGAAAGAAAAATTCAGTGTCCGATTCAATTACCTTTAGTTTATAAATGGGAAACTTAACGTTTCGCAAATGTCCTACTTTATTCGCTATAGTGTTATTTTAAGGATGCTATAATGATATATCCCGCCCCGTTTTGAAAAATCGTGTTCCGAGGAGAACGCGTCTAGACTTTTAAAATGCTGTATAGATATTTTTTTTACTATAACAGATTTTTTATTAATGTTTTCTTAGTCTGCAATCCGGGGACTATAGAACTGAACTTCCACAAATAAATATTTTTTCCCCATTCTCTTCCTTTGAAGATTTATTATTAGAAAGGTCAGCTTTCTCGCATTTGGCGAGGACCGAATCTCAGGTTTCAGTTCTAAAGCCGAATTCATAATTAAGATCGACAATTTCATTATACACTTTTAATTTCTTATCAAAGACGCTGAGTGCGTTCGATTCGCTCTCAGCCACCGTTATCTCTATGAATATAAACACATTTAAAAGACGTTTGTCAAAAAAAAAAAAGAAGTTGTACAGGGCGGTTTTTCCTCTTAAACATACGAGGGAGAACAAAAATGACGTAGGTATAACTATACGGAATTAACAACGATAAAGTACTTTATGCTATAACATGTAAAACGTCCTGATTCGTGTTCATATATTGAAATGGACATCTGGAGCTTTTTTAATCTTGCATAAAAATTTGTCAATTTTTTCTCTAAAGACATTTTCAAAAAGTGTGCAGCAAATTGGAATCTTTACAAACAAAACATTTTCCAAGAAGAATTTTTAATTTTTTAAAGAAGAGAATATACGTTCAATACATTTTGTTATTTTAAATCGTTACATGTTAGCCCACATTTTGTGCCTACTCGTGCTGCTATTACAAGAGCTTCATTCTAACAATTGGAAATTTTCATTATTAAAATAATTTATAAATATGAATAAGTATATCATTGAATGAAATGTATTAGGTGAGGTGATGTAGCGCTTGTCCGATTATAATGCTTTCTTTCATTTTATTTGCAATTGTTTGATATAATTTACTTACAAAACTACACCGCCTAGGAATGGATCCGGCGGAAAACCGTCGCTGCATCCCACTTTGCGTATTTCATTCAAAAGAAAAGCGCCAGACATATAGTGCAAGCATGTTACCGTACAAACACATTTGGCAATGACACTGCTATAAGGTGCTAATAAATCCCCTAATATGTCCATTGTCAATTTAACAACCGTAATCGTATCGTAAGGCCACTCAGAGAAATCAATTTACAGAATATTTAAAGAGAAAACTGAATTTTTTCTCTCTCTTAAGGCAAACTTTTATTTCTTTTTTCTTTTTATGAACTATTTTACATCTACGGATTTTTTAAATAATCAAAAATTTACACGTTTTTCAGTTTTTTTTTTTTTCGTTTTAATAGAAGTAATTTTTACAAAATTTTCAGAGAGCTATGCTCCAACAGAAAAAAAGAAAATGAAATGAAAAATTTATCAATTGTCATTACGTGCCAATTCTATTAAAGTTATTGTTTTTGTTGTAATGAGAAGAACGTGTTAAAGCGTAAATGATGCATAGTACTTAGCGCAACCTTCGAGCGACGTTTAATTTAATCCCTCTCCAAATAAGAAAAGCAATTCGCAGTTTGTATTATTTTAATAATTGGCATTATCTGTGCTCGCTTAATAAATATGTGCTGGTATTGGTAGTATTATATTTATCTCTTTATAAAATTGCGTTAAATATCCGTACGTCAGGAAACTTCATTTCTAAATTTGGCAACATAAGTCGCTAGTATTGTTTTTTTTTTTGAACAGTCTGTCTGCTAATTTTATACATATAACATTTGGACTTTGGACTTTACTTAACAATTCTAAATGAAAAGATTTTAAACGTTAACGTCGCCAGTGAGCAGATTTGAGAAGCTAAACGACCATAAAGAAGCAGTTTCGGCTTATTAATAACGTAAGCAAAACATGTACTTAATGGTCTTTTTAATAAAATTAAAAATAGAATCGGTATCATTCAGTTTGTTAATTTAAAAAATTTTATTTAATTTATTCTAAATCTCTTCTTTTATGATTGTTTTCCTTTTCTCGGAAACAAAAGGTACCGAGTTTGGCTTAGAGTGTTTACGAACATTGGCTTCCTTTCGTAATTCTTTATCTTTTGTCGTGCGCATTTTCTTCTGACTATTGAGCACATGTCGAGGCACTTGACGATGGCGCGCAATACGTTTGATTTGAGGATGTGCCGCATATTTCTCCTTAAGCGCTTCTTGATAATTGAAATTCATGCGTTCACGTGGCTGAGTGATACCTAATTTCTCAGAGGCTTTAGCTTTCCATATACGTATATTCATTTCATCGGAACCCGAATATATGTAACGATTATCTTGAGACCAAGCTACGCACACAACGTGCTGCATACGTTTAGTGTGGTAAACATCACGCGAGTGAGAATAATGCGTATTATAAATGCGTACCGTTTTGTCATAACTAGCGGAGACAAATTCTTTTCCGGTAGGGGAATAATCAACATCAGTAACAGCGGCGACATGATCAAAGTGAATTTTTAAAGGATTGCGTAGTCGACGTGTATCAAATGTATAAAGGCTATAGAAGGCGCATAAGTGTTTTGTTTTTAATAAAATTATAATTAATATCACTAATGGCAACACTTACTTGCAATCTTCATTTGCCACCGTAAAATTGAATGCTTCCATTGGATTCCAGCATAATTTGTTGCTTTTCATAGACAAAATAATTTTACGTAAAGGAACTGATTCTCTTTGATCGTATAAAATTATACTGCGATCACTAGCGCAACAAGACAAGATTGAAGTTTCAACCGGATTAAAAGCCACGGCATGAAGAGTATCGACGCCCCATTTTAATACTTTCACGGGATCGTTACGATTTTCATCCCATATAGAGCAAACTTCGCCGCAAGTAGCGAAAACTGCTTGCTTACGATTGTGTGAAATGCTAGTAATAATAGTCCGGCTTAATATTGTATTAATGGGCTGTTCATCTTCATTTATATCGGGTGCATTTGAACTCCACACTTTAATTAGTTTGTCATCGCCGACAGTAAACAATCTTTCGCCATTCGTGGAATAACAGATGCCCCTTATGAAACCTTCGTGCGCTACAAAACAGCGTAAACTCTCGCGATTAGCTAAGTCCCAGATGCGGATTTCACCATCATAGGAACCACTTGTAAGAGTCGAGAGCCTTTTTGGGTGCTTGCCAAAGCAAGAAACACCGTCACGATGACCACTTAAGTTGCTTACAAAAGGCTTTGCGAAAACACGTTCGAGTTTTGTCGCATTTAAAGCTCTTACATATTCCCGGGCAGCCTCCATAGGATGTAAAGCGGGATCATAATTACGTGGTACTTAATAAGAGCAATTGTTAAAAAAATGAAGAAACAATTGAAAATCAAACTTTTGAAAGTTTATTAATCTTACTCCGATGATGTTCTTTATTCGTTTCTCTAACGTAATCATCCGGATTACGGCTTATCATTTGCACCTTCATTTTGTGTTTAACCTCCTACGGAGCCAATTCAATTCCCTGCCGTGTTGCTTTTTACACAGAACTTAATTTTTAATAATAAGTACTCGTGTTGATTTCATAGAACCGCGAAATGTCAATTTACTTTTGTACGAAAGACAAATAAAAAAATAAGCGATGATAACAATCAGCTTTACCAACACATAAACGAATGAGACACTGAATTCTGAAACATTGAGATATGAAACACATGAGAAATAATTTTTGAGAACTTGTAAATTTACTAAACAAGCTGAAACATGTACCAACATTTCATATCAATATTTTTCCCATTGAGACGATTGATTTGGCAATATATAGTTTGCGTTATGAACGGTATTTAAATTAGCGGTCGAAAGTATTTTTTTTTTCAAAAACGTTGAGGTAAGGTTGCCATTAACAAGTTAAGCATTACAATATATTTCCCCAAATATTGATCAAATAGCATTGGGGAGCCACGTTTCATAATATAAAAATACATTTATTATGGATTGTTGTTGTCCGTCTATCTAAAATCTAAAAGGAGATCCACTTAACAATTCTGAATATACCGTCTAGAATCGAAAAACTTCATTTTAAAGTTAAAACGCTCCTCATCAGATACGAATTAGGGTTTTAAGTGCACACATTGGGCTTTTTTGAAAAAAAACTTTCCCTTCCATTTCGTTCCTTTCAGGTTGAGAATACGTTGCTAACGTTGCCATAAAAAATGTGCAGCAAAGTAAATTTTATTCTCAAAAATAAAATTTTATCCTCAGGTAAATCCAAAAAAAAAACTTACGTTTAGACAGTGGAAGGGGGTTTCATATTACGTTAAAACGTTTAATTTGCATTTTGCAATGATTTTTAACAGATTTCGTGAGTTACAAAGCTCTTTTAATAGATTTCGTGAGTTACAAAGCTCCTTTAACAGATTTCGTGAGTTACAAAGCTCTTTTAATAATTTGAAATTGTGGTTGAGTGCCCAACTAACAACTTAAATGGTAACGCCATTCAACTGTGTTATCTAACGGACCAAATTATCTAACGGACCAAATTATCTAACAAACCAAATGTAACGTGCGCAACGTGAGTATTTCACCAAACAACCCTCATGGCGTAGATGAAAGTAAAGTATGACAAAACACATCAACAGTCTCATGAAGCGTAAGCGCTCATATGCCGCAAAGCACATTGACAATGTTTTGATAGTACCATATGTACTATAAAAGTTAAGTGGGCCAGAAGAAGTGATGCAAAAGTGAAATTGGTAATTTATTATTTTTTCGATAGTAAAGATTTTAAACATTGATGATAATAAACAATAATATTAACAGTTACATATATACAAAAATATGATAACTAACACCGAAGTAGCAACAATTTTGAAGAATATAAACAAATAAACATGTGCGTAAAATGCAACGACGAGTTACGCACGGTACCAATATTACAAGAAGACGGTGCCAGATTAGCAACATCAAAATACATGCGCGGTACTACTTTTGCAGCACGATACTACCTTAACAACAATCAAGTACGGTGCGGTATTTTGTTATATAAAAATGAATGTTCTAGTAAACATTGTATTTAACGAAATCAGGGATGTTAAATATAATCAAATATATATTTGATTAAGATGGATTTCCTAACAAAGTTGCATTTTTATCTTACGATATACGATATTACAATGAAATGTCAGTTAAAAGCAATTCGCAAAGAATGAAAGAAAAGCGCAAAAAATCCTGCATGAAGGAATATCTACCCATATATTTTTCATTTTTCATTTCGCGTCTCAACAAATTTTTGCAGCTCAAAAATTTTACTAACAATCTTATTAGAATCTGAAACTAATGGGTTTGCTGATTGTTAGTACAAGTTTATTATAGTTGATTTACCGTTAAGTTGAAATCTCTAAAGTGTTTGAGAAACGGCTTTAAAAATTGCTAGGTCGTATAGTCCTTGGGCGGCATCTAGGGGGGGTGAGACACCTTCGCCGGGCTCTGTCGTGGCCATTGCCACTGCGAAAACTTCATCAGGAAAAATGAATAATTTGGTAATGTATAAATACACATATGTATACGTTTTCGCGATTTGTAAATATATGTGCATGTTTTATACATACATACATATGTAAATGTATATTTTTTTATAAATTTGGTGTTTTATTCTCTATAAAGGACCACGTAAAGAATTTCTATCCAGAAAATTATAAATTAGATTTGTCGGAAACAATGAAGGCTGCATTGTCTAAAGGAGGTTCTAATTCAGCTTCTGCTGGAGTTCCAGGGTCCGGTGTTAATATGCTAGCTCCTTCAGGATCCAGCGGAGGTCACAGCTCTGAGATGAATACTGGTAACAGTGGTTTGTCCGGAGCCGGCTACGTAACTGAAAAATTATATATGCTATTGCAATTATATTTGCAAAACAAAGGCTGGAATCCAAGCGCTGAATTACTGCAATGTTTCTCTGATTTGAAAGATAATGCTATGTTGCCTAGTGCAGCATACTTACAGTAAGTCGCTAAATATAATACCAATCCGAAAAATTTGATTTTCTTTAATATTCTAGTTTTTACTTATTTGCTTTTATACTCTAATAACTCACAATTGGTTTTCTCTAGAGTATTAGCCAGCCGTTTAACCCTCGATGCACAAGGTCGTCTTATTTTAAGAGAAAACGGAAAGATTGTTCTTCCCTACGAACACTTTGCTAATGCAGTCATGCTCAAGCACATGTCTGGTCCTCATGGCCTCCACCTGAGCGTCGACGCAACAGTAAGAGCCGTTATGGAATCCTATACCATAGGTCGGGAAAATTTCGGCATGGAAAAAGAGTTTATAATTGAAGTGGTTCAATCGTGCCCCAATGCGCCGTGCCGTTATTATAAAAACCATATTGGCATTTCTCCGTTACCATTTATCGACCAACAATTTCCCGGAGTTAATCCTTCTGAATTTCTTCAGCACTTGCCTCACCTACCACCACCGCCGCCGCCTACCCATAGTTCTCATATAGGAAGTGGTCAAACTGTGAGTGGCGCTGGAAGCGGTCCTAATTCAGCAGGTAGTAGTAGCTCAACTACTAGCAGTTCAGCGGGAGGTAGTGGCGAGGTAGACTTGTCTGCGAAATCTCACAATTCGCATGCCAAAGTGCCCACTCAACTTCAGCATTTGACTAAACAACAACAAAATAATATACAATCACAACTGTCTCAAATAAGCGCTGCAGCCGCTGCGGCAGCAGCCGCGGCAGCTGCTAAACAGCAACATCAACAACAGCATCATCAGCAACAGCAGCAGGCTGCCGTGGCGGCTGCGGCTGCTGCTGCTGCCGCAGCACAACAGCAACAACAACAGCATCTCACTGCTGCACTAATACAGCAACAAAATCGTGCTTTAGCTCAACAAAGCTTAGAGAAATTTAGTAGCTTGTCTGCTTTGGAAAAGCAAAGGGTTCTCTCACAACTTGATCCTAAGCATTTTGATCCAACAACTATGGCTGTAGCAGCTGCTGCCGCTAACTTGCAAATGCAAGGTTTGATGCAGTCCCAAGCGGCTGCTGTAGCTGCTGCTGCGGTTGCAGCTGGCCAAAATTCAGCGGCGCAACCTTCGCCAGGTACTTCGTTAGGTCTACCAACGTCCAACAATAATAACACCCTAAATCCTGGTAACAATCATCATGCTGCTCATCACCAGTTGCCACCGCCAACGCAATCTCCAACTATACACTCTTCACGTCATGACATTTCATCTTCTACTTCCGTGCACTCGGTAGAACAAATGGTTCAGAAAAGTGTAGAAACCTTACGGTATGTAGAAAGTGAACCTCCGATATACTCCACTACTTGCAACGAGTATAATTTCAGTTCAAATTTGGAATCTTTGGAATCCAATAAGGATTTACTTGCATTACATAATGGCGCCTGGACTTCTAGTGGTCACGATTCGAATAGTAATAATTTGCCAGTAGGACAAGACAAGATTATACGTATATTTTCTGAGCTAATGCGGAATATGTCTCGCATTAAAACTTACATAAGACCGTCAATGTGCAAGCCATACGGAAAACAAAGTGAATCCTTGCAGAAAAGTAAGTTTTATATTTTTATTAATATGATGGGCTTAGCGTATGCTTATTGGTTTTACATTTTTATTATATAACCTTTGCTTTTATAAAAGCTCTTGTGGATACCATACAAATTATACAAACTTTGCGCAGCTGTTTGCCAGCTCCTCACATTCCCGTCACTTCGTGGAAGAGTGAAAGTGAAGGCAGTTCGTCAAATATTGGCGGTGGTGTTGTTATCGGCGGAACCAGTGTATCTTCAGTTGTTTGTAATTCCATGCTACCAGGTAATGCCAACACTTTAATTGGTTCTTTACCTTCCAATCGTATTGAAAATTTAAGTAATTAAGTTACCAGATCAGGCATTTGAAAATCAAGGAAATATAAGGAAATCAGACATGCTTGCATACGTATGTGAATGCGCGTGCGTATGTATGGCAAAAGGGGAAAAGAACCCTTCCTAATATTATATCAAGCAATAATAATTATAAATTAAAGGTCATTTGTACAGCTTAGTATTACGTTTAAGTGGAAAGTATTTGTACGTTTAAATGTATAATATTCATACCCATCACGCAAAGATAAGGAATTACTAGTTGGCCGCTTCCGTACTTTTTTTTTTTTTGTATGTCCGTTAAGAGGACTTTTCGCTGTTGGAAATTGTACAGAAACGTCGAGTCTTCTTAAATATTTGCTTAATTTAATTTTCCGAAAATTTGATCTGTTCACGAACTGACTCTTATAATGGCCAAAAGACTGAAATTACCTTGAAGAAAATTTTTCATCTAAAAGTTTTATATATATGCGGACGTAAACGTATTTCAATAATTAAATATTAATTTTAAAACGCAAGTTCGTATTAACTCAAAAATTAAATTTTCGACTTTAAGTGATGAGTATTTAAGATTCGTTCTAAAGCGAATATAACTTTTTTACTTATTTAATTCTATCTTGTGCACAACAACAACTTTTGCAAGCGAATGCAAAAGAAAAAAATATTGCGAATAATTATTTCGCTTGTTCTCTCAAACGCTTAGAAAATAATAGAATTAATCATAATCAAGAGAAAGGTAAGAAAGGAATAGTAGCAATGAAATATTTAAATATATAGGTAACCACAACATATCGTTACCAATGTAACAAAATCACAAGGATACAAGGGTTTGTCAACTATATGTAGCGCATGGCAATATGCATCGGAGATTCGTTAAATTATAATTACACTTGACCATTCTAAATAGTGAAATAAATTTATCCCTATTTGTTCTTTGACGAACTTATGAATACAAACTTGGAAGTAGAATAACCAGTTAGAAGGTTTTTGTGTCCAAGCCTCCTGTCAGGATAATTTTACAAATTTTTCAAATCGGTTTACAGTCAGAAATATATCGTTTGTAGTGAGAAATATATCGGATCCAAAGCAATTGCGGTCAATAGTGTTCGATGTTGGACCAAAACATATCAGTGTACTAAATTTCTATAAAGCATCTCGAAAATTGTGATCCGTTGGGTGTACTTAAACATAAGAGTACATGGACATATATCAGCAGTTAGATTGGTGGATAGACAAGTTCCTGAATCGATTGGTATAATAAAAGTTTGATGGAGTCTATCTCAAGTCTTTCTGAATGCTGTAAACATCCGCAAAAATTTAATATACCTCTGTACCACAATTGGTGTAGGGTATAAAACAATAAGTACATTTCTTAGTGTATCTTTTTTTACTTCATTAATCACGTTTTCCTATGTCATGTTTATACACAAGGCTCACGAATGGTATTCTAACAATGTCAGCCTATATGTTATGTTGGAGTTGTACGATTGTGTTAACATTGCTGTTGCAATTTTTAAGCGAAAGCTACTCGGGGATAGTAATCAATACATATTCCTTGAGCTTTGTGAGTACTTTTGCCGAAAATCCAAGGAAAACAACTAATAGTAGCAGTATCGGTAGAAGTACTAGTAGTAGTAGTGGTGGTAGTAGTAGTAGTAGTAGTAGTAGTATTCAAACTATTCGGTTTAAGCTAATGCGTTTTCTCTTTTAGCCTTTGAACGAAAAGAAACGTTTATTATAATATAGCGTATTATCTGTAGCAAAAGAGTTAAGCTTGCAACTGCCAAACCAATGCGTGCTCCATCTTCTAAATTTTTGGCTTTACTCTCTTTTACACTCTTGCACCATTTTTCGTTAATATTGCAGTGAAATACAATCATCGGTATTTGTATGTATGGACAGCTGGCAATGGTTATAAAAAGTATTAATTGCATACACGTGCAAAGATCGGAACATTAAGAGTTTGTGGATTTATTTTCTTTTATACTCGTAACCGCCGAATAGGGGAAAGTATACGATTGTGTTTTCATTTCGTTCGTTATATACGCCCATAAACGTTCGCTCGTGTCAAAATGTTTTCATTTTAAAAGTCATATAGTGAATGGAAGAGAGTTTATGCTCTTTATGGATTACGGTACCGTATCCACCTATCCGAAATATTAGCCTTATTCTTTTTTGTACCTCCAAACTTTAGAACCTCCACAATATATATATATATATATATTCTTGATCAGCATCAAATTCGGTATAATGTCTGTTGTAAAAATTCCTCTGACCGCGAGAGTGAAGGTATCGACCTCAAATTTGGCAGGACCATTGGAAGTTCTTCAAAGTATGTCAAATCGGTCGAAGAACATGCCTTCGGCAGAACGTACGCTGAGAATACGAAAAGAGTATATATATATATATATATATAATATCTGTACAGAAAAAGAGAAAAATTGACCACGCCTATCTAATATTATTAGGTCCAGTCACGGAAACAAACGAGTTTTTGTTTTCACTACATAAATGAGCAGGATTCAATTAGTCTCCTGTCAACAGTTTCATGTGGTGCATGTTACATTACAATGTTACAACTGTTTTTCTTAATCTCTGAAATGGAAAGCCAAGAAGCGTATATTCGGCATGTAATGCTTTGAGCATTTCATGAAGGCAATAGCCGCAGTAATAGCAAGAGGTATAAGGCAAGTAAATGCCTGATAATAAAACGCAAGTTATTTACGTCTCGACCTAGTATAATTTATGAAAATTTATTGTTTTTTTTTCAAGACCTTTATAGCGCGCAGAAGCATGCTTGAAGAACACCTTAAGTATATGCAAATTCTTAGCCAGTTTCAAATTCGGAATACACTTAAGCATGCCGGTCCGTTCGTCCACCTAACTGTGTAGTACCCGTAGTAGGCGTTCTCCCGTTTCCTAAACGAAGATATCGCCTACAAATTAGCAACATTTTTTTAATTTCAAAAAAAGTAAAGCGGCCTCAATCTATATTGGGCTGTGGCTGCGTGCTTTGGCCAACTTGCTCCATTCTCAATATGGACGTCCAATGTTTTCGCCAAATTTGATATAGATAGCTTCATTTTTGTGATCAGGATAGTGTTGATCATGACATTACATAGAAGGACGGCCGGATAGACATTATTAAATCTGTTAAGAATTTGTCTTTGAAGCTTGCTTGTTTCGATAAAATAGCAGATACACTCCTCCTTCCCCTCATTCTGTGCATAATGGGTATTATAAGGCGACTGCTCTTTACACTATCGGCAATAGCACTTAAGATCATTGTTTCTCGATAATTTGCTCGTGATTCATACTCTTAAGCTTGGATATGTATTTCTTAGTTTTGTTCGTATTTTTGCGATTTTTAAACGTAATCTGAGGTTAGCGTTACCAAAAAAAAAAAAAAAAAAATACAAGGAAAATTGTCTTTCAACTTTTCAAGATTGAGTTTAATGCGAAAATTGTCTATGGTTTGGTAACCTGCACAAACCACGTCCGCCCTTTAAAAAGTAAATGCAAATAATGCGATAAAAAACTAAAAAAAAAACAATAAATAAATGAAATTAAGACAACAAACACGGTTCGATTATACGCTGTAAGCATACGCTGCGATTTTTGTTTCGCTTTTGATTAAAAGCACAAGTTTTTTTATTCGAAAATGATGGACAAAAAAAAAAAAAAAAAAAATATTTTAAATAAAATTACGTACAGGCCTTAGACAAACGTTTGGCTTTTATTTTAAAAAAAAAAAAAGAAAAAAACAAAACAAAAAAAAAAAAAAATGAATGAATTAACTGTGATACTGTTTATCGATTCTAGTTCAGAAAAATCCCGTTTTTAATACTAATTAATAACAAAATCATTGTTCTGGGTAATTTTGCCTTTTTTATGAAAAAAAATTGTAAAAAAAATTTGTTTAAATATTCTGGAAAATGAAAAGAAAATGGCGTAAGTTAAATTCCTGCCCGACGAATATCAGCGGGGCGGGAGTCTTGTACGCATTGTAACTGATTTATAAATTTATAGACTATCTATCAATGATAATTTCAAATGTTCACCGCGACACCGAGAACCGATAAATGAAACGAATTTTCATGTTGTAAAACAACTTAACAGGGATGTACGTACGTACCTAAGTACATAATGATCGTATTTTTCCCCGGCAAAGGTTTAAATATTTCTATTTCAACAGTGTTAAAATAAATAATGGCAATAATAATGAAATTGTTCGAAAGACGATTCGCGAAGACGATTCGTGTGGTCTAAACCGATTCATAAACTTAAGAATGAGTTTTTCTTCTTTTTTTCTTTTGTTGAATTTTTAAATCCGGGCAGTTACATCCATCCATCATGCACAACCACTCGCTCCCACAACAATAATAATGAATATAATGATATATACATACTATGCTTATGCCTAGCTATGCTTATTTATTGTGAGAATATAAATATTCCATTCAATTTTAGAATGCGTTCCCTTTATAATTGTAAACAATATATAAAACAAAAAAACAAAAAAAAAAAAAAAAAACAAAAGGTAAATAAATAAACGTATATTTTAAAAAATATTCATATAAATAAATAAATAAATGAATGAATGAATAAATAAATAAATAAATATGAAAACCCACCAATATTAAGAACAATTGAAAAGCTCTGGATTTCAAAACTTTCTTAAGTTGTGATTTGGTTTGAGATTTGATGTCAACGAAAAGGTTGTAATATTATTTTTTTTTTTTTATTAATGACACTAACGCATATTCCACATGAATAATGTATGGAATCGCATAGGTTATCGATATGGTTACATATACATATATTATAAGAATTTAAAGAACAACAAAAAAAAAAAAAAATAAATAAATAAATAAATAAGAGATGCATGTTAACAATAATAAATATGCAGACATTACTAATAATCCCGCATTTATTGTAGTAGTAATAATTTTAAATTTTATGAAAATTGATCAGCATACAATGCATACTTGCAATTTTTTTTTTTTTTTTCCGTTCTGCATAATTCAATATCAACAATTAATATATTAAAATAATAGCAAAAAAAAAAAAAAAAAAATTCAAAAACAGAAAATGAAAAAGCAAAAATAGGAAGGAAATAGAAATGTCGTCACTATTACATAAATTACATTTTAAATTTGATTATCAATATTCAATAAAGAAATTACAAGAAATATGTTTGCGGTTTGTGTTCCCATCGTTGCTTACTTGTTACAGTTAATTTATTTATTTCATTTTTTTTTTTTTTTTTTCAATTGAGCGAATGGCGGGGGATTAATGTCAGAAGCATGCAGATATGTATTGACTGACACGGAACCGTGAAGTGAAGAAGTGAAGTGAATCTCTCACCAAGATAACTCATTACTTTTAGGGTCGTGTCTTTGCTATATTATAATTTACCGCGAAGCAAAAGAAAGAAAATTAATATAAGTGAAGACATTATAGCCGCGCCAGGCCGGGCCGACCCTTAATTACCCTACACGGCATTGACAATAATAATTATTCACTCGTCTCGCTAATAATATATCAATCGGCAATAATACACACACTACTCACGATAGCCCGCTTATTGGATAATGTCCGGAATTAGAAATGACGCTTTCTTCTCATACACAGAAAGTTTGCCTTTCATAATAATCCCTATATATCTTAGTGGTCAAAATTTCGCACCATTAAAAATTAAAACCTTTTCCTGCCGGGTCCTACTATTCTTCAGAATTTAATGCATGGGAAGTGGGTTCCAAGCAAAAGGCCAATGTGGTTCAAGTTCGTTCGAAATCATTTTATATCAAATGACTATCATGAGCAAATTTCCATCTTAAAATATTAACAACTAGGCCTTCTTGGCATGATCCGCCTATCTCAAATCCTTCTGGGTGCTACAAGCGTTTTCGAAGGTTACGAAATTTAAGATAGATAAGCTTTCATCCTAGTAAAAACAGATATCTTCCAAGTGAATCTAAGTGAAACTAGGGGATGGATACCTCATCCATTATAGAGCATAAGGTATTATTGTCAGGCGGCCTCGGTCTCTTCATAACCTCATTGTTATCTGTCAAGGAGAGTTTACGATACGACCCATTAAAGCGAAGATAATATGACATAAGAGTTTTCATCTTTCTATTGCTGATGAGGCTGAAATGATGGACAAAACAAATTACATTTGAAACAAACCAGTCGCATAGGAGCGTATCTCTCATGTGAGGTTCTTTTTAAATCTCTCACTGTAAGCTATTATTGCTTGATTCTTTGTAATATTTAATTTATTTATTTATTGTCTTTAACAGTTTGTAAATAAATTTACATATTTATGGAAGTATGAGACTGCTTGAAAACTCCACGGCGTTTGTGATTTGAACCCGCGATCCGCGATTGAGTTGCTAGTTAAATAAAGTTTTCTAATATCTTTTCAAGATACATCTGTCCGTCCGTCCGTCCGTCCGTTCTCTGTATACACTGATGGCAGTTCGTCAAAAATGCAACCGTATTGGTTAAGATCTGCGATCGATAAATTAGCCATTATTGGATTTTAATGTAAACCAAGCATATGATCAATAAAATTTTACAATACAATATATAAAGATGAGAGAATAGTATTTTTAAGATGATTTCTTAAGCGAAGTTGATTATTTACATCTACGAAGTGGTCAGGGTTATTTAGAATTCAAATGATTTCGTAGAATCGAAACAACCGATGGGAGCAGAGAGCTCTTGCGGCATCAGGAAATTTAGCAAGAAAAGTTTGTACGTTTTTTATGCCTACATTGGGTTTGAAATGATTGGTGTCAGCATAAACATACATATTGCTGCAAAGGTAATTAACAGAAAAGACATGACATCTATATTTTTGTATTGAGATTTACGTGATTTCAGTGAAGATCATATGAAACAAGCACGTTGCATGTTGTTATCAAAAAAGAAAGAATATCAACAAACGATTACAGCAATGCCTTAAAAAGAAAATGTAAGAATTGTTAACAGATGGACACCAAAATTTTACACTAAGCATTACATTAGCACGTTAGAAGCATTTCATATAGGGAAATTAGTGTAGACCTATGGAACACCCAGAAAGGCGAATTCAAAATCTTTTTCTAAATCGATCTAAGCCCTTCTGCCCATCCGTCCGTCTGATGTCTGTCCATGTATTATTTATTGTGTTCATGCTGCAGGTCGCAATTTTTGCGATACTCCGATGAAAATTGATCACCTGACGTGTTTTGGTTCAAGGACCAACAGTATTGAAAAAGATTCGGATCAGACCACCATTTCCCATATAACAGTTTATTTTAAAAAGCCGTTATATGAATAACTGTAGGGTGATATAAGGTATTAACAATGTACAGCGATACGCTATAATCTTTTTTTCTCGTTTTTAAATTAAAGAAATTAGGCGGCGTAAGCCTAAAATATGTGGCGAAAAATCAACCATCTAGCGGTGTGCAATCCCTTATGGGTGACATTTGAATTTAATAATGATATGTATTAGCCTGCATTAAACAAAAGTAAATTATTCCCACAATGTGACTTCTTTTAATTATGAAAAACGTCATCATATTCATGTGGCATATTTCCACTGAAATTAATTGAAACATTTGATGAAATATACAAAGTGGGCTAATAAATATAAATGACGAAACGAAAGTAAATTATATTTGTTACCTCGTTTTTCATTTTCGTAGCCGTACACGCGTAGCCTATGGTATATGTATGGTAAGCGGACTTAAGAATAATATTTTTGCCCATCTAAAGAATAAAAATAAAAGAGTAAACTAGTCATTTGGCTGTTGATGTAACACCGCTATCTCTGCTAAGTTAACGAGATTTCAAATAGTTTGTAATGTGCGAGCTAAACTATATTTTTAACATTTTTTGAGCATTCTACTTATATTATTTATGTATCTTTGTTGACGCTATTAAAGCGAAGTCAGTTCTACGATTATTTAATTATGAGAAAAATATCATTGTTCCCAAAGAGACAATAGAGAGGAAACTCTATCGGAAATTGAAAAGTTCAATAAAAGGAAAATTTTATAAAAGTGCTCTTAAAAGTTCGCATTCACTCTATATATCGTTGTACTAAGGATTTGTCGTTTGAAATAACAACACATTGAAAGCAATGAGGATTTCCCATAGAAATTTTTTAATTAGGTTAGAACTTTCACTTTTTGATTAGGATTCGTAAGTTTTGATAACTAGTTATATAGTTTTTAAGTAAGAAAAAAATCCATTCCATATGGTAAAATTAGAATAAAGAAGAAGAAGAAAGAAATTTTATTTCAGACTGAAGGGAAGAAACGATTGCAATAGGTAATCAATTAAATAAAATATTATTTTTGAAAAATATTAAAAAATGGCAACACACAAGCCATTGTTCTTGATCGACTTTTATTTAACGAACTCGAGATGCAAAATCTAAAAGATAAATAAAGAAAAATATCATGTAATATTTACATGCTTGCAGGTAATTTTTTTTTTGCAAAGTTTCATATAGAGATAAAATGTTACTGTTTCTTCAATTCTTTTATTGAGACAAGCTATCATTCTGTGCACTTAAAATAGATGCCTGGCAATTCTGCAAGTGAATCAATAAAAAATAAAAACAAAAAACAGAAAAAGAATGTATCACAACAAAATAACAAAAATTACCGTCAGTACTGTTTGTTAGCTCTACTCGCGAATTATTTCAAATCTCTAAAAGATTAATTGACAAGTGCTTAATGTTCTTTATGTATAAATGTATAGTGATTTAAATAAGGAAAGAAAATTTGTAAAATTTATATTTACATAAAACTATTAAAGAACCTTACAGAGAAAGATCAAAATTAATAAAAAGAAAGTGTCAAAAACAAGTTGGCCATCTCGTGCAAAGGCAAAGATACACAAGCTGTCAGTAAGATTTCAAGTGAATAGTAAAGACGTTCTGTTTAGTGAGCGGAAAAGTATATGCAGAGCTATTTGTTACATATCCATATATACATTGTTTTGTAATTGTATATATTATTGTACATTAGAGAATTCTACATTGCTTTCATATTTAGAAAAGTCTATGTTTAGAAATACAAAATGAAATGTACACAACGTAGGCGATCATAAAAGTTACAGTCCAATGAAAGCTTAATTTTTTGCACGTCTACCTGAAAGAATGGTGTGTTATTAAATAAGAAAATGTGAAAACAGTTTGCTAATAAGTTTTATGAAATAATTTTATCCTTTTGTTAATAAAAAAGAAAATTATATGTGATATTTTTATGTATACATGCACACGCAAATATATATATGTATTATTTGCTTACTATTGGTCACATTTCTTCATTTAATCTCTTAAGAAATTTGTGCAGGGTTATTACAAGTGCATGTATATATTTGCATATGCAACATTCTGATAATGATAGAGCATTTTGCTGATTATGCTAAGGAAAATGTTTCCTTTTATAATCATTAATTTTTAAAATTATTTTTTCAAGTTTTAATTAGTCAATGTGCAATAACGTGATACTCATTAACATAACTCGAATTTAATGTTTACTGATTTAATTGATCGTAAATAGATTCATTTACTTATTATATTAGCCCTAACCGCTGCACGGATATTTTTGCATGTCATCAGCCACTCAAAGTCACATATTTTTTACCTGACGTGTGTATCATGTATTAAAAGAAATTCTAGTAAAACATTTTTGCACCCATCTCCAGTGGCAGATAAATTTGAGCATCCTTGTTAATTAATTCTGTCGTTGCTCACAAATCAAAAAGTCGCAACAACAAGAACCCCTTAAGAATTGCGTTGTACAATATTCAACTGAGAACTGAGAAAGGCGCAAGATAAAGTAAAAGCCGTAATTTATATTGTTATAGGAAGCGCAGGCGAGATTGTGAATGGATTTCGCATTCGATTTTAATGTACAGCCGTCTAATGTTCCATTTCGTTGATAATCGTAATCCTCGTCCCTCACAATTTAAAAAATATGTATGTACACCTTATCATAGAATGATAAAATAAGTATACGCTACGAAGGCATAACGATTTTTAGCGATACGCAAAAAATGTCTCAATATACTTTTGTAAACAAAGCGTAATTACAATTCTTTATTATAAATGCGTTATTACGTTTTTGGTAAAATGCCACTTAAGCAAAATAAGCAAGCATATCGGCACTTAATGCATGAAACAAAATAAGCAACAGCAAACTCTTTAATTTTCCTCTACATAAGAGATTATTGTGACGAAATTGCATTAAAAGAAAAAAAACAAAAAAAATAAAAACAACAAACAAAAACTATTTATTGTTGCATCGGAACGACGATTATATCACAAATTCCCTTGATATCAAATATGAAGTTCTAATGGCAATGCCTGTAAAAGAATCTTTATAGTTGTTCTAATTAATGCAAAAAAAAATATATTTTTAAACTAATTTCGTAATTCTAGCGAAATTGAAATCCATCCATAATTTTGTTTATTGACATATACACATACATACATACACACATACATACACACATACATATACACATACACACATATATATATATATATATATATATATATATATATATACTATGTATATCTATATATAGATGTACATGCCATGCATACAAACGTATATGTATGTCACAGATATATAGGAAAAATTAACTGATGACGTCATAATTTGAAAATAAATTCGACGATTGAATTAAAAATTGTGAACTATAAATTAATAAAAACTCTTCGAACTGTGTAACTAAAGAGTCAAATATTTCAAAATGCTAAATATAAAATCGTTGCCAAAGAATCCAATGTTTCAAAGCGGTGCAGCTACATTTGTATCAGTTGCGTTATTGTCATGGTAAGTAGACATTTTGTTGTTTAAGTTTATTTTTTGCGTTTGATTTGCATCAAATATTGATGTATACAGGGTGCCTCAAAATGAGAATCATACTTTAAAATCATCGTTATTTTCGCGGTAAAACATCAAATAGCAACGACCACTTGTGCGGACAGCAGGTGCCAATATTGAAATATTATTTTTGCCCAACACGACACTGCCATAAATTTGTTTAGCGCTGAAGCTACAGAATATGCGAATTTGATTGATCACAACTTTTGCGTTTTGAAAACAGTTATTAAGCATGCATTATGTGCACATGAAGAGATCGTTAAATATCTATAATCGCTTTGTTTTACCTGTTTTGCCTTTCAAAATATCGATAATATATGCCCCTTTCGTAATGACGTGAGTCAACTTGGCTCCCTTTATTCATTCGCTACGTTGCCTCAGCCATAAAATGAATGAACGTTTCTCTCTCAGCTAGAATAAAGTTCCTGGCGATTTTTTTTGCAAAATTGGATATATATTACAAGAAGTAGGAAAATTATACTCGTCGTGAATAAGCCTTTTTCTACCATAGCACCACTATTCTAAAAGATGCAAAAAAAAGGAAAAGAACTAAATTTTCATGCTCTCTAATATGGGGTGGGCCCGGGCGATTTTTTCTATTTTCAAAATAAAAGTTTTTGCCGCGTAGCCGTGTGGTTGTTGTCAGCGTGTGCTTGGGAAAAGTTTAAGTCACTTTCAAATTATTTTGTAAGTTTGTAGGTGTTATCTTCATTTTTGTTAACGGGACAGTGTTTAGCAGAAATTTTACTACACAGTTGCGCAGACAGACAAATGGACAGGTTAATAGACGGACATGTTTGGGTGCATTCCAAGTTTGAAACTTGCCAAGAAATTATATAATTTATGGAATTTTTGAAACTGGTTTCCGCGTCTTATAAAGCTATTGAAGAAAAATTGAAATTGTGATATATTATAATAATGGATTGGGTAGACGAAGTTAATTTTTTCTGCTTTTATACAGGTGCTACAGCATCGTCCAAATTTATGTAGATCTATCTGCTGCAGTTTATGAGTAATAAGCAAAAAACGCTTTCGAATTTTTATTCCTTTTGCGGAAAAGAGGTGTTCTTAGTTTGCGTGGTATTGTGGGTATTTCGCTTGACCGATTTGGCTCATTCTCAATGGCAACCTGCTTGCAGGAACTTGCAATGTTCCTGCCAATTTGGAAGTCGATGACTTTATTTTTGCGATCAGGAGAATGTTGACAGTAGTCAGTACACAGACAGACGGACAGACAACCGGATCGATGGACAAGCGGAGAAGCTTAGGTCGATTTAATATTCCATGCTGATCAAGAATACATATGCTTTCTGGGTTTGCTGGTGATTCTTTCTGGGCGTTGGAGACGTTTCGTCATCACTCTCGGTGATAGGTATAAAAAGAAAATGACGCGAAATATATATATTATTGAATATATTATCAATCGTGATGCATTACTTCCCCTTTTTTTATTTGAGAAAATAGGTTCCGTATAGGAAGCACAATTGGAGCGAAGGGAGGGGGTTCATTTTTCCCTTATTGTCACAAAATTGAAAGACCTTGTCCGAACGGACAATAAATCAGTGATTGAAACCAGGATTGAGCAGAAGAAGTACCAATTGATAAATCTACCGGAGATGGTAACACATTTCACTTCTACACTGCTAACGTTTGCTGAGTGTGTCTCGACGTAGAATGATTTTTTACAAATTGCGACTTCCGCCCCAATATCGTTGCGGTTGTTGGTATAACAGTCCAGCAGGTTAGGATCGTGTGTTGAAGTTTTCCTTGAACGTAGCTATATTGAGCGCACATTCGGTGAAGACATAATACTTATCGATTTGGCCTACACCCAGAAGGCTGCGGTCGCTACCTCCTTATTTTTTTTCACCGTAGGGAACATCCCCCAAGTGATGGGTTAGAAACAGAAGAATGCAAAGTAAGATTCTAAGTAAATGGCCTTTCTTTGGTACATAACTTGATCTATGCAAAACTCTAAAAGCTATGTTCTGTACACCCTCTGAGGTAATCTATATTATAGTGAAATGTACAAAGACAGTGTATTCAGATCAAGGAGAGTAACAGTTTTATTCAACTTTTGATAAACGATAGAAAATATCGGTAGTGCCTAGTGTGGCCAATAAACATGGGTCAGATGTTTTAGGAAAAAAAAAAAACAGGTAATCTTTCATCTAAATCGGAATTAATTGTGTGTGTGTTCGTGTTTATATATATTCTCATATGATATTCTTCATATCACGTACCGAAATCTTCTAAACCGAAAACCATATTTATATACAGCCCTTCGTCTGCATGCACATAACTTTTTTGTATTATTAGTGGCTGAACCATTTGATCAATTTCGTCAAAATTGGAGTTTTAGATGATAATTAATAAGGAAAGAACCAAGATGGAATTTTAAGTGACGCGCCGAAGGTAAGGAATCTCAACTAGCAACTCAATGGTCGTGGGTTCGAATCTCAAGTGCGGTAGAGTTTTTGATAAAAGCCGATAGCCTTAGATGCTAGTGCTTTAAGAAATTAGTCTTTGAATTTGTTTCTCTGGCGAAATTGATAACAATAATAATAATAATAATAATAATAATGAATTTAAACTGGCAAAATAAAGAATTGATAACGTAATTTTAAAGAAACTTGAAACTTGAAAATGATAAGATCTCAGCAATTGTAATTAGCTCACGGCACATCTTTTCGCTAACAAGTTTCACTTAAGAAAAGTTTCATGACTTTTGATGTAAAAGGCTATGAAGGAATTCATGGCATGGATGGATGTCCTTTTACCAGCCTCAAAGTCAAAGATTTGATAGATTGTTGGGTAATGGCCCGTAATTGCAAGCACAACATTGGCACGTGGCATTCGATAAATTTGTTCCCATTGGATACTTAACTGATACGTTTTTATCCTTAATTTAAGACATCGAGGCGCGTACAGCTACTCTACTAGTCTTATCCGATTGGGAATTGGAAGAGAAGTCGGTAAAGGTAAATTAAAAAAAAAAAAAAAACAAAAAAAAAGACCTAAAAGTTTTGAAAGGATGAGACGTGTACGAAAATTAGAAGAAATATTATGACATAACCTCAAAAAAGCAGTCGACACTTGATCGTCTCCGTTAAAAGACGTAATAACTTTTGCATGCACTTTAGTAATATATGAGTTCTTGCTTATCTTTCACAATCGTGAGCAAATGCTGAAGTAGAAGTAAACTTCTGTATTGTAAAGTTGCAGTAGGTAATCTGATAGAAAACGTGATTACAAATTGTCTTATCTTTTAAATGCAGACGAATTTACAAAATGCACATACGTTATATAAAATGCCAAGTAGTCTGATAATAATGCAGCGATAATATGAACCTGTTCACTTCATTTTTATGATTGCTTTCGTAAATGTTCATCACACGTTTTTTTTTTTTTTTGTCATTTCAGGTTACATATACGCCCGATAGGCTTAATGTTTTTGATGCTCTTTTGCTTCTGGTTATATAAAACCCGGTGCAATTTACGTATCGTACCTCCACCAGATTTAGAGAAAAGTTGTCACGAGTTAATGAGACGTGTGGCAGAATGGAGACAACGCAAGCCAAATAGATTCTGCGCTATAGCGACGGGATGCCTGGGCTCTTTAGCCATAATGGGTCATTTGGTGTCTGGTTCAATAATAGTACTGTCAGGCTTAGTTATGGCAGCGATTATATCGACAAAATATCATTTTAAAATTATAAAAATTCAACCAAACGGTATACATACACACATATATACATATATATTACATATAATTATTTTAGCTTATGTAAAAAATGTTATCATTGTTTGAATGTAGATTACCTTTGGGCGGAGAAAATTAATCAGGATTATGAGATGGAAGATGAATTTATGCCAGATGTAAATGAATCGAATTTGTTTGTATTGGAAAGAGCAAGCGATTTAGCATCTATTACAGCAGCTACGGAAGACATTGATAATGAAGAGGACAAGAGTGATGAGGTGCCTTCCGAATTATTATTAGCCGATACAATACCGGAAATCGATGATAATTCGGACACGGACGACGAACACGACGATCTACTTCCGTTAATAAAAACGACAAAGAGTAAATTAAATAAACACGGTGCGCCGCAAACAGATGAAAGTATTGAATTTAAAAGCGGTCACTTTAAACGGGACTCTTCGCTATCAACAACATCATCTTCTTCAGAAGAGAACTTAGCGAAAGGCTTGCATTTTCCTGATCATACATCGGTCGACGGCCGCCCGCAAATTATTTTTAACCCTGAATCCTCTCCAGATCTGTTAGCTACAACATTAAAAACACAAACTCAAGCTCTACTGGTAAATAGCAGTAAATTAATACCCAATTTGGTATCGGGGCTGGTTCAAGGTATTTTGGGTGCTAACCCATCGCTTGCAACAGCAGAAGCAATGCCTTCATCTTCTAATAAGCGTTTAGTCACTGCTTTAGATTCTTCTGATGAAAGCGATTTCGAGATACTAGAGAATGAAGATATTAAATAATTCTTGAAAATGCGTTAATGCTCTCAATGTATTTAAATTAAGGTTGTAAACCAAAACATTTTTACATAACAAACTTTTATTATATATATATATCATCGTTCAGATCAGGCAATAGAGGAGTTGAATATAATAATACATATCTTCATCTTAATTCCAAAAAGGGTCTTAAAAATCCGCTTTACATTTCACTGCGAACTATAAAGAAAAAAAAAAAAGAAAACGAGAAACAAACACACAAGCAAATCCTCTCATAAAATTCAATCTTTTTTTTGAATTGATGCTCATCCTGAAATTTAAACGATCTACAAACGATAATATAAGAGTCTGAATAAAATAATTTAATTTTATATCTTTTAAAACATGTCGCGAGCGCGCATGCCCGTTTACGCTCTTTTGTAGTTAAGATAACTCAATAAAATATATTTTCAAATCTATATATTTTTCATATATATTCTATAACGCTTTATTTTTTTTATTTTTATTTTTTTTAAAATATATTTGTAAACATGTTAATCTTGTTATATGTATATCTTCCTATGTAATATGTTTGTCGAAATTTGTTGCTCTTAGCAGTTAAGATAGCTATATATAAAATATCTTTTCAAATCTATATATTTTCCGCATATATTATATAACCTCTTATAGCTTGTTTTTTTTAATATATTTGTAAATGTGTCAATTTTGTAATATGATATTTCCTCTACATAATATGTTTGTCAAAATTTGTTACTCCTATATAATCGATTTTGTGATCAGAGATCAAAGTTTTCAAATTTGAAATGCAATTTTTTAAGAGTTCAAAACAAAACAAATCTGCATAAATTCAGATAGATATATATGCGCGTTTAAAATTGCTGAACAAGATGAACAAGAAAAAAACGAAGAAAATCATGCATTCATTTTAGCAATTATGGTTTATGGTAGTCTCACATTCCCTATTAATTTAAACGGAGTGGCAAGTGATAAGCGACAAATTAGAAGTGACAAGTAACGGCCCAATGTGTTGCAGTGAGATAAACAGCTAATTAAAGGGATTAGGATAGTATGATTTTGATTCTAATGTTCCTAAAATGTATTGTTTGCCTGATAGTTGGAATTAAATGCGTATGGAGATGCGAAGCTTCTAAGTCAATTCAATAAAATAAATTGAGTAAACTTAAGTATAAAAAATAATTTAGAAAACGTAAGCAAAGCAAAATTAAGCTCTGCTTCAAGATCATACTTCATAGTTTGACGAACGGTATTTGAAACATCAACGTTAGACAAGAATGTCCTCTTTCAGTGCATGCTCGGTAATGGATAGATGAAACTTATTAAAATTGAAATGTTGACAATACTGGACTCATTACTTTTCCATGGCGAATTACACGAAAGTTTTTGAGAAAAAAATCGAAAAATGCCACACGTGAGATTCGGTAATGTTAACGGTAAACTCTACAATCTGAATTTAGATTGTATTAATCATATTTGAAAGAGGCTTATGAAATCGGCATCCTCTGTAGCATAACGATGAATATGTGAATAAATAAATCAATATGAATATGTATATAATATATATATATGTATATATATATATATATATATATATATATTTATATGTATATATATATAAATCTTATTAAATTATTTAATTAAATTAAATTTTGAAGGCTAAAAAAGGAATAAAATAAAAATAATAAATAAATTGAGCTTTAAAAAATTGTATTTAAATTAAGGAAAATTAAATTTTGTATTGTACATTTTTAATTTAAAATTTTGTTCTCCATGTACATAAATACATTTTTGTACACATATGGATTTACGTATTAGATTTTATTCTCAAGATACTTAACATTTATCAACATGTGTGTGTGTATTTATAATTTGCATATAAACGTAATTAAATATTTTTAAGAGAAATAAAGAGTATATGTAAAGCAATTAATTATAATTGGAAAATTCAAAATTTTTTAAATAAATTTTTAAATTGTAAAGTAGTATTTTGCCACCGTACAAGTTTGACAACTAAAAGAATCTCATCTAGTCATCAAAGTCTGATATTTCAATGTAACGAGCCCGAAAGTAGTACCAAAAGTCCACACGGTCGGGGGTTGTAATGGATAAACGTACCTATCATTGTGACATTAGCTAACTAGTTCGGTAATCGGTTCTTACCCAACAACTCCACTACATAGACGTTGACAGTCAGGAAATATGCGCGCAGGGGCTATTGTACACCCTGCTCTACCTACCACGATTTTGTGTAAAAGACTCCAAAGAGTCCAAAAAAAAAAAACGAATTTTTATTTTTTAGACTTAATGTATTAAGTCTTAACAATTGATCAATAAGTGCCGGAACTGGCGCGTATACGTCGTCTTAAACTACCAAACAACAAAAAATTTGCATTATTTTTAATAAGTGCGAAGTCTCAAATGAAGCCTGCAAAAATGTAATATCATTTCGGTTGTTTTGAACGAGTTTCAGTGGCTTTAGCGGCGCTATTTTACTTTATTTTCATACACATCACCGAAGGGTGAGGGGTAAATTCATTTTGTCAAAACGTTTGCAATGCCGCAGAAGGAGACTTCAAAGACTTCCCAAAGTATATATATTTTTGATCAGGATCACATTTTGAATTGATTTAAGCATACCCGCCTATCCATCTGTCCGGTAGTCCGTCTGTGCAATGTTTGCTGTAAACTTTCTTCTGGCCATAAAAATGAAGCTATCGACATGCAAATTGGGAGGAACAATTGTCTGTTGTTGCGCGTAGATTGGCACTAAAGATGACTTCAAATTGGTCAAAGGACACGCCTACAGCACCACGTAAACTGCGACAACGCGTTAACTGTCCTGTCCTTTTCCCAATATATTCTTTGCAACAAAATCAAGCGAAATAAAGGGCGAACTTAGACGCTCTGCATTTTTAGCGCAGCTCGCTGTTCAAGACCAATCCAACACGAAGTTCACCCAAATCGATAGACTTTCAAATGGACGAATCGGGAGGAGATATGTAACCGGAAAGTGATAACAATGCCACCATCCGCATTATAATTTGGGTGTGAATTCCATTAACTTATCCAGTAGGTTCTCGAATTTCGCATTTCTGAGAAAACGTTACTAAATCTATTTAACCTTATTGGCCAGCCTGACAAAAGATTCATAAATGATACATGATACATGACTGTAATGAATTTTTCCGATTTTTATATACAATTGCATTTAAATGCAATTTAGAAGGCTGGGACTTTTGCGAATAATTTACACGAGATGCTTTTCGATTCACAATTTATATGAAATTTTGATCATTTTATAAAATTATGCATATATCATACTTTTCTGTGTGTAATTGCAATATACACACGTGACGAAACATTTTGCAATTTATTAATCTTTCCATTACAGATGAGCACTTTAGAGTATACTTCAAATTACAAAACAAAGTTTCAACTAAAATCGTAGCATCAAGTTGGGTTTTTGAGCGAAGTAACATTTTGTTTTATTTATTTTATGCCCTATTAATGTGCATGCAAGAGATTTAACTGTATGTTCTATTTTTTAAACTATTGACTTGTTGCAATAACGGATTGCGAAATGTCCTGCATTTATATAAGATGCCATTTCAAATGCAAAATGCAATAACAAAATCACGGTAATCTTCCACATGTGCATCACGAAGTAAACGAAATCGGAAATTCAACATTTGTCCAATCACAAATGTAAGCAAACATTGCAACAACAAAAATACAAACTATCACGATGCTATCAAATTGCAACTTATACGAAATGTAAACAAAAAAATTCAACCAATCACGACCTCCTCTAATGCTATCAAACTGCAATCTCTAATGCAGTACTTGTTTAGTTTCTAAATAAATAATTTTTCTATTCTCTAACACTAAAGGGCTGCTGACTATAAGATCAAAGATTCAGCAGTCTGATGGGGTTTATTTGTTGATCTTTAGCGATGACGGCAGTATGGATGATGTTTGGAAAGAATTAATGATCAGGAGATAGATGTGTGCGATTATCAGTTAAGTACTGTGTGTTCTGGAGTTAATTCCAAAAATTTGGTTACAAGTTTTGACTGATTTAGAATGTCAGATACACAAAGGAGGAATACACAGGAGCACGGAGCACACATTATTAGCAATATTTAAAATGGATGAATTGAATAAAAATGAAAATCCAGCAATTTTGATAAACAAAGTCAGCTGTTTGAGATGAGCATTATTGCCGACGCGGAAAATTCAATAAAGGTTGTTATGTATGCTAAAAATTTGTAAAGGTTGTCGTTTAATCAGATTAAATTTTTTTTCATTTAAGAATGAGACGCTCGACCGATTCTCCCATGCCGCAATCCTTACAAGTACCAAATGGTATTTGTAAGGATCATTTATAAATAGACATTGGCACACTTGTGATTCTTTATCATTTTTAGTTTTTTTTTAAGTAATGGATAAAGTACAAGAATGTAAGAAAACTTAAATAAAAAATTAAAAATTGGCAAAAATAAAAGAAAGTAGTAGAAAAGTTGATAACAAGTAAATCAAAATTATTTATACATTGGTGAGAGTCGAGTATTTTGGGCATCGGCTTGCTAGACATCACTTAAGAAAAAGAAGAAGAATTAGATTGTTTATTTTTTATATTCCAATCTTTGTATAAACAACGTGCTGTAGATTGCATTAACGCTCTGAGTAAATCTATGCGAAAAGTTTGTCTAAAAAGTAAACATGTCTACTACGATAGTTGAAAACAATTTTTTAAAATATTGTGGAAGCAATTTTCTGAAGCAACGGTTATTGCTTAGTGTTTTAAGTGCAAAGCCCGTAAAAATTGTTGATATTCGTTCGAAAAGTGACGAAGCGTTTGGACTTCGAGAATATGAGATTAACTTGATACGCTTGTTGGATAAATTGACAAATGGCACAAAAATTGAAATAAATCCTGCTGGCACCGCTATTATGTTTATGCCAGGCCTACTGCATGGCGGTCAAATAGATCATGAATGTTGCGTGCAACGTGGTATTGGATATTATTTAGATGTTCTCATAGCTCTGGGTCCATTTTGTAAGTTTCCGCTAAACGTCAAATTAAGCGGTGTAACTGAGAGTAGCGATTCGCCATCTGTAGATCATATTAAAGTTGGCGCTTTAACAGTTTTAAAACGTTTTTTAACTGTCGATGAAGGACTGGAATTAAAAATTATAAAGAGGGGATTGTCGCCTTTGGGCGGTGGCATTGTCGTGTTTAAGTGCCCTATTCGCAAAACTTTACGTTCTATTCAATTTACACAACAAGGCATGGTGAAGCGAATACGAGGCACTGCTTATGTTTGCAAAGTGTCACCTTCCCTTGGTAATCGCGCAATTGAAACTGCTAAAGGAGTTATGTTAAAATTTTTGCCCGATGTTTATATATATGCTGATGCAAGTCATGGTAAAATGTCCGGCAATGTACCCGGTTATGGCATATGTTTACATGCCGAAACTACAGAAGGTGTTTGTTTTATGGCTCAAGCTAATTCTCATATAAAAGGAGAAGTTGGAAAAGAACCATCTACACCAGAAGATATTGGCGAAAAAGCAGCTATGCGTTTGCTTGATGAAATATACCGGGGCGGATGCTGTGATTCTACATATCAATGGTTGGTGGCTCTTTTTATGAGTTTAGGTCAGAAACATGTTTCGAAATTTATGACAGGTACGTTTGCATTTATGACACAGGAGGACTTCAGTAAGCTATACAATTATTTTCAATATTAGGTCCTTTGTCGTCGTATACTGTTCATTTTCTGCGCCATTTAAGGGATTTTTTTTCGATCACTTTTAAATTGGAAAATCCCGAGCCCGAGGACGAGGACGAGGGCGAGGACGACAGCCTTCCGCCTGGAGCGCAGAAAGTTTTATTGACTTGTGTTGGCATTGGTTATTGCAATATCAGTAGACGCGTGATTTAACATGGTTTTGTAGAGTTGGAATAAATATATAAAAATTTATAAACGTACTTTTGAATCTTTATTTCTATCTAAGCCATATCTTAAGAATATGACCTTTGCTAGAGCGATACAAAAAAAGGAATGAATTTATACATTGTTTTAATACAAAATTTGGAAGTAGTGTTTGGACAAAATATATTTCAATATATGCCTGTTGGATCTGGAATTTGTGATAGTTCTCGATAAAAGATATTGTATTTCATAAACGTAACCGTGACACCAACAGAAGCCATGTTTAATATTTACTCAATATACTCAAAGACTAATATAGCTATGTCCCCATATCGTGTTCGTGGGTTCAAGTCTTATTGTGGCAGAGCATATATGATTGTAGTTATAGTGAATGCGCCGTCGACAAAGATTTACCGATCTCCTTTTTTCTCAATTTTTGCTAAAACATCACGTTATGTGTTATAACTATAAGTTGTCTCTCCTGAACGATTACCGATATTAAGAAAAGGAAAAAAGTTGAAGATTAAGGCAGCTCGAACAATCCAATATAAAAATAACATAACTGAAAACTTTTTACTTAAGAGATTTTAATTTTTTGCTTTGTCGTCATCAGTAGTCAGTCAAGGTGCATCAGTATGCAGCCAATAGTGATCTTCATGTACATTCATGAGCGAAAATTTCATGGATAGTTGGGCTAAGCATGATTGAATAACAGTTATTAGCAATGAATTTTTTTTAACCATTTTTGTTGTACTCATTCGTACTATAATGAAAACAGGACTTGTCTCATCGCATGTATCGGTAAGTATTTCATAAATGCGCATCATATATAATGAATTAGTTCAAATAGTCCAAATAGTTCATGCTTCCAAGCTGCAAAATAGTCTACTAAGAACTAAGAACATGCTCCACGCAAGAAGAAGGTCCCTCAAAATGAGTGCGTAGTTCAGAGCGTACAAAACGAACACTAATGCAGAAAAAATTATTCTAGATTTTCATTTTAAATTGGCATGAGTTCAAATCCGGGTAAGGTAATGAAAATGTTGCATGTCTACTTCTTTTGTAACATACTTTCTGGCGACTGATTTATATCAGTAATAACTAGTATCTTGCACTGGGGGACATATTCGGTGACAATGAGTTGTTTTGGCAAATTGTTCCACTCTATCGGTTTTTGAAAGAATGCAATGATGGCTTTTATCATATCTGTCCATTAATTTTGCTCTTCATAAGCTTTTTAATTTGTGGAAGTTAGATCTTATTCAAAGTTAAGAAATTAATCCTTTAATCTTTATTAGCAGTCGAGCAAGCAAGTAGATCATCAAGCGAGAATGTAGAAATTTTCAAAGGAAAACTAAATTATATTGAAGTGAGCCCCAATCTCTGGTACTTTATGATGAGAATTCGTCCACCGAGTTACCCTGCTAAACTTGGACCGTTTAATACTATCTGCGTGGTTCTCGCACCATAGAAGCGTTATCATCATTTTATTGTAATAGAGTCTAATCTTTAGTATATACGACAAAAATAAATGAGTGCCACTATAAATATATAGATATGATATCGATTTCGGAGCGTAGCAGTGCATTGATTTGTCTGCCTATTAACTGCAGGGATAGTTGACCTCTTTGAAGTATATGTTGTCATATGTACTTTGCAAGTGCATCCGTGGTAGTGGAACAATAAGTTCTGTTGGATACTTGGATTATCTGAATAATCCCAGCACGTCTTTTTACGTCTTCTACCCAAGGATATAGGCTCATTCATTCTATCAAAGTGACCCTACAAAGTATATGGATTCTTGAACCAGTTCTTAATCGATTTAAGCATGTCGGCTTGCTTAATGTCTGCAGTGAACACTCTATATAGTTCGCAAAAATGGTGACATGGGCGAAAATTTTCGAAGCTGCTGCCGGTAAGATCGTTTTGAAAATGCAGTCGTTCCACTAAGAATTAGGCGTTTTCTCGCAAACTCTAGTCTTAGCTTCGTCCAACAGCTTACGGCGAGCATTGCAACGGCCATGTGCTTACGGATGGCATTCTAAACAAGGAGGGTAATATAAGGATATTGAAGGAAAATTTGAAAGAAAGTATGGACAAACAATGGTATTTTGGAAACATTTAAATTTTACCTAGATAACGATCTAATGCATAAGTCCGGCTTAATTCAAGAATGGCTCTTATATAACTGTCGCAAAGTGCTTCACCCCCTTTGCCAATCACGAGGCACGAACCCGATCGAATATATGAGAAGTGCCATGTGCAAAAACGCCCAATCTCTTCGCTCCAATATGTGAAAAACAGACTACAAGAAAAATGGAGATCCCTGTTTTCTGCACAAGAAAAATTGTACAAAATATGTCAAAACGTGTAAGTAACGTTATTAGGTAAAAAGGTAATCCCATCCCCCATCTTATATTAATTTTTAATAATATGATGTTTTTCTTCTTCGCATTCTTCTCTATATGCAAAAAAAAGGAAAATTAATGAGACTCACTGTAGTTTCAAAGAATTGAAATTAATTGGCGGCTGATTTAGCCAGATAAGTGGTGACTCCAAGAGTCATTCTTAAGATATATTACGTTTTCGCATTAACTACGTAAGAGTTCCATATAAGCGATAGAGAAATATTTTTCATTGATAAGCTTTGATTTCTGAGAAATGCAAACGAAATGGCAAAGTTGTTAATACTCTTGTAGAAGAGAAGTCCGTATGAAAAGTAAGAGATAAATAGAACAAGTAAGAAAATTATATTTGGTCCTGATCGAATCTTTTATAGGCATTACGGTGATCCTAAAAACAAGGAAAGCAACATAATGTTCATACTCTATAGTATTGGATGGGCGCGCCCAATTTTTTTGTATTTTCAGATTAAAAGTGGAAATTTGTAGGAAATATGTAAGTGTTGTTCTTTATGAATAACAAGCAGAAAATACGGAAGGCAAAGATGTTCGCAATTTTTGCTACGTAGACATGTACGCGATATATGCGTGTTCTCTGAAAAGTTTAGGTCCTTTTCAAAATGTTTTGCAAGTTTGTAGGCGATATCTTTTTTTTTGAGAACGGGAGAATAATTATCAGAGATACTACACACACAAAGTTGCGCAGACGGACATATGAAGGGACAGGGATATGCTTAGGTGTAATCCGAATTTGAAACTGACCAATAATTTAAAAATTTCATGAAGTTTTTGAAGTTTGTTTCAGTGCGTTACAACCGTTTTAAAAAAAATCATATTGTGACACTTTATAAAACTGACTAGGTGTGGGCGATTTTTTCCATTTCTGTAGACGTACTACAGTATTGCCTATAGAATACACGTTGAAATTTCTGTACATTTGTCTGCTGTGGCTTATGAGTAATGAGCAAAAAACCAAACTTTTTATTGCTCTTGAAAACCAGAAGTGTGCTCACATTATGTGGTAGAGCAGGCGTGTCCTTCGACCGATTTGACCCAATTTCAGTACAACCCTGCGTGCGAAAACTTCCATTGTTCCTGCCAAATTCGTAGTTGACAGTTTTATTTTTGCACCCAAGAGAAAGTTTACAACACACATTACACAGAGGCCAAACACGGACGGCAATTCAGGTCTTTGAAGTTTCCGTCTGGGCGTTGCAAACGTTTTGACAAAACAAATCTACCTCTCATACTTCGGTGATAGGTAGATAGGTATAAACAAAATTTCACTGCATAATACTAAGATTGCAAAATATCGCAGACAAACTGATAACTGTCGCAATATTTGCAATAATCAGAAAAAACATTTTTAGATTTAATTAAATAATGCTGCATATTGAAATAAATGGAGGGCATGTAACAACAAATATTACACAAGGTTGCAAGATTTCTACTTTCGACAATTGCAATTTTTTTCAAATAAAAGGCCATGTACTGGTGTTGAACCCTGCCCTGCTATAATTTCAATACTTGGTTA